CATTTCATTTTTACCAATTCGAATTCTCAATCACCGCTCTAATAATTACAATTTTTTTCAAAGTAAAAAAACGTAAGTTACTAAACATCGTGAACCAAAAAATAGCATATGAATAAATTTTTAAATGGCATAATGTGGGATCCACATTAGTAACAATAATATTATTCATAATAATAATTTGGTAGTGTTCACTAAAATTTGAAGTCATTATAATGAAATTTTAAAATAAATATGAGAGGATTGTGAACTGTGTGGTACATTAGGTTAATTTCTTCATCAAATCATTATTATTTACAGATACATGATGATGATGTAGCACATTTATATAACCAATGACAAAAAAGACTATACGAGTTTATGTTCACGAATATAAACGAACCTAAACGATTATGTTCACGAACTTGGTAATATTTGGTGGGTTTGTTGTAATCTTGGGCCTTGGGTCTAAGTGTCGATGGGTTACTTTGTAATGCTTGTTAGCATTGGGCTAACTTTGGTCCTGTAAATATGTTAATATTTAAAGTCTACAAAATTGAATTTACCTTTCAAAAAAAAAAAAACTTTTGCAGTCATACTTTTGAAAATTATTATTTTTTCATTTCAAGTCGTAAATCACTAAAATTTTCATTTATACCCTTATTAAATAGAAGCAAAATTATGTGATTATAAATTTATTCAAGAACTGTTATATAATCTATTTTTTTATATACTATTTTGAGTTTTCTTTACTTGCTAATATTGCATAATGAGTTTAATTAAAAAAATAATTAATCTAATATTTTTAATTCAAACTCATGTATAATAGACAATTTTACTACTAAAAAAAATTTAATTACTCTATAAAACAATCATTAAAATGTATTTTTTCTTTTTATTCAAATTTTATATCTAATTTTGTATTAGGGAGTATAATATATAATATATGAGAGATTAAGTCTAAATTTAATATCTAATTTAATTAAAGTATATCTAATTTTGTTAGGTAAAAAAATAAAATTTGGTGATTTAGGACTTAAATAGAAAAATATTTTTAAAAGTAAGATTTATTAGTCCCAAACAAATTTAAAACTTAATTATATAAAACTTGGTGGTAATTTTTCCATGTGAAAATTAAGGCGGTTGGATCTTTTCTGTCGTTTTAATGGCAAAAAAAAAAAAAAAAAAAAAAAAAGTAGAAATAGTCAAACAGCCCCACTTGAACCTATATGCACAATTTCTTACACAACCACATTCATAATGTGTATGAAGCTAATTTGACAATAATGAAAAGTTCAAGCAATTGTAGCAATTGTGTGTGTATATATATGTGTGTGTGTGTGTGTGTGTGTGTGTGTGTGGATATATATATACGTGTATTTATAAACTTAAGTAAAAATAAAAAATGAAAAATCAGAGTATTTAGTTTTTTTTGAAAAAGGGATAAATTCATATCAAAATTATAGTAACCAAATCTGTTGATCCATCTCCAACTTAGTTTTGAAATTTTAATTGTTCAAGTCCACATGAACGCGTGTCAAATTGTGCAATCCTGTTTTATACAATATATATCAATATTAATTAATGTGTGCAACCAGGAATAAAAAATAAAAAAAAAAATTATATACCACACTGTAGTTGTAACGGGTTTACTTTTTTATCCGACTTTGATGTGGGACAAATGATTCTGGTTATATTCTTATTCATCCAAACTTGTTCTTCGGGTCAGGCGCTTAGCGTGACACCAGATCAAAGATTTGATCTGATTCTGATACCAACTGTAACGGATGGGTATTTGTCTATTTCTAAAAGTTCGAGCTGTTAAGTAGTATTGTATAGCCACCTATTTGTATCCGATCACTTTTTTATCCGAATCTAATATAAGACAAATGATCTTATTACAGTAGTTCAACAGTATAATCTCTCCACTCCTTTCTTCTCCCAAAAGATCAATTGCTGGCATGAGTGCATGGGAGAGCCAACCCATAATTGTATTGTTATTTACATAAATATTTTGCACAATTGTACCAATGCTTTTAAAGCTCTTTTTTTCCCCTAAAAACTATGATTCTAAAGAAAAGACCCAATCACTTCCATATTCGGAATCCATATATATAATAAATTAAGAAGTAAATTGCAAAAAAAAATCCCTTATTATATAAAAGTGTGCAAGAAATATTCAAACTATTTGGTATGTGCATTTAAATCCTTATAATCACCCAGTTGGTCAATTTTAACTAATTTTTTTTGTAAGAAGTATCCCAAAATACCTTTGAACTATATTTGGCAAGCATGGAATAGTTACTTTGGAAATAAAATTGGTGAAATTGAAGAAAATCAATTCACAAAATTAAATCAAAATTTTTTCCAACTCTACCAATTCCAATTCCAATTCCATACCGCCAAACACAGCATTAACAAAATTTGTGCATTTTAGTTTTTTTCTATTATTATTTTACGTTAAGGGCATTTTAGGTATTTTAATTTTTAAATTAAAAAATTATTCTTATTTGCTCAATTTAAAAATTATAAAAAATAAAATAATTAAGAACACTAGGAATTTATGCACATTTTGTATATAATATAAATTTTTACTTTTTTATTTTTTTACTTTACACTAAGTCAAAAGTAATAGTAGTGGTTGAGTTTTTCTTTCTTTTTTAGCACTTGTCTACAGTTTTTGTAGTTCTATGGAACAGGGGAAAGCTAGCTATGGTGTGATACTTATTGTAAAACTTTGTTGCGAAATTAATCAGAAAATATAAGAAATAGATTAAACACACCTAAAATATACAGAGATTCACCCAAAATTTAAAGCTGCGACGAAGGGGTTGCAGGAATTTTACCATGATGATCAAAATAGTAACGGATACGGAGAGTTCAAAATGATTAAATACCCTCGCATTAGGGCAATATAACGAGTGCAAAAATTACCAAAATACCCTTCAGAAAATTCAGATTGGGGCCAAGCCTCCTAACCTCCAACTTCGGGCAGGGGGCTCCTCTCCCTATGACCCCCAACTTACCGTAAAGTTGGATTAACAAAGTTGGGTCTTGGTGTATAGTATCTATCAAACTCCACATTACCGATCAGTTAAGAAGTACGAACACTTTTACGAAGAAGTCGTACTCATGGCGTACCGGTGTCGGACACCAACACCCCTCGGATATGTGTTCATGAATAAAAATTAATTTTATTATTTCAGACTTTTCGCCAATACTTCACTAACACTTTTCAGACACTTCACCGATATTTCTCGGACATTTCTAACACAAATTTACCTAATAATCTTGAAAATAATATGAATACTATCGTGATAAAGTAGTGAAATAACAGTATATATGATATAAAAATTATTACAATAATGCCAAATTTTCATTTTCTAATTCATTTCTCACCGACTCTTAATATAAAAATTATAAATGAATTAAAATTTTATAATAATATTACTAAATAAATGTATAATAATAAAATTTTATATTATTATATAATCGTGTCTGCACTATATCTGTATCTTACTTTTTTAAAGATGATGTATCAACTTATTTGTGTCCGTGTATCCTGTGTCGTGTCCGTGGTACATAAGCTATCAGAATTGGCATTTGAGCTCGTGACAGCCATCAATTAAAAAAATTGGGGAAAAATAGAGTGGTATTATTACTGTAGAGTTGTCTTCCTACACAGTCTGCGTATATGTGGAGTAGTGGTGTGAAAATGAATAACAACTGGAAGTGAAGTACTCTGTGTGACACACAGAGAAGCAGAGTCAAGGCAACCTGCCAAAGTTGCAGCCTAACCGTATATTCAGGGTTGAAATTCAACGCGTACACACACAACACAGGCTCTCCACGGGCAACCCAATTATTGCACCCCACGCTGCCCAACATCAATTATATACTGTCGGTATTCTTCCCTCCAAATCAACATAAGTATTGCGATAATTGCATGTTTGGTTACTACGAAAATGAGTTTTAAAGTCGCTAAATATGTCACTAAATTCAACCTAGTGGTTCGCAGGGCTGTCAACTGTGTATTTGGTTATAAATAATAAAGTTAATATAAATCTGTATTAACCATTAACTTGTAAATAATATACATTTAAATCTCATAATGAAATTCATATAATTTATTATTAAAATTGAATAAATGAGTGCGTCATTCTCTATTTTTAGAAGGTTAGACTCAAAATTTCTTTCAAGATAAACTAGTCCGCAACTTTCTTATAAAACATCACATAAACAAAAACATTGTGTTTGCTGGCATAAAATTGAAGCATTGTAATTAGAACTAATGAAAATAAAGAAAATTTTAGTTCAATTTTTTGACTTGTTTTTCTTCAATTCTAAAACTCTAATTTTATGTTGAAACCATTTTTAAGGACAATTAATTATTAACCAAAGATACATATTAGTCTAAGTCACATAATTCTGCTCAACATGTGATGTTCTTACGCTCGGAGCGTCCTCCCGCTCTCACGCTCCGAGCGTGCTTTTACTCTTATTTTTAATATTTGTGACCTAAATCACACAATTCTTCTCAACAGATGTCACTCTCAAGCTCTGAATGCACTTTCACTCACGTTCTGTAAGCGCTCTGGTTCAAATTCTCACTATTTATAATTTAATTCTGTCGTTCTCACGCTTCCGCTCTTAAATTTGCTATCACTCTCATTCTCAATTTATATAACTTAATTTTGTCATTTTTAGATTTTCACTCTCGAATTCGCACTAACTACTGCTCGTATATTTGACTTAGGTCTAGACACGTGAACTCTATATAATTGGTAGAAAATATATATATATATATATATATATATATATATATATATTACATTTCGAATTTTGATTGGTTATGTTTGTGTGAAAGGGGAAGCGAGTAAGAATAACAGTACAGTCATCATATAGTTTTTCAATTTCTGTAGTTACCTAAACTCCAATGAATGCCCGCCACGTCATAAGAGGACAAAATCGTTCTCTTGCTCTACAAGCTGAATTATGAAAAAACAAATACAGTGGTACACATTTCAGAGCAACCCCATTAGCGTCGCAGCTTCCTCAATCTGCATATTAACCATCAGAGATTGTCTCCTCCTCCCTCCCCTCTCTCTCTCTCTAAGAATAGCCACACATTCTCTCTCCTCCTCCCCCTTAAATCCTTACCAGAACCCACAAACCATAAAGATACAGGGAAAAATGTCGTCAGAATCCGGTGAGCAACGACCGGCGATACCCCATGACACGGGAAAATCTACGCCGGAGGCCGAGCACATCCCATGCCCCAGATGTGACTCCACAAACACCAAGTTCTGCTACTACAACAACTACAGCCTCTCTCAGCCCCGCCACTACTGCAAGTCCTGCCGCCGGTACTGGACTCTCGGTGGGTCCCTCCGCAACGTCCCCGTCGGCGGTGGAACCCGCAAGAGCTCCGCCAAACGCCGCCCCCGTACCACTCCCACCAGCTCTTCATCTTCCTCCTCTGTAGTACCCAACGACCCAGTACCCGATGACCCGATCGCGACCATACCCGGAATGGACTCGCCGGGGAGTTTCAACTACACTTGGTTGCCCCATGTGGAGGGACTTGGGTTATCGGGTTTGGACGGGCTTGGGCTTGAATCGGGTGGCCTGGGGGTTTGGGCCACGGAGGAAGTGGGTGAAGGCCATGGCGGTGGAGGGAGTGGCTTTGGGGCTTCAACTGGCTCAGGCACGTGGCAAATAGAGAATGTTGAAGGAGTGCTGGCCGATGAGAATTGCTTTGGTTGGCCCGAACTTGCTATTTCCACACCAGGCAAAGCTCTGGATTAATATACTACTATTTCAGATTTTCAGGTTTAATATATATTATATATATACTATATATGTTTGTATTATTTAGTTTACAAGTTGTCTTTTGAGTTTAATTTTCGGGAATGGGCTTGTTGTTTAAGAAGTGAAGCTGTGGGCAAGCTGTGTCTTTGTCTTAGATTTGATACTAATTAAAATGTTACCATGATATATTATGTGTGACCAAAAAAAAAATGTAGTTAATTAGATTTATTTTCATTATATACACTAAATATGTTTCACATGTGTTCTATCAGTAGATTTTCACAAAATGTTTAGTTAAAGGTATACACTTCACCTCGGACTTAAATTTTGATAGTGCATGTCATGCAAGATGCGAAGTGTTCTATGTGATTGGATGGCAATGAAGAATTAGAATTTGAAACCCCGCAATGACACATATCAATCTTTGGATTTTATAAATTTTACAATAAAGTTCACGAATTTAACGGTTGACAATGCAAGGAGTGCAATCGCGATGACACACATCAATCCTTAAATTTTGTAAATTTTAAAGTAAAGTTCACATATTTAGCTGTTGATATTCTCTTAGTAGTTGCAACTGCACATTTTTAATAATATAATATGTGATTTTGTTTTAATAATATAATATGTGATTTTGTGTAAAACAATTGAAATTATTCCACTATTTCAAGAGTAACTAACCTACAAACAATAGAAATTAACCAACCCTACAAAATGTCTGCGTCACTGGTTCTTTATGAAGTAACTCTATAATTTATTGATCTGAAGAAAAAGAAGAACCAAAAGCTATAAAAGTAAACCTAGAAGTTTAAGGAATAGAGATGCGCATGGTCGAGGTTGATATGATACTTCTTGTCTTCCACAAAACACACCCTCATCAATGGAAATTCCACCGACAACGGGCCCATTTCATCCAACATTTTCTTTCATTATATGTGCTTGCTACAGTCCACTGCATGCATCATGCATGTTACATGTACCTGTCTTCTTGCATTTTCTTGCTTCTTTCGTATTTCCTCCCACTTGTCAAAAATTCAAAAAATCCAACTTTTCCAAGAATTTGTTCTCAATTGTACATTTTCTTTGAACAAATGGATTCTATCACTCACGCGTGTGATTGTCCATAAAATCAACACGGGTAAAGTGAAACAATGAAATCCATTCGATGTAGTACAATACAGGTACGGTATGGAAGATTCGGATTCTTATTGATGGACTGAAGTTATGTACATTTTCTCATAAAACAAATAAATTGTTTGAAATAAATTATTGTACGCTACAATCGCATTGCGATTTCAGTTTGGATAATGAAATAAGAATCCCTTAAGTTAAGAGTTTTAAACTTGAGAAACATTGTCCTCGAGTATTTAAGACTTGTACATAACCCACAGGTGTCTCACAGTAAAAAGTGATATAAAGCACAGGTGCTGTTTGACAAATTGTCCAATCGAGGCATGCAAGCCCATATGCCACAAAAATTATGTTGGCCTAGTGCTCTCAGTTGATGGTGCAGTGCAGGCAAGTTGCTGTATCGATAGTGCAATTCAATGGTAGTGACTGGTGAGAGTGGTTAGTGTGAACAATGACCAATAAAAGTAGTACGTGACTTGTTCAAATTTGCTTCTGAGCCCATGAATGTTGATTACGAATATGACCAGATTAGAGATTAATTGAAATAGAAGTTTCGATACCACCTAAAGATGTAGTCCAGTAATATCATATCTTCTCTATGTTCTAAAAGTTGAAGATGAATGTTGATTACGAAAAAAGTGATTGAGACATGCTGGCGTGAGTGCGCACAGGGAGAGAGACCTTAATCAGACCTTCAATCCTCCATCCATTGCTTTCAAGACTCGTAGAGTAGAAGACCACACACACACAACTAATTCCCCAACAAAAGAAAAAATTCCAAGAGCACTAGAGGTTGAACACTTGAGCAAACCATATATGCATTACATTTGAAAGATGCATACATTACATATAGAGTTTCCAACACCAAAACCGCAATATAGCAACATGTTATTTCTACAGAAAGCAAAAAGCCCTCAACCATTCTCAGTTGGGGGGCTTGAAAAACTTAAGCTTAAGTCCACTGTTCACCATACTCCAAATACCTCCAATTGAAATGGCCAAGCTAAAAGCAATGCCCAACCACCCAAGGATCCAATTAAAATACCAATTGAAGCTGTACTTTGTCGGTCTCTTTATGAGAACCCACATGAAGCAAGGGTAAGCAAATGTGACTGGAAGAGTAAGTCCTCCTAACAAGCCAGCAAGACTGGAAAGGAAGGGAAGTGCCACCCCAATGAAGAAGGAGATGAATCCATAGAAGACTCGGAAACCAGAACGAACCCAGATTGAGCAAGGCCGGTTGGTACGGCTGGTGTAGCCCGCTTCAAAACTGTCGAAAACAGGCATTGAATATATTTGGAAACTACTCAAACAGTTGAACACAACTAGAAGGAATGTCACTGCAAGAAGTCCTCTTGGAATGTCATGACTGTGAAATGCAAACAAAGCATTGAGAATTCCTCCTGAAGGCATCTACAGTAACAACAACAACAAAAAACATAAATATTAAATTTCATCATCAATGACACAGCAACATACTAACGTAACCAAAAATATGATGCTGCAACTTACTTGGAGAAGCAAATCATGTCACCATCAACAATTAGGTTTACGTGGGCAGAATACATCTTCATGGTACAAAAGGAAAACTAATATCCATGAAACCTCTGCCTCCCTAGTATCTCCTAAGAAGGTTTACACTAATTGCACAAAAATCATCCCTGTTAAATGGTTTTACATTTTCATTCCGTTTATTTAGACACATAGAGAATTTGCACAATTGGGATTTAATCTGTCTCAGTAATCTCAACATCCTTTACATCTTTAATGCTATACACGGAAGCTTCATGTATTTTTCAACTTTATTAATTTTTGAAGTTGGATATATTTTTTTTTTTTGGACAAGTTTAATTTATTTTCATTCTTCCAGATCATCAGTTGTCTTCATTTATTCTAGTACATTTACAGTTAGTGCTATTTTTGCCCCCTTTTTTATATATACTAAAGCCTGGTATGAGCAAATATATTGAAGAGAATATAGAACGTCACAAGAAGTGTACTTACAAGATTTCCATAAGCCCAAAAGCCTCCTATAGCAACAGGAAACAAGCACATAGCAATCAAGAAATAGGCAACTTTTGCTCCTCTCCACATGGGTACATGCGCTGGGTGCTTGAAAGTTGATGGCATTGTTGCCTGAAAAACAACATACGAAACTCTTGTAAGTGACAAAAATACATGTATTCAATCAAGTATAAATGATTCAGAGTTGTTCAAGAGAGAGAGAGAAACAGTAAATTACGCCTATTTAGACACTCTTATCATACCTGAATCTCAAGGACGAGATTGTGGCCTCTGAATGCAAAAGCTACAATTCCAAGTGCATTCAAGGCCGAGAAGATAGAGGCAAAAAAGGAAGGCAATGAAATGGGTTCATAAGACATTGAGGGTGGCCTCTGTTGGCTCACTGATAGGACCCAAACCATGGTGGAGTACGTAATGGCTGTCACTGCCCCTATCAGAGAGAGTCCTGCAATTGAGTTAAGGTTCGGGAGCTGGGATAGTACAATGCATAGAGACGTGAACACCAAATACCACTCTACAGTTGTGAGAGGATTTGATGAACAGAGGGGTCCACAAACTATCTGGAAAAATAGTTTCATGGTTTCCCCTCCTATAAGAATCAAAGCTGTTGCAGTCCCTGCTGACAAGTAAACGGTAGGGAAAAGAGCAAGCCACACTCCTAATCTTTCTCCTGCCGAAGTAAAACTTACATCAATCCACCATCAAAAACAATAGGTATTATAGTAAACAATAGAAATCTTTAAGATCTTTCTTCATTAGTCACCGTTCTTGTGTTCTCTGTGTCATTGGATCAGTCAGCTCTAAGGAAAAATATATAATCATATTTTCAGGATCAAACAGCAATGAGATAACAAGTCCTTTTTGGTTTTAGTTTCTTAAAAAGTACAAAATGAAGAGAAAAAAAAAAAAAAACCATGTATAATTGCGGTTTACTGTGATTTAACTGACTGAGATTCTGACCATAATAGAATGAAATGGCAAACAAGATTCATGTAGCCAAACCCAAATAGTTGTGAAAAGGCTTTATTGAGTTTAGTTATCAGTTATATGAACATCAATTCAACAGTACGAGTGCTTAACTGTTACCCCATAATACATGTAACGAACAAATACTATTGGATGGCGTGACCAATATATTTCACATGCCACATACTTCTTGATGAACAACTGACTCAAGTTGTTTTAGCACCCATTCACATGTCTACTCATAATGTAACTTCTATCACCCAAGTAAAATATGAAAGAAAATATGACTATTAATCTAGGCCAATTCAAGTAGAAATGTGAAATGTAGATCAGTTGAAAAATATGTTCCTGCCCATGCATTTTCATAAATTCATATCAATTAGCAGGTGGATGTATTAATAATTTATCTTGCCAGGTTTTGAAGGTGAACTAATTTTCAACTAAAAGCTGAGGCCTAGACTGCAAGCTCACCAAATGCTGCTTGTGCAAGCTCCACATATCTGTTGTACCTCTTCCCGGGAACTGCTTCATGTAGCTGAACTAGAATCCACAAAGTGTATAGTTGCCAGAAGTAAGCTATGGTTAAGGACAGGATTCCCCAACTCCTGCAGTTCATTAGAAGAACATACAAAGAAGAAGAAAAATTAATTGGCAGAAGTAAGCTACCATTGATAAAGTATGCCAGTTCCTGAAGTACATTAGAAGAAAAATAAAAGAAAGAACACCAAATTAATTAAGATAACTTCTTTAATTTTGCTCCCCCCTCGTAGCACCATAAGGTAACTAATATTTTGTAGCTTAAAATTTTAAAATGATAAAGGCCCTTCAAATTAGCATTGCTTTAATTTTCAATTTTCTCTAGTTCATTTCATATCAGTATTTCCATTACCAATAATAGAGTACTTTAGAATATTTAAAATAAAAAATAAAAAAATAAGAAAAGAAGGTTTAACCTTGTTTAACTTTACCAGCAAATTGAAGGACCACAACTAATAAAAAGTCCATATCATTTTAGATGAAGCTACCAGAAGCACAATTATCTTGTAACATTTTGAATGGACTAAACTAAAAAAATAATAGCATTACTCTTTAAATGTCGAAGACACGAAAGAATTTGCTATATACTTATACAGAAGAAAGAAAAGAAGTTCCAATATCATTTTCTCCTACAGAATATATACCGTGTAGCATTGCTACTAGTAACTAGAGGTAGAAAATGAACATTTGGAGTTAGCAAATAATCTGGATGAGCCAATAGTCCACTGTATTTGTGATGGTATGCAAGTGGCTGGTAAAAGCTTAGGGGACCCTGATATAAATCAACATAAAGTAAGATAAATTGCCATGGTCCTACCCTATATGGCAAAGATAAATTTCAAGCCATCAAGGGTTGTACTTTGTAGAAGAGCTACCACATATAGTACATAGGGTTGAAATAGGGTCATATATGGAGAAACTTTACTCTCACAAGAAAAAATGAAATATCTGACAAATCTAAACCATGCCTTAACAAGGGCTACAGATGGGGCCCATTGACAAAAGAATGTCTACCCATTTACAGATAGGGCCCATAGCACTTTTCTTTTCTTTTTCATTTGTCAAAATAGTTTCCAGGAAAAGATAAGGTACACAATTAACAATGGAATAAATTTGTTTTGCAATAGTGTTTCAAATTTACTATCTGAAATTATGAAAAAAGGATACCATGAATTGAAGGGAGAAACCCATGTAATGGTCAAATATATAGCATAAAGTACAATCCCTCTGTATAATAATAGAAAAACAGAAGAACAAGTGGTCCCCAAACAGATATCAGCTTTTCGAGAAAAATCAAGTCATGGAAGAAAGAAAAAGATGAAAGGGGTTAATTGACTAGTCTTACAGATATTTCTTTTCATGTTCGAATCAAATCTATGATAAAGTTTTTGATAATAACAAAGATACCAAGTGGATCAACAAACCAAAATGTAAAATTAGAACTTGAACAAGAATCATTTAGAGATACATCATAAACCTACCCTCAACTTTTTCTTCTCTCTTTTTCTCGCTTCCCTTCTTCATTTATATCAATGCATAGTATTAACCTTCCCAATTAGACATTTTCCTGGGTTTGAGAGGAGGTTTCTTCCTAGCTTGACCTCTCAATGCACGAAGAGGCCTCGTAACTACTCAAACTACACGAAGATACACTCGTCACTCATGTCAAAACTAGCATGGATATACCTTCAAAACTATAACGTAAAAAATTACAATTAAATATGTCTCTTTTAGAATGCGAAGAAGCAACCTTTATAAGCCAATACGTTAAGGCATGCTGTTAAAATGCACGAGTAGAGGCTTATATAGCTCAACTATGTTAGTGCAGCAAATTTCAGCAAAAAGGTCCTGTCCCATGCGGATAAAAGATACAAATTTCCGGCTATCACTTGCCGTCTAAAAATTCTAGCAAACTTCTATCAGCCCCTATTTATCATATGATTACAATGAGTTCATGAAACTTTAGGAATGGGCTCAAAAAGCAACCTTTTTAATTCTTAAATGAATCAAATGAAGAATATATTTGGACTAGCCATTCCTTCAACTGCCTACGAAATGAAAGGACAGATATGACTTATAGAGTGGCCTATTTGTCGATAGAGTAACAAGCAGATCCTTCTTTCAAATTTTCAATTATTAAGGCAGGCAGCCCTTTGTAAATACATTAATGAGTTTCACAACCATTTTAAGTACAATTTAATTGAGCTCTTCATGTGCTAAGGTTGAACACTTATCGTATCATCAACCAAGAAATTTCATACAGCATTTGGGTTTTAAAAATAACCAAGAAATGAAGAAGTACAGCAGCAACAGTGAATTTGAAATCAGATGTTTGGTATAGAATTAATAAAGTGATCCCAAAACAAATGATTCAAGGTAAAACAAAATGAATAAGATTAATGACAGCAAAATTACTTTCATAAAAGGTTATAATGAAATGAAAAAAGCAACCCAAGTAGCAATCAAGTATAAAGAGAATGGGCCAACTGGCTTAATTATCTTTAAGAAAATAAGAGGAAGGCCCCAGTCCAGGTGGCTTTATTATAAAAATAATTGAAGTCAGGAGATAAAGCAAAAGATGGAAGAAAACGAAATGACTTGCCTCAAGGATATTTCTTTCTTTTTTCGACTCAAATCATATCCATGACGAAATCTAAAAGAAGAACATCAAAAGAATACCCAAGTAGACCCACAAGCCATAACCTTTTTTCACACACAAACACCCACACAGGGCTAGAAGCCAATAGTCCAAAAAAAATTTGTAACTTACAGCGCAAAAAGAACTGATTAAAGATCGAAAATTAACCAAAAACAACAAAATGAAGCAAAATATTGAAGACGCGAACTGGGAAATAGGAAATAGGAAATAGGTGAGTGTTCTTAATAATAACTAAAGGGCCATTACCCATTATTAATTTGGGCTTGTTATTGGAGATATATTATCGAACATCTACTAATCATTAATAATTGATTAAATTTATAACAAACAAAAAAAACCAAATTAAAGCAATTAAGAAGTGTGAGTTTATCAACAAGAAGTATGAGAAGAAAGTTCTCTCTCCAATTTCACACTCCATTCAAAAGATGTAGACTTAAAAAAATGAAATGAAGCAACCTAAAGATTTAGTCTTAAACAGAGCAAAGTATTAAAGATATTGAAGTGAACCCAATACAGAAAAGATAACGGAGCAATAGAAATTGAAGTAGGTAGTTATATATATATACCAGCCGAGGAAAGAGAAGGCAACGGGCAAGACAAGAGCTTGAAAGCCAACACCGGCATTGAGGTTATGGAAGGCGGCGTAATGGGCATTGCCGTTGCGAGACTCGGTGATGGGAAGCCAGGCGTCCTGAGGGTTGAGCTTGGTCAGGTGACCCACCTCCTCCAAGTACCCTTTCATGTTTATCAACACCCTCTTCATCGGCGTCCCTATTGGGCTCAGAAACCGCGGCGATATGAACGAGGTCGGCGTCCACGCATTCGACGACTTCGCCTCCTTCCTCGGCGACCTCTGCGCAGATGGTGTCTGTATCTCCGGCGTCGACACTCGTGGCGTCGCCGGTATTGATATCAGCTCCGACTCTGGTCTCTCCTCCATTACTCTCTCTCTCTCTCTCTCTCTCTCTAAAACTCTCTCTCTCTTCACTTAGTAAGTCGTGAGAGGCTTGCTTGAGTATTTGTATGAAAACTGAATTGAGTGTGTACTGTAGTGGTGTATGTAGTACACTACCACGCCACGCCTGAAAGAAATAATTGAGAATTATTTGTTTTCTTCTTTTCGTGGTTTCTGCTTTTTTTAGTCTGTCATTGGGGTCAGTCATGCATTAGAGCGTGAGACTAAAATTGACTGAAAACTGAAGTTTGAAAATAAAGCATGTGGGACTGCCCATCACAATTAGCTAGATACATGTGTGTGTGTGTATATATATATTCATATATTATGTTGTCATAAAATGAAGTAATATTATGTTATTTAATGTTTAGTTGAATATTTCTAAATATCTAATAGAAAGAAATATTATAAATATTATGTGTGTTGCATAGTTTGTGTGTTCAGAGACTCATTCGCAGCATCTGTTACAAATTATTTTATAAGACTTAAAAAAAGATAACCTATCAACCAATACATGATACGTCATGTATAGAACGCTTATTTATGACATTTACAAGTATGAATGTTTTTTAAAATTGTTAGAACACTTCAATTTCAAAATAGTGTAAAAAGAAAATAATATCTATACAATAAAATGTGGGATATTGAGGATCAGACTAATGATTAGTTGCTATTTCTTATTCTTAAAAAAATATAGTATACGTGGTAGACATAGATAGTACTACACATTAAGTATTTTGAAATATTAAAAATATATATATTTATATATATGTATATATATATTTATATATTTTTGTGCCGGGAGATTTTCAAGAACTAAAACACTAAGGATTTATTATAAAGTATTGCACTAAATGTTAAAGCGTATTGGAGATAATTTTTATTTTGTTGTACTATATTATTATTATAAAAGATGGATGAGGTTATAAATATATATATATATATATATATATATATATATATATATATATAAAGATATGTAATGCGTTTATTTTTGTAATGCTAGTGTTATTTTGGTGATTTCAGGGTTTCACAGTGAGAGTGGGAATGGACGGGACTTGCGAGTTTTATGAAAGTTTGCGCAGCTGTGATCCTGACCGTTGATTTGTTGCGAATCTCAAGACACTGAGGGACGGGTATTGATGTGGGATTCTCTGTTTCACCACTAAAATTCGCGGATATAAGCTCAAATCAGACGTGAAATGGACAGCTCTGATTTTGATGGATGTGTTGGCTTGAGTGTGTGTCTGTGTGTGTGACTAGGACACAGGAGTGTGTTAAGTTGGGGCTGAAGAGGGTTGTGATTCTGTGTGCGAGGGAGTACCAGAGGTATGGTGTAGAGTTAGAGTGCTTTAATGATGAGAGGGTGGGGGGTGCTGCAACTGTGACGTGGTGGGGTCTTATTGGTTGATGTTTCATCGATCAGAAGATCATTTACAATTTCGAGTGACTCAATGAATACGTTACCGAAAATCACGGTTGTCTGATGGCCTGAGGATGTCACGCGATCATGCGCGCGTAAAACTACTAACCTAAACTCGTGGGCCTCGATTTTGTCCAACAAATATTACGACTTTTGAAAGAGAAATGCCTTTTTTACAGTTGTGAATGAGGTGTTGGATACTGTTGGAATATAGGAATCTTTTTCAATCAAATTTTATGTTATTATATATATATATATATATAAAATTATGAACAATTCATTCTTTTTTTAATTGAAGAATTGTGACCTCTAATAATTTCTCTTATCTAGTTTGAGATATTAGAATTAGGCATTTGTTGCAATTGTTATGGTGGAAAATAATCTTACTTCAAATTGCACTCAAAAAATTGTTGGATCGAGAAACTAGTGAAATTTAAAAATTATTCTAAAACATAATACTTGCCTTAAGCCGCATAAAAAAGAACTTTCTTCTTATGATGAGGTGACCCAATAAAATATTAACAACCGTTAAAGTTTAAAAGGAAAAAAAAAAAAAATTATGACCACAAGAAATAAAAAAGGAAAACTACATATAAGTAGACTTAGTAGTCTTAAATAACAAAATAGTCTAAATTTAAAGTTTATTTTTCAATTTGATTAAATTAAACAAAATAATTACAAATACGTCAACAATTATTGTTAAAGTCCAAAATACCCTTCAAACTCTTATTCTGAAATACTAAAATATCCGTATAATTTTATAAGAATTTTGGAGCCTATTTTGATCCAATTCTTATGTGGCATGGACACATCATCGCTCTTACCATTTTTTTTTTCTTTCCAAAACAACGTTTCTTTCTCTCTTCAATTAGATTGGGTTCCATTCCTCTATCTTCATCGTCTCTCTCTCTTCCCTCTTGTTTGGTTTTGATAACTTTTCTGAACAACCACGCTGATGAGGGAGACCGCCATGACCAGAGGATTATTATACAAACTTTAATTGGCTTATCTTTCTCGTCTTCCTCAGATCTCTTGTACAATGACTTAAAGCTTCATCTTTTTTATCTATAATGATTTCTTACCAAAAAAATAAAGGATAAACTAAAAATTTTGGTTCTTAGGTCGATTAATCTATACCGAGTATGATCACATATATAACCCAGAAAAATAAAAAAAAATTCAGAAAAATTTGAAATAAGACGGATCTAATTGAAGAGAGAGAAAGCCTCATTGAATAGTGAAAATCTATCTAAAAATTAAGAACAAGTATCACAACTTGATCCCTAAACATCTAGGGTTGATCCCAAATTTATCAGAAAATAGTGTTCTATGTCTTCAAAAAAATGTTTTATTTCTTCAATTGAGTATTTAATCAAACAATTCATTTGCAACCTTCTATAATTTCTCCAAACATACAACAAATACATCTTGAAATATCATATTTATAAACAAAGCGTCTGTCTTGCTTCAGAACAAGAAAATATTATTCCACCTATAAAAGGAAATTCAAAAGTATATGAATAAACATGTAAATAGTACATATAAAGAAGGAGAAAATGCCGTGTAAAATAAATTTGGATTTGTAAGATACTCCTTAAATCATTTGTCATGCTTGTTGCAATGGATTTGATTTTCTTCACTCAGGCTCCTTCCAAACACAGGATCCACAGTCAAGATTCGAAAGTTTCTTAATTGACTTTTGGTATTTTGAAATTATATAACTCTAAGGATATTTTGGTATTTTAGAATAAGAGTTTGGAGGGTGTTTTGGACCTTAACAATAATTATTGATGTATTTGTAATTATTTTGTTTAATTCAATCAAATTGAAAAATAAATTTAAAATTAGACTATTTTGTTATTTAAGGGTACTAAGTCTACTTATATGTAGTTTTCCCAAATAAAAATTGATCCACCCTCCTCTCTCTTTCCATCTCGTCAGTAGTATTTCCTGGGGCAAACAAGAAATTGAAGAAGGAGATGAAATTGTGAAGTTATAACATCAAAATATGATAAATATCAAAATAGTTCCAATTTAAACAGGTTGTATATTGGGGTTGATCGGATTTGGCGCATGATGGGTCTCCCTCCATTGACGGAGATGTTGGGAATCAACATCATCTCTCTCCATTGAGAGCAACATATGCCGAGAACGAATCCAGAAATTGCAGGCAAGGACTTAGTCTTGAGTTTGGCAACTAACAATGATTGTTGGGATTGATTGAAATCAAAATGTGGGTTTGTTGTAAAAAAAGATGATGATAGAAGAAAAGGAATTACAGACACGTGCAATGGATTTTATTTTTATTTTTATTTTTTCCTGATCATATGGTGGATTTGGTGAAAGGATATGGGTTTTAAAATCCTAGGTTTCAACAATCGTTGCCACGTCTTCCGCAACAGATTGGAGGTCGGTGGATCTCGTCAACAAAAGCAAATCTGTGTTGAATGATTTCCCACCTCTTTGAAGTTCTTGTTGTCGCCAGAGTTAGAGGAAAAAAAAAAAAAAAGGAGGTGGATTGGAGAGAGAGTGAGCGTGGTGGAGGCCGTGGACGATTGAGGTGGTTGTGAGGGGAAAATATTACTATGTAGGTGTAACGACTTGAAATAGGGGTCCGAATCGCTAAGCGGGTCCTTAACCAAACCCAATGACGCACTAGGGGTAAAATGGTCATTTTACAATATGAGAGGGTAATTTGCTTTTAAACTAGTCAAATGAAGTTTAAAATAACCCTTCTAGTCATTCTATGATGTTTGATGAGATTCTACGGTCATTGGATATGATTTCCCAATAGCGCCCTTACCGGTTCAAGGGAAATTCTGACACTGTTCCACTAAAACAACTATAACTCTCAACATGAATGAAATTTGAAGATCAGGTTGGTCTCATTGGAAATCTAACATAAAATCCTTGAAAATGGTCTCAAGAATGACCCTATTTAGGTTTGGAAAGAAGAAGTGATGACCCAACAAAGTCAGGCGGTCAAAGTTGATACACTATCATGGCAAAAATATACACTGGAGGGCTGGAATCGATTCCCAATCTTGGTACCGGTTCTACCTGGGCAAAATATCACAATGCGAACCAAAAACACCCTTGAACCAGTTCCAAGAAAGTTGAACCTATTCCAGAAGTCCAGAACCTTAAAAATGCCCATAAAAGGCCTAAATTCAAACACTTGTGTTCATGGGTACCCCCTTGGTCCCTTGGTGACCTTATTAAAGTCTAATCCCAGTCCCAAACATGTAATTGGCTGTGTATGAAACATAATTAAACTCCCGTGCCTTCAATTAAATCGAATACAAGCCCAATACATCGTTTAAAGACCAAATTACACAAATCTCATTTTATACAATTTCAAAAGAATTAAATACAAGGAATGAGGCCTTCATGGCCAAAATTACATAGCTCTAATATAAATAAAATGAAATGAATTCCTAACTACATTAATGTCCATGGATGCATATCATTCACTGGCTCATCTCCGAATTCCTGAAAAATGTTAATAATAATAGGGTGAGCTCAACAGCTCAGTAGAAAAAGCTTAAATTACATTCCTAAAAATCCTGTGAGCTACAACTAAGGAAAATGAGATCAAGGAAAATGGATCATGGGATTAGAAGCCATATCATCATACATGAAATGCAAATACCACCTTCTTCCTTTCTAACCCAATCTCACCAAAGCCTTCATAACCTTTACCTTAACTTTCAACGCCAACCATCATCTCACTTCTTAACCTTTTCTTCTACATCAAATCTTCATCCTTTCTACTCACCCCATGTCAAAAGTATGCATGTCATACTACCATTCATCAATATACAAGTCATGATTTACATCATAGTTATATTAAAACATCTAAACACAAAAATTGATCACACAAATCATATTTTCACATTTTCTCAAAAAAAAAAAAAAAAATAGCATGCTTGGCACAAATACAAGAAACCATCATATTCTCAACCCACAACAATTAAATCAACATTATCTCGTGCTTAATATCACAACAAAAATTTACAAATTAAACATGCTTCACAACATCAAAATAATCATGTAAAAAAATACATAGAAACTCATTAAAATTATAAGACTTGTAATTTAAATTTTCCTTACCTTAATGAAGCAAACCAAATAAGGCCTTAGCTAGCCCCAAATTTCGAAAACCTTCTAAACCCTAGCAATATTGGCCTCAATTTGAAGCTCATGCTAAACTCTCCAACTTCCCTCCTTCCTCTTCTTCAAAATCTAACTCAAACCTTTCCAAAATCAAGATCAAATGGTGGAAGACAATTAGTGAATATAGTTAGATATAGAAAAAGAAAGAGAATGGTTAGAGAGAGAGCATTTTTGCCGAAAATGGAGGAGAATGAAAGGTGATGGTTTGATAAAAATCTCAACTTATGGTCATAGTCTTGCCATGTGTCAACTTTTGGTTGATTTCTAATTTTGTGCAAAGTTACAATCTTGCCCTTCTTTAAACCATACACTGTCTCATTTGTCCCATAAATATCTACCTCTAATATATAGATATAGATGTATATATATGTGTGAGAAAAGTCCATTATGCCCCTTTCTTAAAATGACAAAACCGGGAGAAGTTCCCGAGTCCGGAAATTGTCCCGACTTCTCAAAAATTTTAAAAATGATACCGTCACTTCTAATTGACTTAAAATGATCAAAAATACACTTCTAAAACCCTCAGCTCAAAAAAAATGACCAAATCACCCCTCGGGGCCCGCGTGGCACGCAAAACGAGGCAAGGATTAAAATAAACTAGAAAAATCAAATAAATTACCGAAAATAGAAAAATAGGGAAAATCGGTAACATTACAGTAGGAAAGAAAACCGTGGAAGTGTCGGTGGTGGCCATGGGCGAACAGTGGAGGTGGCGGCCATGGACAGACGCTGAAGGCCCTTTGAAGAAAAATGAGGGATGTATATATATATATATATATATATTTGTGTATATATAGCTGCGTGAGAGAGAAAGAGAGGAGGATCAGTGGCGTAATTTTTTTTTTTTTCTTTTAAAACTTTAACACTAGTTTATATTTTATTGGGCCACCTCATCATAAGAAGAAGGTTTCCTTCTTATGCGGCCTAAGATAAGCATTGTTCATTCATAAAAACTTATTTGAATGATATTTTAGTTATCTACTTCAAAATTTATATTGCTTAACACAAAGAAAGTTATTCACTATTTACAATCTTCGGTTCAATCCCAACTTATTATTATTTGGCTCGATTTTGAGTCAATAATTCAATTCTAAATTTATGATTTGGTTCAGTTTTGTGTCAATGTTTCAATTTTGATTTCAAAAATAGTAAAATTAGAATGGTTTGAAATCCTAAATATAACTTTTGTTACCGAGAACCAAAGTCACTTTGAATTAATGTTATATATATATATATATATATATATATATATATATATATCTGGGTTGGAGAATACCAGATCAATGATCCTGAGTTTAACTTGAATACCAGCGGTAACAATTCAGATGTCTACACTTTAACCCAAAAACTTAACCTATTGAATAATGTTACATATATACATGTTGCTCAACTTCTCGTGCCCTTATCTCAAATATATATTTATTGTAATTGGTGGGCACTTGTCCATTTATTCAAAAATTCAAATTGTTCGATAGTGCTGCATACTCACCCATTTATACCAAATTTTATATCGGAATCCAACATGAGATAAATGACCCTTATTACATTCTTTCTCACTCAAACTCGCAACGCCCTTATTGCGGCTCGAGCCACCCTACCTACTCGGGGTGGCTCACCCGGATGCTTGGGGTGGCACTGGATTAAGGAGTGGATTTAGTTTTAATACCAACTGTAACGAGTGAGCGCTTGTCTATTTACTCAAAAACTCAAATCGTTGAGTAATACTGTATATTCGACCATTTATGCCAATTATTTTTCTATCCAAATCCAATATAAGACAAATGAAATTGTTACACTTATCCTGTACAATCCTCATGCTAGTGCCTCGGCTTCAAATACTGAATGGGGTCCTCAAAAGCAGAAAAAAAAACCTCCAATATTGTCACGCCTTAGCGACCACTAAGTAGAGAGAATTATAGTTAATATATAATGTCATGGTTGATGCTGATTTTAATTACACATGCAATATATATAGAAATGAGAGCAATTAAAGTGGAGATGTGGACCACATTGGAAATTCATCTATTTCTGCCGCCGAAAGTGAATAACTCCCCCCCCCCCCCCCCCCCAAAAAAAAAACTCTCAATACATTCATTTATGGTGGACATGGAAATGGGGATGTTGCTTTTCGTTTCTTTTTCCCATTTCATGTCTTCTTTATGCTTTGGGTGTGTGTGTGTGTGTATATATATATATAATTTAGATATTCCTTGATCTTTGCCTCTGTGGTGTGTCACTATTCATAGCACGACCATCATCATATATTGTACAAGGACTATTAAATTGTTCAGACCTCTAGGAGGGACTTCTTTAATTTTATTTGTTTATTTAATTTGAAGGTGTAGATAAACCATGTCTCATTGACGACATGATAGGTTGTTGATAACCTTCATTAGAGAATTTTTTTTTTTTTTTTTTTTTTTTTTAATTGACAAGAAACTCATATGGCATTTGTTTCCACATAACTAGAATCTTCACTTTTCACTTTTAAAAAAAATACATTTTAAAGTTAGATAAGAATGGAAAAAATTTATTGTCAGAAAAAAAAAATAGAGGAAAAAATATAATAAGAACATGGTTATTAAACAGATATAGTGCTTTACCACTTGGTCATTAGTCTAAGTAATATAATCTCTTCTCTCTCGAAGCGAAGGTGAGGGGTTATAGCCTTTTAGTAAATATTTGTGGGGGAGTGTTTGAGATAATAATCCAAAAAGTAAATAAATTATGCAAACTTATGAAGTCAGCATTTTAATTTAAGAATATTAAATATGCAAATTCGGCGAGAGAATTCTCATGATATACATGTTCATAAATATGCTTTAAAAATTGGATTGTAAAAAAAATATATTATAATCCTTGTTTTTAAAATTTTAGCTTCGCATTACTATAATTTGTTTTCGAAATTGATATTTCTAACTCCTAAGTCCTCACCCATGATCTGTACATGGACTTATTTGGATGGCTGCGAAACAAAGCCCACCTAAACCGGCTAGGACATTACAGGCCCATCTTAACCCACTACAGAGAAGTTGTTGGGTTTATTAAGTTAATGGGTCAGCATACAGATTGTATACAATCCAAGTGAGCTAAATAGAATGTTAAAGTTCAAGATTAAGTGTAAATGGAAAGATAGCATGTGTAGAGGATGTCAATACGATTTTTTTTTTCAAACTTGATTCGGAGCACCTCGCATCAGAGTCAGGTCGCCTTGATATACAATTTTTTAATGAAAAATAATTCAGACTTGAATAAATTTAAAATAAATTTTGTACGATCATAATAGCAAGCGTTGTTAAAATTTAAAATTATCATAAGAAATTAAAAAAAAAAAAAAAAAAAAAAACTATAGCTAATAAGATGATATTTTTTTATATAATAATTGTTAATTAGAGCGGGTTTAGGGCTTTGTTTTAAACTCTTTTTCCAAACTCACCTCTAACCCGATTATGATTATTCCAAACCCATTCCAATAGAGGTAGAACAAGTTAAATTGGCATCCCTAGACACATGCATATACGTTATACAATGCTTTGACCCTTCTAAGAACAATGGGTAAGATGTGTCTCTCCATAAATATGGCCATTGTATGGTGATAAAAGATTTTATTTATCCATTTAGGATGTACCATGTAGCCCAGGTGGTGAACGAGCCGCACGAGTTGGTGTGAGTACCCGTATTCAAGCCATCTATCCTACTAACTTCTAACTCCTTCCCTTTCTCCTCTTAACTACTACTCCTAACCCTACTAACCATTGCCAGGTGAAAAAAATAAATAAATAACTCCACCATTTTAGAAGGGCCATAATTTTGCTTTGGCCATGGCTAACAGAATAGGAAACAATATATATATATATATATATATATATATATATATATATATAATTAGTACTTATACACATATTTCTACTGAAATTCGAATTTTAAATTTCTCTTTAAAATAAAAATTTGACACATGTTGGTTGACCATATAGTGAGTGCAATTTTTTATTATTTTTTTGGTGCATATCTATTGATCAGCCCCACACCGTTGCATTTGGCAGGTCACAGTTTTGTAAGGCTGGTGAAACGTTGTTTATACAATTATACGGGTTGCTTTTACGTTAAAAATTATAATTTACGTTGGGATTGATTTGTACATGAAAAAGTAGATGACAGGTTGCTACAAAGTACAAACTATAACTTTAGTGGTGATTAGGATTCTCTTATAGCATAAAAAAGGTTGTCTTCTGTGACACATGACAAGGTATAGTTTAAATGTAGCCAAAATGTAACAACAATATAAGCTAGGCTTTCCTATTACCAAAATAACATTTGACTTTAAAAATAAATATATTAACTTTGTCAGTGAGTTTCGAATATGAATGAAAAATTTGGACTTTTGTATTACCAAAATAGCATTTGACTTTAAATATAAATATATTGACAAAGTTCTTTAAACAATACATGTTCTATCACTGAATTAATACCACGCTTATTTTGACATTAGTTAAAAGCTAGTGACAATTAGAGTAATTGCATCAATTGCTTTTGCTTTGCAACAAAGTAAATGAGTATTTGACATACCAATTAAAATAAAGTTGATCAGATCATCAACCTATACAAATGATAAGTATAGTTTCTAATAAATACATAAGAATAATGAGAGATAATATATTACTATAAGACGGGAGTAGTTGTTTTAGTGGGCAGGGAAACGTTCAACAACTTCGTGGCTGATGTATGCGCTTCCGTCACTAACTAGGTCACAGACTCACAATTAATTTCAATAGATCGCAAATCTTTCAACCACAAATAAATAAATAAATAAGGTCTAAAGATTTTTAAAAGCATAAAAACAAATTTTACAAAATTAACATAATCTTTTAAACCTATTGATATATCCATAATTTGTTAGTGATTGCAAATAAGTTAAATAATATTTAATGGTCAGTTAGAGCAATTGCCCTATTTTTTTTTTTTTTTCTTTTAGCATTATGCATTAGCAATTATTTATTTTTGAATTATATATACTTATAAACTTTTAATATTGTCTCACTGAAATTACAAACAATATAAAATAAAAAAATTCAATATTATTTTTCACATAATTTCTAGGTCGTCTATTGCGTTCTAAAGTAAAATAGTGGAAGTGTTGATAAAATATGTAAAAGATCGGAAATAGATTTAAGAAACGATTGATTGACAAAGACTTAGAATCCAAATTTATTTTTTTGTGGAATTCACTGTAACCTTTTAGAAAATACTTCGGCCTTTATTTGTTGAATCTTTTAACCTTTATGAAAATCCTACGTCCATATATATATATATATATATATATATATATATATGGCAACTACGAGGGAGGTTCTAAAACTGAAATATGTGGCTATTTGTGTGTTTGGACTTTCGCGGATAGATTCGCTCAAATATGGAATGGGAAGCAGATAAGAAAGGAGAGAAGATAGGAGGAAAAACCGCATGATGACATATTGGTCAAAGTGAATCAAATTAGATGAGAAGACTACTAGTTATATGTCTACCCACAATCTGGCAGCATATTACCATTTATACCAGATTTACCAATCAAAGTATCTTTTAGCCTTGGTTACATTAATCTATTTATGTAAAGGTTACATTAATCTATTTATTTTTTACATAAAGTTATTTGTAGATGCGAAATTTATATTTTGAGGGTTACTACAGTGTCAAAATAATATATTTTAGCAATTATATTATAATGGTGCCTTAATATTTTTTGAGACAACTATCATTTTTTTTCAACAACCATTCCCAACTTCCATTTTCAACCACCATTTTTTTTCCATTGCAAATATAAATTTGGCATGAGAGAGATGAGATAAACAGATTGATGAGAGAGAAACAGATTCACCGGAGGTCATGCCACGACCCAGAACCACAGCGACGGCAGAGGGAGCCACGATCGGACCACCCAAAGACCACGGCGGGGGGAGCCATGATCGGACCACTCAGAACCACGATCGGACCACCCAGAACCACGGTGGAGGGAGCCACGATCAGACCATGACGACGTGCGAAAGTGGCCGTGGGGCCGATTTGCCGTAAAGATCAGAGACCCCTGGAAGAAGACCTGAGTTTGGCTCGGCACCTTCAATTCCGCCGCCGCCGCCACATGCACCTACGACACTGCAGCTAGGTCTCTCCACGGCCCCAAGGCCAAATCGTTGAATCTACCGTCGAAGTTTAGAAATAGCTTAAACTTATGGTTGACAGCAAATATCGCGTAAGCAAATCGTAGGCTGTCCTCTTGTCTCTCTCTGTGTAAATTGGATGCTTAAACTCTCTATCTATCTATAAATTGGATGTTTAAATTCTCTCTCTCTCTATATTTATATATATATGTTTATATATATATATATATATATATATATATATATATTTGTTATATGAATACTGAATATTGGTAAAAGAGACTTGCCAAAAAAATTGGCAGCTCCTACATTTGAGAGAAAATTTAAGATTTTCAAATTTTGAGAGGCCAAATGAAAGGCCATTGGAGAGCCCATTTTTATCCCATCTCTCATATTATGAGTTTGAGAGCCCAAGATGAAAGAGCATTGGAATTGCTCTAACCATTGTGTCTTTATAATTTTAACTTATTAAAATCAACTCTACCAAATTTATTTCTTTTTAATAATAGAATTTCATTTCAATTACAATTGAATTCTATTTTTTTTTTTTTTAATTCCAATTTCAAATCTCAAAAGAAATTGATTATCAATTTTTTATCCCAATAAGATTTGATTTTATTTCAAATTTAATAAAATATATTTCTTTATAAAAATGTTAAATTTTATATTATAAACTCTCGACCTCCTATTTAAAAAAGTGAAAAAATACTACTAAATTACATAGGACAATAATTTGGGCTTTATTTTCAACACTCGATTTTTAGGACTAAAAGTCAACAGAAAAAGAATTTTCCTACTCATCTTCAATGACTTTATCCAAATCGGTTAATTTATTCAAAGGATGATAATTTCCCACTTACAATGGTGAACAAATTTCATATGTTTTCTACTCCAGGAAGAATAGTTTGACTGAACACCACATCTTACCTCGACTCACGTGTAATTTGATATCCCACATTGTGAACAACTTTGTAACCTTATAGTAATAGACAACACTTTTTTAATGGTTATAATATTTGTATAATAAAAATAAGAATAATAATAAGAAATTCGAGAATCGAACATTGTTGAAAATATACATTTTCATGCACGTAATAAATATGCAGAGTCTTTTAATTTTTTTTTTTTTTTTTTTGACAACCAATAGATCATATCATACCATAGAAGAAGAAAAAGAACAAGAAGGGAGTAGAGCATTTAGCAACCACGGGGGCCATATGCTCCACTCCAAATCACCACATTCGGCTTCCAGAGCCTTTTTACTCAAAAGATGAGCTACATCATTTCCTCCACAAGGAATCCAAACAAGAGATGAACCAAAACAAAGGGAAAGTAAAGTACAAATATCATGAAAAATCATCACCTGACCCTCCGCGGAGACTTGTAAGTGCATGACAGATTTACAATCGCCTTCAACGACCACATTCCTGTATCCCCAGCAGTGCAAAAGTAAAAGAGAGGCCCTCAAAACAAGAGATTCAGCCATCAAAGGAGAGGACACATGCATCATGAAAAAGGAAGCAACTTTAACAGGCCGTCCAAGATGATCCCGGAGAATCGCCCCACCTCCACAAAAATTACGAGCTGAATTAAATGCCGCATCAAAATTCAGTTTAAAACCACCTGAAGCTAGGGCTGTCCATACAGCAAGAGGAATCTGAACAGGTGGGACCGGCAACAGAAGAAGATTATTTTGACGACTGACTTCCTGAAACTCTTGAAAGGCAGCAAAAGCATGTTGTACAACATCAAAGGGATCCCAATGTTTCCGTTAAAAGACCAGGTCATTCCGGCACTTCCAAATAGACCAACAGACAAACGCTGCTAAACTCGTATAATCAGAGGCACTAGCTGAGGACGACCAACGGTCACATAAATTAAACCACCGCTTTTTCCAAACAGTGGGAATGGGAAAGGAGAATTCAATCCGAAGCGGACAAAATTTCCAAACCAAATTAGCAAAAGCACAAGTACAAAGAAGATGGTCCACAGTCTCCACCTCCGAAGCACAAAAATGACATTCAGGAGGAGATGAAACCCCCCTAACCGCAAGTTGGGAATTAACCGGAATTCGATCATGCATACACTGCCAAAGAAAGAGAATAATCTTACGATGAGCCTTAATCTTCCACACATTACGCCACATAATACTAGAAATGGCAGCAAAACTGGAACCAGTTTCCGAGGGAAGTGACATTGAAGGGTGTAGAAGAGATAAAGCAATGCGATAGGCACTTTTAACAGAAAAACCATCATGCAAAGAGGCACCCCAGACCTTATTATTCGGCCGCCGAAAAAAGCTCAATGGGATTTGAAGGATAAGGTCACGGTCCCGAGGATTAAAACAACGATCAACCAGCGCCACATTCCAGCTTGGAATAGAAGGTAATAACAAATCAGCAACCAGAGAGAAAGGCAGAGCACTAGGGTTGGAAGAAACAGCCGGATTGAAAGGATCCGGCAACCAATTATCAACCCAGCAATATACCCGCTCACCATCCCCTATGCGCCATTTCATCCCTTTCTGAATCACCTCCTTAACCGAAGAAATACTTTTCCAAACCCACGAAGCATTAGAGCGAGCCAAGGACTCCACAAAACTGCAGTTTTTGAAATACTTAGGCTTGAAGGTCTTAAAAAGTAAAGAGTTATCACCAATCTCCATCCTCCAAGCGATCTTGGCTAAAAGAGCCATGTTAAAGGCTTTCACATCGCGAAAACCCAAACCACCCTCTACCTTGGATGAACACAAACGAGACCAACTAATCCATTTAATTTTATTGGACCACTTCACGCCACTCCACCAAAAGTTAAGAAGCTGACTAGACAATACTTGGCAATTCTTCTTCGGAAGACGAAAACATTGCATGGAAAAGACCGGAATAGTTGAGAGAACGGATTTTAGAAGGACTTCACGACCCGCTTTAGACATCATGGAACCCTTTAGACAACTGGCCTTGGCAGATAGCTTTGTAGATAGGAAATTAAGGGCCACAGTCTTAGAACGTCCCAAAAAGGAGGGAAGTCCAAGATAAGTATGTTGCCAGTCCACAGTGTGAATACCCAACAACAGCCGACAAGACTCCTTCTGAGAAGAGGAAGTATTAGGGGAAAAAAACAAACTAGATTTCGCCAAATTAATCAATTGACCCGTCAAAGAGGCATAGCGATCAAGAATACATGTAACCCGCTGGACCTCAAAATCTCTGGCACGACAAAATATAAGCTCATCATCCGCAAATAAGAGATAAGAAATCAAAGGACATCCCCTCCCTGCCTTAAGACCCAAACATTGAGAAGGCTGAGCAAAAGCATTGAACAAAAGAGAAAGACCTTCAGAACAAAAAAGAAGCAGAAATGGAGATAGTGGATCTCCCTGCCGAAGACCTCTGGAGGGAATAAAATTAGCTCTCCTCTCACCATTAATCAGAACTGAATACGAGACAGAACTAATGCACTCCATCATTAAAGAAACCCATCGCAGATCAAACCCTGAGTGACCAAGAAATTTGCCCAAAAAAGCCCAACTAACCTGATCATAGGCCTTGGCCATATCCAACTTGAGGGCTTTAAAACATAAATCTCCAGACTTTTTGGCTTTCAAAACATGTAGAAAATCATGAGCCAGTAAAATATTGTCATGAATGATACGGTGGGGCACAGAGGTACTATGAGTCTCACTAATGAGAAGAGGAAACAAAGGTTTTAGTCGGTTGGCAAGAACTTTGGAAAAAAATCTTATAGGACACATTACACAGAGCAATAGGACGGAAATTAGACATAGAAGTAGGATGGGGCACTTTCGGGATAAGAACAAGATTGGTAGAATTAAGAGAATGAGGCATCAGATCACCATGAACAAAGTCATTGAAACATCGAAGAATATCGCTCTTCAGAACCTCCCAATTAGACTGAAAGAATAAAGGAGTACAACCATCCAGCCCTGGAGCTTTATAAGGACCCATACTAGCAAGGGCAGACCATAATTCATCAAAAGTACCATCTTGCAATAAAAGAGCATTCATGGCCGGGGTAACAAGTGAGGGCACTTTACCCCAAAACTCGGGATCGTCCCGATAAGGAACGGCAGCAAACAAGTCTTGGAAATAATCCTCGGCAACCCGACGAATAGAAATTCCCCTCCTTGCTACGTATAGGAAGCCAATGCAATGAAGGTTTAAAATAAGAATAACTACATCATAGAATACCCATACTAATTTAAAAATTGAAAGCCAAAATCAATTTTAATATTTACTCTAATTAAAATCAATATAATTGTGAAATTTAAATGATTTGGAAAACCAATAAAATTTGGAGTATCGCAATACGCTAATACTCCACTGCAATATGTATGTATATGCCACAAGTACAGTAAATACATGCAACTCTGTCCAATTATACCAACACTTAAAAGCCATCACTAGAAAATTTCACTTAAAAATTGTTGAAAATATATGTTACAACTATCTATAAGTAAAATTGTAGTGAAAGTGACACTAAATGACATTCCTAAGTTTTTTTTTTTTTTTTTTTTAAACTCGGGGTGTTCGGAATAGCACGAACCCTTAGGACCCCTCAACAACTCAATTATGTAAAAAGTGAGTGGAAGACAATTAATAGAAAAATAATTAAAAGTGAAAAATAATTCAAAATAAACTCATCGGAGTGACATAATTATATTATGCACTATTCAATATATTAATAATTTGAGTAAATTGTACTTATTTTTCAAATTTTTTATTGAAAAGTTTGAAGTTTATTACTCTAACCTTCCTTAAAACTATACAAAATTCATTATACTCTTGTATGTAATATATTTTTATGATAAAAAACATTATTAAATATATAAAAAAATTAATTTTCTATCTCATCTCTTTAATTATTTTCTCTCTCCTCTCTGCCACCTTACCCTTCCTAAAAAATATATTGTAAATAAAAAAATAAATAAATAAAGTGTAAGAGCAACTTGGTTATTTTATTAATTTTTATTACAAGTTTTATTAATTTCAAGGGAGTTGTTGACTAGTCCAAGGTTGCAGGTGTTTTCGTAATTACTGAAATAACGGAGGTCAATTCACTAAGTGGACCATTCGCCGTCTGTACTAAAACCCCAAACTCATCTGGACTCCGATGTTTAGCAAATCACTACGTCTCTCGATCTTGATCTCGATCTCTTTGGGAGATCGCTCAGACTTTTGAGTTCCCCTGATTGTCTTCTTCATCTGTATCACAAAACAAAACCTTCCAATTTTGTTCGGCTTCCAATTATTTTCTCGCAGTTTTAGGTTAACACCTCGATTCAACCCTACCGTCTCCGACCTACTGATTTTTTCAATACCGATGGCATCTCTTCTCTTGTAGAGTTCATCTCGCGACAAATTTTGATCTCCGAAACCACTCTGTTACTCATCTTCATCCAGTTTTTTCAAATCATAACCATGGCGATCCGACACACAGTCACGTACTCCGGGTACGTGGCGCAAAACCTAGCCTCATCAGCCTCCAGCAAGTTCGGAAGCTGCAAGCTCTTTCAAGAATGCGTCACCCGATCTCGATTCTTCGGCCCCAACCAGAAGCCGGAAGTCGACCCCAAGAACTACGACTTCAGGCGGCCGAAGCCGAATTGCTGGGCCAAGGATTCGGCTTCGATATGTTCGACAATCGCCGGTGAAATACTAGGCGAGAATTGTACCAGACCTCTATTTTTAGGGTTGATCTCGTTATTGAATCCGTTGGGCGGTGCTTCTTCTCAAATGGGGGTTATGGGAATTTCTCCCCTTAGAGCCTCTTCAATCCTTCCATTTTTGCAAGGATCCAGGTGGCTACCCTGTAACGAACCCGTTCCGAGAGCGAGTAATGAGGTTGATAGAGGTGCAACACGGTGTAGTGAAGCCCAAACCGTCAAAGCCGTCAGAGCTGTTTCCCAGAATTTGGCGAACAGTTTTGCCGAAACCGAAGTCAAAGCCGTCAAAGCCGTTTCCCAGGATTTGCCGAATAGTTTTATCTCTAAAGCCTCTCAGAGGAATAATTGGCTTTCCAAGTTATTAGGTTATTGCTCAGAGGATGCAAAGGCCGTTTTCACGGCCTTGAGTGTCACTATTCTTTTCCGATCACCGTTGGCCGCTACAAATTCTATCCCCACATCTTCTATGTCACCAACTTTTGATCCCGGTGACCGCATTTTAGCAGAGAAGGTATAAACCATTAATTGCAATTTGATTATTATAATATAACTGTTAGGAATATGAACATATTAATTGGTACTTTATGTGAGTTACCTAGAAAGATTAGCACTTCAATTTACAAACTTAGTTTATATAAGTGGTGGGATATGGATATGACAACATATTGGCACTATTCGAGACCTGTATGGGCATGCTGTTACAATTTGAGCAAAGTATAAATAGCTGCTCTTGTGAGTTTGTTTTTTTTAATTCATTTGATGTTGTTATCTAACCTTCTAATGGAAATTTGTTTAAATGACTTATTTCATCTTTTGTGACTGAGATTTGGTGACTATGAGATTTACGAAATATGTTTCTCTTGCATTAGCGAGAAATTAAGATTGGGAATAGAAGTAAGAATGAGATATATGGTGGTGTTGTGGGGTTAGAGATAAGACACTAATTACATCTGCAACTCAAATATGTTTCAGGTTTCTTATATTTTCAGAAGACCTGAAGTTTCAGATATTGTGGTATTCAAGCCCCCTCCATATCTCCAGGTATGTTTCAAGCGTGCAAAACTGCATGACTGAAATTGATTGAAAAAGTTATGTCCATTTGGTTTATGTTCTGGATGCACAATACAGGTGGGCGACCAGGTCTTCGTAAAAAGAGTTGTGGCAAAGGCTGGGGACATTGTTGAAGTAAGTTCTCCATAAAACATTTGTTTCAACAATTCACCCCTTTGTATAAAACATTTGTTTCAACAACCCTTTGTGAAGTGTTTTTGTTGTCCTGTGTCTCCCATTTCTGAATTTGTGACTGACAACGTGTGTTATGTAATTCAATAGGTCCGTAACGGTAAATTGATGGTGAATGGGGAAGCTCAAGATGAAGATTTCATTTTAGAGCCACTTAAGTATGACATGCCACCTGTGGTAACATCTCTTACTTTTTATTAATTTTTTTTAATAGACCTATGTAGTTCTATAAAATCATATCATATGCTGCTCATCCTAAACATTAAATACAACATTTATTTTAGGGTTAATTACAGTGACACCCCCCTCTATTATTATTATTATTTTTATTTTAATAATGAGTGAAGTGAAGTCCAATGAGAGAGTAAAGAATGAAGAATACCACCACTCACCACCGCCATAATCCAATCGTCCCCTTCCTCCACCTCAGCCATCCTTTTCCTCTGCCGGTCGTACCTAGCCACAATCGCTATGGTGATGTTCTCTGGTGTCTACAAGAGAAGTATGTTCTGGATTGGGGCCACAATTGTGAACCACATCCCATGCTTCCAGATCCAAACTCCCACCATCGGATACCAGAGTTAAGAGACCTAAATAATACTCTATATTTGACATATATAAGAGAGAAGGAAAAGAGTATAGAAGAGGTGGCAGTGGCTGTGGCAGCAGCTATGGGTGGTGGTGGGTGCGGCGGGCTGTAATGCGGTGGCAGTGGTTGTTTTTGTATGCATATATATATGGTGTACCTACTGAGATAATGGGCTTTTATTAGGCTTATATGGGTAAGACGAGAAGGTGAGGGTTTTTTGTTCCAACAAAATAATTGGTAAAGGTTAAAGGGCAATAATGCCAATTCAGCATGGAAGGTGACCATTGGGGGTGTCTTTGTAAGCTTTCTCAAACTTGAGGGGTATGATTGTTCGAAAAATGACTAACTTTGTCAATAGAGCAAACTTGGTGCGAGTGTAATTAACCCTTTAGGATGGTTGCTAATAAAATCATAACAAGGGTTTCAAATATGTGTATTTTCCTAGAAAAGAAGAATTAGATAACACGTCTAATTTAGTCCGAAGTTCCATGCAACTTACAAGGGAGTGCTAAATTGCTAATAGTTTATTTTGTGTGATTCTTATTATTATAAATCTGGAATGCAAAATATTTGATATCTTTTTAAAAACACTGTTTTTTACAATTTTTTTTTATTTTTTTTTACAAGGGAATATTAATAATAATATATGGTACATAACATGATAAACAATTGATATTTTTAACTTATCCATCGCTTATATATATTTTAATTCTGCAATACTTTTATATATATATATATATATATATATTGCAACTGTCTTACTGAATTCATATCTTTTGTGTGTATTTTTGTAAGAATTTGTCATATTGTCATGTCCATATTGTGTCTACTTTTTGCTCTTTTTTGAGCTTCTTCTCATTCTTCTTTGGCACCTACGGTAGAGATCGGAGGTATTTGGCCCCCAAAAGGTATTTGGGTTTTAGATCATTGGGAAATCCCTTTTCTTAATACCCTTATTCCCCCTTCATCCGGAGCTGCCGTAACTTGGGCTCATAACTCATAACCCAAATGTCCATGCTTTCTGGATTTATTCTAAGCCTAAAATGTATACATTGATTATGTTGGCCTGAGAAATCTTGTGCCTTGTTTTGATTATATTGCAGCTTGTACCTGAGGGTTACGTGTTTGTGATGGGAGACAACCGGAATAACAGCTTTGACTCCAAAAATTGGTAATTCTGAACCCTCATTAATGGTATTGCTGATAAATTTTAGACTAAAATTTATTAAAAGATGGAGAAAACAGGTTTTTCAAAACATGTTAGATTTGATTATGTTAATAAGCAAGTCACTAGGAAAGGAATGTAAATAGACAAAATAAACTTTAATGTGGTTATTCGTTTAATGTTTTAGCATTTTTAATTTAAATTATATATTTTGACATGTTATTTTTGCCCTCTTTTTAGGGGTCCGCTCCCTATCGAAAACATCGTTGGTAGATCTGTGCTTCGTTACTGGCCACCCACCAAAATAACAGACACTATATATGAATCAGGTGCTGGGAAGAAAGCTCTTGATGCTTCTTGACGCATGACGCATCCTCTGCTTGTGGAGGGAAAGATAACAGAAACTTCTATCCAGATCCCGCATAAAATTATTTTGCTCATTTTCGAGCAGTTTGTGAATATTCCACCCTTTTCTGTCTTATGCCTTTTTATTTGGACTAGGCTCACCGATCAGTGTATCATAGTTGGTGGTGACCATTGCCGAATCTGTGTTCGTTTATTTGTATCCGCTTCCAAATTTTTTTGCTACCAAAAGAGTGGAAAAAGATGGAAAGAAATTGTTATGTTTTGAAATGTTGTTTTGAGAGAGCTTGTCAAATGGCTGGAAGTTATGCGGTGGTCAAGTAAGCAAAACTGGTTGCTACCCAAGTTTGAAGCGCTTCATGCAGTCCAGGCCATGAGACTATGAGGTGGAACTCCAGAGCTAGTCTACGAACCTTAGAACTGTTAAAATCGAGTTTCGTTCACACGAGCTAATTTCAAGAGCTTGTGACCCTTGCGAAGAATCCCTGTAATCAAGGAATTGGGTTCATTTTGGGGAGTTCTCCATTCAAGCTCGCTAGATGCATCGAAGATTAGCTTGGAGTTTTGGACTGATTTCTGGCCATTGTATTATGAATAAAAAAGCTATTCTTAATGGAATGATTTTTATGAAATTATTAATGTTGTGTCTGGTAGTATTTCATTCCCTTCTATTATTTGTTTGGTTAAGTGAAGAGAAATAAAGTGGTGGAAAGGAAGGAATATTATATAATTTGATCATCTACCAAGTACGAGTAACTGTTGGTAGGGTAAAAGTGTGTATATTTTTATTAATTTATAGTAAGGTGCACAAAGATTAAAAGGTGAGATGAATACTATTGATTTGCTCATTGAAACAAAAAAATGCAAAATTTTCCAACTAGAAAGGCGATTAAATCTTTTTCTTTTTCTTTTAACTTCCTCATAAAATAATAAATTGCTGTTTTTGTAAAAGATAATCCAAATGGAGATTTTATAAAAGTGGCCGTTAAAGTAAATGACCAATGGGCGTGAATCACCTGCTGTGCGATTCCCATGCTGTTTTTGACAATTGCACCAAGTAACATTTCACCACCATTTATAAGTAACATCACATAAGTCTAAAAGTAATATCACATAGTCTAAAAAGTAACATCACCACTATTTAAGTAGTGATGTTATCCTTTTACAAATGGTGATGTTACTTTTTAGATTATGTGATATTACTTTTAGACTTCTGTGATGTTACTTATATATGGTGGTAAAATGTTACTTATAAATAGTAAAGCAATTGCTACTTAAATGGTGGTGATGTTACTTTTTAGATTGTGTGATGTTATTTATAAATGGCGGTGAAATGTTACTTATAAATGGTGGTGTTATTTGAAATTAAAAATGGTGATGTTTCCTTTTACAAATGGTGATGTTACTTTTTAGATTCTGTGATGTTAGTTATAAATAGTAGTGAAATGTTGTGGTGTAATTGGCCAAACACGGCCTTAGTGTCCGTTAGCTGAAGAATGATGTGGCCAAATATGGACCACTTAAAAATTACAGCACCAAACCGCATAGGAATTGCATAGTAGGTGATTCGCGCCCCCAATGACCAATTGGTGGCAATTCGTATTTAAAACTTCAAGTGGCAGTTCGAATAAATGACGTGGGGGACACAATCAGGGCAAAATTGTAACTATATATATATATATATATAATTTTTTTTTTTGAGGAGCATTTTTGTAAAATGATACTAGTACGAATATAAGTATAGTACCAATTGCCTTGCGGCCCAGGCATCTCATCTACTTTTCAAAGTATATGGTTATATTTGAGTATATATGGGTTTCTTGTCAATGAAAAAAAAAAAAAACCCTTCCCTCCGCCCCTTCAGTGTCCGTTTTATGACACATGATTAAATTTCATACCATTAAAATCATTTCTACTATAATTTCGAACACCATACATTTAGTTAAATGAATCTAAAAGTAGTTGGTATATTCATAAAGTGGAGTTTATTGGTGTGGAGCTCGCTATATGACGAGTCCTACCACACTGCCTGACTGGGCTAGGCACTTTAGTAACGAACTAGGAAGCACGGACACTTTTACCCATGTCGGACACCGACACTCATCGGATATTCCTTGGATACGTGTCCGACACTTCATATACGTATCCATAAATAAAAATTAATTTTATTATTTTGGACCCTTCATCGATACTTCTTGGACACTTCGCCAACGCTTTCCGGATATTTCTAACACAAGTTTACACAATAATCTTGAAAATAATATGAATACTATCATAAAAAAATAGTAAAATAATAATATAAATGATATAAAAATCATTACAATAAAGAATAAAAATTTATATGTAACCGTATCCACGCGTCGTATCCGTACTACATAGGTGACGAGTCACGTTAGTTGTAACGGGTGAAAGCTTGTCCATTTACCTAAAAATTTAAATTGTTAGGTAATGCTGTATACTTATCTATTTATATACATTTCAACCCCCATCAAAATTCGATGTGGGATAAGTTTCACTTGTAACATTCTCCCTCATCCGAATTCGCGCAACGCCCTCATTGCGGTTAGATCATCCTGTCTACTCGGGAATAGATTCAGACACCCTCTGGACCTGTCGCTTGGCATGATACCAAATTAAGGACTGAATTTGACTCTCATATCAACAGTAACCAGTGAATCACAAACCCGTTGTTGTTGTTTGTCCTTTTCTTTTATAGAGAAAACAGAATAATGCCATGTCCCGCGTAGCAACTTCCCTTAATGGCTATGCAAATGCTGAGACGACTCTCCCAAGTCAAAAGTCAAGAAAAACTAAAACTCCAAGTTGGCACGACGCCGTTTCACACGTGTTTGCATTGAACACATCCCGGGATATTAATTGAAAGCTCGATCTGAACCTTGCGTATCTATCTACACTCAAAAATGGATCTCCGACAATCGATCAGCAACCAAACCGACGTCTCTTTAGTCCTCGCAAAGCACATACTGTTGAAGGAGGCCAAAGATTCCAACTCGGTCTTCTCTCCTCTCTCGATCCATGTGGTTCTGAGCTTGATCGCCGCTGGCTCCAAACCCCCAACCCTCGATCAGTTGCTCTCTTTCCTCAAATCCAAGACCACCGACGAACTCAACACCTTGTCCTCTCAGCTCGTCGGCCTCGTCTTCGCCGACGGTAGCCCCGCCGGTGGCCCTAAGTTGTCGTTCGCCAATGGAGTCTGGATCGACCGCTCACTCCCTCTCAAGCCTTCTTTCAAACAGATTGTTGACGATGTCTATAAGGCGGCTTCCAATTCTGTTGATTTTCAGGCCCAGGTTATTTCTCTACCTCTACAATCAACTCAAATTTGTTCATATATATATATATATATATATATCTGTATTTGCATGAATGATATCTAGTATGTTCTTCCTGTAATTTTCAATTTTTTATTTTGTTTTATTTTAAGTTGATGCTTCTGCGATGATTTTTGCCAACATAAAGCATTTCATGATATCAGAAGTGGGAATTTTTTTAAAAATGAAATACTAATAAGGCTATATGGATGTTAAGATGAATGATAGGAATAACTAGGAAATATAAGATCAATAATAAAAAAAATTAGGGAGAAATTAAGAAGGGCCCCTATTAGTGAGAGAAAATAAGAGGGAGTAGACTTAGGTGGTATTGCACATTCAATGTCGACCCATAGATGCACCCAGGAGGAGAGGAAGATTGATTTTCATACAGGGTAATAATAGACAAAGAGGTCAACCAAAACTAACATGCAATGAAGTGATAAGAAATGATTTTTTAAAAATTAAATCTAGTAGAAGATATGGCTTCTAATAGAAAGGAGTGGAGAAAGAGAATCTACATGACCAACCCATTTGTACGGAATAAAGACAAGGATGATGATGATGACAACTACCAGAAGTGGGAAAGAACATCATGACCCTACCCCCAGGATCTGGAAACCAATATATGTTGTCGATCAACAGGAAAAAGGCCTTGTTAATTATTCTTATTATTTCTTTAGTTTAAATAAGTGATAATATGTGGACTTTTGAATTTCCCATCCATTTAGAACAAGTGAACTCACCACGCAAATATAATTATAAATCTGATAATATGTAACTTTTGATTTTCCCATCCATTTAGACAAGTGAACCTACCATGGAATTATAATTATAACTCTCTTAATTGGGAAGGTTTTTGTTGTTGGGAAAAGGCTTTGGTTGTTGCACTTAACGCACGCTAAAAATTTTAGGATGTGCTATGGCAATTCCTTGTTTATTCTACCCCTAAAAACCTTCTTCTGTTTAGTAGTTCTTGCCCTACTCGCTTTGTCCCAAAATTAATGTCTTCCTTTCTATCTTTTCTTCTCCCATATTATGTGCCCGCTATTGCAAATTCTTTTATTTTTACCTATGAGATTAGATGCAACATCCTAAATGTCAAGATACAAGATATCAAGCCCTATGTTGCCTTAAACAATGGGGAAAAAAAAAAAAAAAAAAAAAAAAAAAAAAAGGTTATTGTGAGTCACAATTCTACCTGTTTGTACAACTAACATCTAATCACCCATAATATGTAACACTGAGTAATAGCATTGGGTGGGATTTAACATTCTGTCATTTATTATAAAATGCTGTTATAAGACTTGTATTTTAAAAGAACTAATGGAAGGTGCAATTTAGTGCTAGGTATATTCTCTCTCTCCTTTATTTATTTTTAATTTTTTTTAAGGTATATTCTCTCTGATCAATTTAATGATTCATCCATGAATTCTTCTATATATTAGGTGAAAAATGGAGTGTTTATCTGATTATTACCAGTTTAGGACTCATAGCATGCCATTACTCCAGCAATGAGCTACATTTCTGCCCGGTAGGATTGAATCTTGGGCGGGAAATAACCAAACTGAGCCCCAGTCCAACCCTATTTTTAATAAGCTTGGACGAAGAGTTTTACAATTAGGGTTTGGCTTGGGTTGAAAAACTCTAATCTGACTTGGGCTTGGGTTGAGGTGTCGAAAAACCGAGCTCAATCCGAACCCGAATTTACTTTTTATATATTTGTTATTTTAAAAGTGTTATATGTATTATTCAGGAAAAAAGAGTGTTGTGTATATAACTGTGATCAACATTTTGTTTCCGTTTATTTTTCTTTAAATGTCTATTCATATATTAATACTTTGGATAGTCAATTTCTTGAGAAACTGTTTCTAAAGTTTTATATATTTACATTCAAGTTTTTAAAATCTTTATGCGTTGGTTTAACTTAACCTGAGATCAACCCGATTTATATAAAACTCAACTTCTAGGTTATATATCTTGGGTTGAGCTTGAATTGGTCCCTCAAGATGCCCAACCCCCCGAGTTGCATTCCCTGCTACCTGCTATCAAACTGGCAGATGAATACTTCAACATTTGGTAATATTACCTACATTTTTGAGATAGAGATTTCTCTTAAAGGATTATCTTGACAATAGCCATATTCATTTTCCTATTTTATAGAGGTATTGAAGCCCATATCTGCATCTCTTCAACCACCGGGTTGAAGCCTAAGAGTCACTACAACCGTTATAGCCTCTTCAAGGGTTCTTTTGGCAGAGGATATGAAGCCAGCAATTTCCAGTTCTTTAGAGTAATTGGAAGACACACAATATTATTCGAAAGTCTTTGTTGTTACTTGGACCTTAATTTGGCATATACTTGGACCTTAATCAGTTCCTGATTATGACTTCCATGTTCTGATATTTTAAACAAGAAAAATACTCCCAGTTAGGAACCAAAAATTGAATTTACTGTTTTTTCCAATATAGAAGACTGTTTTTGTTATCTACTTTCTAGCGTTGTAACTGATTTTTTTGTATCAGTTTATTGCTGTTCACTGGATATATTCTTTCCATACATGTCTGCCACTATGTGAAGGATACTTTAACTATTTAATAGCTGTATTTTGCCTAAATAATCCAGTCGGGTTGTATGGTTGAATGACTTATTTAGCGTAGAAAGAGATGATATGAGAAAGTTAATTATATAAAAAAAAAGATGATATGAAAGAACTTTTTGTGAACTCCAAATTTGAAATTTTCTTTTCTTTTGTGAATAAAGCACACTGCTGAAGTGCAGAAACTATGCTATTTGCTTGATTGTTTTTATGGTCAGATCTTGTAATTTTGTCTTCAACCAACTCATCTGACAAACTATTCATAGGAAGCTTTTGATGCTGTAGATGAGACTATAGATTGAGCAATTTCCTGATTTTCTGTTTGGAAGTTTGATTTCCCTCAACTATTCCTGTACTCTCTCTCCCTATATCACATTCTTTCACCCAAAGAGAAGTGTGCAGGCAACTTCTTTAATATTAGAAAACATTTGTCTATTAGCTAACATAGCCACAGTCATTACTCATTTAGTCATGATGTCAGTTGGTTTACCACAGTTATTGAAGATGTATACTGAGTTGTGAATGTGCAAATTCAGTTTTATGGCAGCTTATCCTCTCCTTTCAAATATGATTTTTGTAATGATCTTTGCTTGTCTGATTCTGTTGACTAACTTATATTTTCTGTTACAACTGTGCATGATCTTGTAAAACCTCAGTACCTGTCCCATACTTTTATTTGTGTACCATTCAAGCTTTTCATGTTTCCTCTTTTGGAAGTTTGTAAGGAAAGAATGGTGAAATCCCCAATCTTACAGTTATGGTAACATTTCGCTCTTGAAAATGGAATGTGAACAAAGATATAACCATAATGCATGGTTGAAGCTGAAATATCTGAAACTATATCAGTATGGATGTTGTGATGATGACATTATCATTATTATTTTTTTTTAAATTTAAAATTTTGTTTCTAGTCACCTCAAAAGTTTCTATATTTTTCATCTCAAGTCTAGAGAGAGTAAGACTCTAGATTCTCCTGGTTACAAATTGATCTTTACTTGCATACTAAACAAACCTTCACTTGCATACTAAACAAACCTTCACTTGTTTTCATGAAGTGGATTCTGTGAGGGCTGGTTCAACATCCAACAGATATTGAATTGATTTCTAGTATTTTACATGAAGATTTTTTTTACATCTTTAAGTGAAGTAGGGCAACCTTTTTGATCCACACAATAATACAAATGAAATTAATTATTGATGTACTACAATTGTGCCATGTCAAATGTACTGATTCTATATTCACAGGACACCAGAACCCTTTATAATGGTGTTATGCTTAACATATTAGATTTTTGTTGACACTTGAGTCTATTTTATTCATTGCATTTTTTTTTTTTTGGATAATACATGCTAATATTAGTTTTGCTGTTGATGGTGGTGAAGGCTGTTGAGGTAACCAATGAAGTGAATTTGTGGGCTGACAAGGAGACTAGTGGTCTTGTTAAAGAGATTCTCCCTTCTGGTTCAGTTGATGGTTCAACTAGGCTTGTCTTTGCAAATGCTCTCTATTTTAAAGGAGCCTGGAATGAGAAGTTCGATGCATCTACGACTAAAGATCATGACTTCCACCTCCTTGGTGGGAGCTCAGTTAAAGTGCCCTTCATGAGCAGCAAGAAGAAGCAGTCCATTAGTTCCTTTGATGGTTTCAAAGTCTTGGGGCTTCCTTATAAACAAGGAGAAGATAAGCGTCGTTTCACCATGTACATCTTTCTCCCAGATGCAAAAGACGGGCTGCCAGCTTTGGTAGAAAAAGTGGGTTCTGAATCTGGGTTCTTGGAGCGCCATCTCCCATACCAACAAGTAGAAGTGGGTGACTTCCGTATCCCAAAGTTTAAGTTTTCTTTTGGTATTGAAGCTTCTAAAGTGCTGAAGGAACTAGGGCTGGTGTCGCCTTTCTCTGGTGAAGGTGGTCTTACTGAGATGGTGGACTCCCCAGTGGGTCAGAACCTCTATGTTTCAAGTATTTTTCACAAATCCTTCATCGAAGTTAACGAAGAAGGCACAGAAGCTGCTGCTGCTTCTGCTGGTGTCATAAAGTTGAGGGGCTTGCGTCCTACTGATAAGATAGACTTTGTAGCAGATCACCCATTCGTATTCCTCATCCGAGAAGACATGACTGGAGTGGTGCTGTTTGTCGGGCACGTGGTTAATCCCCAAACAGCTTGATTGATGCACTGGTTACAAATGGTATTAAGTAGATGATGCCTAACAAACTCGAATCTTTAGCAAGTCTTAATGTTTGGTTTATGCCTGTATTTTGTTAATTTTCCAAAAGCCCACAAGGTATAGCAGGACTGGCTAACATGTGCCCCTTGAGTCTTGACCCTCTCATGTTAGATCTGGTGCTGTTTTTCCAGTTTTCCCTCTCTTTTGGATTAGCTGTGTGTCAGTGTGTGAAATGTATTGTATTAGATGTTATCACGTGATGCGTTTGTTTGTACCCCTTGTTTGAATTCTGAATTCTTTGTGACATTGCAATTTCGTACTGTTGCAACCAGGGAAGTCAAGGACGTCAGGTTTAAGTAGCGTGGTACTAAAACACATTGAATCGTGTTTTTTCCATGATATTTAGCCATATTTGACTCTGAATTCCCTTGCCTCGTCTAATTCATAAAAGCGGTCACCAAATGATAAGAGAAAGGGCTTCATTTTTCAGTCGTCGGCGGATTCGATTCAATGTATGGTCACACCAGCATGCTTAACTTCTCAAAACTTCAAAACTTTAAGCAAATGCATTCGCAATAGTGCTCTTAAATTCTTAATATGACTCACAAACTCCGCAAAACTATTCACACATTGTTACTGACCCTAAAGAAGATTTTGACATTGACCGATGGATTATTTTGTTGGCGTCCCCGTATTCAAATTTGCATGTATGTGTTTAGACTCTGTAAAATATATTCCAAAGTTTCAAATCAAACTTTTTCATGTAAAACGTTCTTTTTATTTTTAGAAGTTAAACTACATCTGTTGTACATAATTAACTCTCCTTTTTCAATATTCCTGGTCGATACAAAATATTACTTATAATTAAATCTCTTTCTTAAGTAATCCTTATTAACACGGTGAGATAGATTTATAATTAAATCTCTTTCTTAAGTAATCCTTACTAACACGGTGAGATAGAGAGGAAATACTAGTATAGTTACTACAGAACCTTCTCTACCTCTTGCTAAATCATCACTTCCTCATTCTTGTTAGTTGCCATGTGTATATGTATGTGTGTATAGTTACAGTAAATTCAAGTTGTAACCGGCAAGGCGGTTTAGTAGAAACGAGCTAGCGGGTTGTGGACGAAATTTTGCTGGCGTTGACGGTAGGGTTTATGTGGTTGTAGTAAATGTTTAATTTAATCGGTGACGATGAAAACACCACTTCGTGTGAACTGTGAAATCATTGCCAACGTCGTCCATCAGCTAGCACTATTCATTGCTTAGACAATTCAACTCCATTTTCCACAGTACGTCTCAGTACGCATTCCTGTCAACGTAGCACCTTAAATTCTTAATCAAATCACACACGCTTACACGTATATATGTATATGTATATGTATATGTATATGTATATGTATATGTATATAGATATATATTGTATATGTATATATGATAGTTTTGGGTGGGGTTGTTGACTTGGCTGAGCCGAAGGTGTCGTGTTTCTGACTCTAACTAAGCAACGGAGACCCCAACACCTCATTTGCTGAATTCAAAGATTGGAAAATGTGTTGCGAAGGGGCTCTAAGAGTCTTTGATTTAGTCAATCGTTAGGGTTGGGGTTTTGGGGTTTAATTCTATGATTAATTTGTAGTATTCTAAGAGTCAACAAAAAGATTAATTAGAAAAGTAGGAAAAAGAAAGTGGCCTTTACATGAATTTACTGTGTCAAATATGACGGTTTCAATAAGAGCATGTAAATTGCTTGCACAACAACCGAAATGACGAATCTGAAGAGATTATTCGCGTCTCGTTCTTCTTCTTCATCTCCTTCTGATTCTCCTCAGAAACAGGATGCCAAGGACAATGGTTTCTTCAATGGAAAATTGATGAACCGGAAGCTCACTAGACAGCGTAAGCTCCGGCATGCTAGCGACAACGAGCTTGGTTTGCAGCAGACTACTGATCGGTCACGTTCCTTGCCGGTTTCGCCGGGCTCGGAATTGCTGTCACCGGGAAATTTGGGTCATTGGTCAAGGTCAGCTGTACCACAACCCTTGCCACTCCCTGAATTGCATTTGATTTTCAAGCAGAATGATCGGTCAAACTTGTCATTGCCGAAAGAAGGTCCCAGCACAGGGGAGGCCGATGGCCGGGATGAGACCGGAGGGGTACCAATTCCATCAAGCACTGCCACCGGGAGGTACAAATTTTCTATCTAAATTGTCAAATAATGAACATATTCTTTGTGTACATGATATTTCAGCAATCATGTTAGGATTTTCTTTCCCCTAAATCATAAGTAGGTGTATGTTTTACAGTATACATGAATAACAGAATAAATTAGCATGTATTTGTACCTATGGATGCTTTCTCAAATATAATAATATGAATATTACTTGTTTTAATTTCTTCTCTAGTCTTGTTCTTGTGAATTCAATAGAAAAGAAAAAATAAATAAAATTGCAACTGGAGAATCCTATTTTTAAAGTCATGTAACTGCAATTAGGAGTGAGAATCCTATTTTTAATCATATAATGTAATTCTAACCCAAAAATATTACTAATACCGGTTCAAAATTAAAATTAGTGGGGAAACAAATTCTGTATTGTATGCAATTAAGCATGGCTAAGGTCCAGAAAGCTCAATGTAGTAGTATCAAGGTCATAATCAATAATATGAGTTTATTGTACTTTCTATCAGGCATTTCAGTTTTGCAGATTAGATATGTTGATCGATTGCTTATTCACAAATTCATTTATCTCACTTGAAGTAATTATTATAATTTCATTTATCTCACTTGAAGTAATTATTATAATTTTTTAAAATAACAACTTCTTTTTTAAAGGATTCTCCCAGTTGCTGCTTCTACAGATAATAAGAATGCATAAAGCATATAACATCTTAAACTTGGTCAAAAAGAAAAGTGGTTACAATCTTACCTATTCAAGCTCTATTATTATCTTCGATAAGTAATTCAAACTTTATTATATGGTTGTATAAAATGGAAATTACATCCAAATTGCGATTATACCTATTTTCAAATTAATCCAACTTATTGTCCTACATTCTTACCAGAATACTAATTAGGCTTCAATAGAAGCCCTTAAAAAAATGGTGAACAGAATTCTTACATTTCAAAATTTCATGTGCAAGTGCAACCTTTATATAATACGTATATACTAGTCCAATTTAAATCCTATTGTCATGGTTGTTGAAACTGAGATTTATGTTGGATAAATGAGGGGACTTGAGAATCAGATCTAGAATTGTAATTTTCTAGAAAATAAGAAATATTTTACTAAATAATATTTGTAATTCTTAAGAATTCTGATGTTAAAATTCATCAGAATGTATGTATTGTATTGTGTATATATATCTTTGTACAAATCACCTATATGTATATATAGGCAGCTGGAGTGCTCAGCAAGAGTGCTACAATGTCAACAAAGGAGGGCAGTGTAGGTGCGGTGGGTGTCAACATGGTAGATTGGTGTAGGTGCGGTGGAGGTGTGTCAATGTCAATGGCTCGAATAAGGAGATTGTCTAACAGCCCCCCTCAAACTCAAGATGGGTTATATGAAACCATCTTGTGTTTGGAAATAGGATCTCGAAAGCGGCATGGCGGAAGCGTTTTGGTGAAGACGTCTGCTAGTTGATCAAGAGAAGTGATGGATCGCAACTGTAAGACATTTTGAAGAAGGTGATGACGAACAAAAGTGGCAATCAATCTCAATGTGTTTGGTGTGCTCATGAAATACATCATTGTGTGCAATCTGAATTGCGCTCCTATTATCACAATAAATAGGTGTGGTCATAGTTGAAGAAACTCCCATGAAGAAGCCGTCGGAACCACAGGAACTCAGAAGTTGTATCAGCAAGTGCTCTGTACTCAGCTTCTGTGCTAAAGCAAGCCACACCAGTCTTATTTCTTGCTGCGCGAAGAGATGAGTGAATCATTGAGAAAGATGCAAAGACCTGTAGTAGAACGACGATCTGTTAAGTCTGCTGCCCAATCAGTATAAGCACGAACAGGGCAGAGCCAGGATTTCAATTCAGGGAGCGCATGGTTAAGGAAAGAAGAAGAAGAAGAATTTGAAGAAGTAGAAGGGAAAAATAAAAAATAAAAAAAGGAAGAAAAAAAATGTCAAAACCTACAAGGAAAAAAATTTGACTTTAATTTAAGAAGGAAAATTTAACTTTTTAAAGGATTTTAAAGAGTAGAAGAGAAAAGAATGAGAAAATAAATAGGTAATTTTAGAAACTAATAATTTTAGGTAGGGCATTATATTAAAATTTTCATATGTATATATATATATATATATATATATATATATATGTAAAAATAAAAATTATCATATATATTTAATTGGCGGCCCCAGGCCAAGGTGGCAAGTGCCCCCCGGGCATACACTGGCTGAGCACGAAGTACAAGAGGCGACTGACGAGAGAAATGAAGTCCATGAAACATAGTACCCTTGAGATCTTGGCCTCTATGTCAGTTAGATGTCAAGAATGCCTTTTTCAATGGTGATTTGCAAGAGGAGGTGTATATGGTTCCCCTCCGGGCTTTCATTTTCCTTCTTATTCCGGTATGGTCTGTCGTTTTTGTCGCTCCCTGTATGGCCTCAAGCAGTCTCCTCGAGCTTGGTCTGATCGCTTTGGCACTGCCATGCTCAAGTTTGGTTTCCATCAGAGTGCAGTTGATCACACCTTATTCTTACGTCATTCAGGCGGTAAAACAGTTGCTCTTATTGTGTATGTTGGTGATATTATTCTTACCGGAAATGATACTGCCGAAATTACTGAGGTTAAGAGCTATCTTGACCGTTAGTTTGAGATTAAGGATCTTGGTCCCCTTTGGTACTTCTTGGGCATTGAGGTGGCTCGCTCCAAGGCTGGTATTTTCGTCTCTCAATGCAAGTATGTTCTTGACTTGCTTTCTACTGCTGGTCAGCTTAGCACTTGTTCTGTTGATACTTCGATTGAGCAGAATTATCGGTTGGCTGATTCTGCGGGGGAATTGTTGTAGGACGTTGGTTAGTATCAACGACTTGTTGGGAAGCTCATCTATTTATCCATGAATCGACCTGACATTGCTTATGCCATGAGTGTCATGAGTCAATTCATGCACTCTCCTCATACCCCTGTCCTTGATGCAGCTATTCAGATCCTTCGCTATTTAAAAGGGTGTCCGGGCCGTGGTATTTTGTTTGCCAATCATGGTCACTTACGTGTTGAGGCTTGGATATATGCTAATTATGCAGGATCCGTTTCAGATAGGAGATCAACTTCGGGCTATTGTATCACTATTGGTGGCAACTTGGTTACTTGGCACAATAAGAAGCAGGATGTTGTCTTTCGATTTAGTGCAGAGGCAGAGTATAGGGTTATGGCTCTTGGGGTAATTGAGTTGCTATAGCTGAAAACCTTGATGACAGACTTGTGCCTTCTAGTGTCGCTTCCATTCTCACTTTACTGCGATAACAAGTCTGCCATTAGCATAGTAGCAAATCCTGTTTAGCATGACAGGACTAAGCATATAGTGGTGGACCGTCACTTTATTTGAGAGAAGATCATCTTTGATCAAATTTGCATTCCATTTGTCACAAACTCTCAGCAGCTTGCAGACATTCTTACAAAGGGCGTCAGCAATATTGTGTTTGAGAATGCATTGTCCAAATTGGGTGTTTCAGGTATCTATGTACTAACTTGAGGGGGAGTGTTAGCAAATATGATAGCCACGATTTATGGAATGACTTACCATATTAGTAGAGATTTGATCATGCTATAGAATCTGCCATATGCTATAGAATATGCTGTGATTTGATTTTATTTCTTTTCTTGTAATATGAGCATGTGCTCTTTTTTATCTATAAATACTAGAGCTGTGAATGAGAGATTTATCTCATTCAAGCCTTTACACAATTCTCTCCTTTGTCTTCTTTTTATATTTCTTTTGAGCCCGACCAAACCATCTCATCCATCCCATCTTCCTCTATACAATAATGCTAAGATCGTAGGATCATGGGACCGAATAGTATTATTGGGATCTTAACAAGCAATAATTAACATGCCGTACATCAACATACGTGTGCGCGGTGCACATAATATATGCAGTATAACAAATTATGCATGGCAAATAATTCATGAATATCATAGTCAAGAATTAAAAGAAAGTACCATTCATTAATTGCAGCTGCAAAACAAAATTTAACTAACACTAACCAAATAATTCAAAAAAATTGTTAAATTGTGTATGTCAATATAAGTAAACAGCTAAAAATTAGTTTTCAAGTTATGCCCTGAACATTATTAATTGATAAATGTGTTTCCTTTTAAGCTTAGTTACTACTTGCTGCAACCTCTTGAAATTTAATATCATAAGATGTTGGTACCCTTATCAAACAGGCCAACGTGCATAAATAGTGATGCTATTCCTCATATGGAATGGTGTGATTACTATTTTGCTCTTTTAAGGCAAATCTTTAATATTCATTTAGGAGTTGCTCCACCTCTGGAGATCAGTGTTCGCTGCCTAAGTAACACCAGTTCCAAATTTTGGGCTTGTGTATCCCTTTTTAGATGGTTTTAAATTGTGAAAGTATAAGATCGGTCAAGTAAATAGGAATTGACAACTTCAAAATCGTTACTGAACAAGCATCATATGGTGAAAAGATCTGAATTTCAAAATCCGGAGTTATTAGTTTTTAAAGTCAGGCATTTTCCAAATTCTTGGGTTCTTTGACAAATTGACGTGTATGGTTAGCATATAGCATGTTGTGCTATAGGTTCTTCTTGTTTTCTAATTTCATTTTTTTCCTTTTGCTGCTTATGGATCCTTGTAGTTCCAACTGAAAAAATAGGAAAAAATAAAGTAGTGCTGATTTTCCATAATAAATATGTAGTATGTTTAAATAATGCAGCTACTTTGCTCATCAAAATATCAGGAAGACCACAGTCCATGTTGCCGCAGAATCATCCAGGTTTCCTAATTATCGCCGTAGGGGGTTTCGTCAAGATCTAAATGTTGATAGTGTTGATCAAAACTGCAGGCTGAATTTTCCTGCTAGGAGTGCTCCAACCAGTAGTTTCTCAAGTCCTACTCTTAGTCCAAAAAGATTTAGTCCAATGTCCACCCATTACCCCTTCCACCAGGAGTTGCAAAGCCATCATCTTCATCTAACATCCGCCAAATTATAGAAAAGCCAGATGTATCATCGATCAAAAGTCAATGGCAAAAGGGAAATCCGGAGTTAGTAGTTTTTAAAGTCAGGCATTTACCAAATTCTTGGGTTCTTTGACAAATTGTCGTGTATGCTTAGCATATAGCATGTTGTGCTATAGGCTCTTCTTAGTTTCTAAATTCATTTTTTTCCTTTTGCTGCTTATGGATCCTTGTAGTTCCAACTGAAAAAAAGGAAAAAAATAAAGTAGTGCTGATTTTCCATAATAAATTTATTTAGTATGTTTAAATAATGCAGCTACTTTGCTCATCAAAATATCAGGAAGACCACAGTCCCTGTTGCCGCAGAATCATCCAGGTTTCCTACTTATCGCCGTAGGGGGTTCCGTCAAGATCTAAATGTTGATAGTGTTGATCAAAACTTCAGACTGAATTTTCCTGCCAGGAGTGCTCCAACCAGTGGTTTCACCAGTCCTACTCTTAGTCCAAAAAGATTTAGTACAGTGGACGTCCATTCTACTTTCATGGTTCGTCAAGAATTTCAGGTTTCGTCTGCTTTAGAGGCTCCAGTTGTGGATTCTCTTGCAGGTTATTCTCAAATGATGTCAGCAAGAATAATGCGTAGCCCTGATCAATCTCCACTTCATAGCCCCACAATACAAACTCACTGCCATGATACCAGAAGTCCTACTGGCCTTGCGCTACATTCGTATCATAAATCACTCCCAGAAAGTTCTTCGGCATGGGCTGAAAGTAATATTCATGCCAATGTCCACCCATTACCCCTTCCACCAGTAGTTGCAAAACCATCATCTTCATCTAACATCCGCCAAACTATAGAAAAGCCAGATGTATCATCGATCAAAAGTCAATGGCAAAAGGGAAAACTCATTGGACGGGGTACATTTGGTACCGTTTATATAGCAACCAACCGGTATGCAACATAAACTGAAGCTTTCTTATTTTTTATTTCTGTTGCAAAGAACATCACTCTTGTTTTCTTTGACAGTGAAACTGGAGCTTCATGTGCAATGAAAGAAGTTGATCTGATACCTGATGACCCTAAACCTGCGGAATGTATAAAGCAGTTGGAGCAGGTTTTTCTTCAGAGTCCCTCACATATTGTTGTACAGTAATATAGTTGTGTGTTTCCATGGGTATCTATTCTCTGTGGTTTCTTAAAACAAATACAAATAGTGGCAGGGGGAAAAATGAGTCTTTTTAAGGTTGTGAATTATTGAAGTTTCTGATATTGTTCTTCGGGTGCTTGTCAAACTCACTTAAGCAATTATCATTTGATGTTCCATTGAAGTCATATGGTCCTAAAAGTTTCTTTCCTCAATGTCTGATAACCTTTTGTGATGTTTGTGGCCCGAATTTGGTTCTGGGTCGTGCTGCGACTTACTTTCGACCCGACAACCCGTTTCCGCTTGCAGGTCGGGGACCCTCTCTTGTAGCCCAATATATAAGGGCGTTTAGGGTTTGGAGTGGGACATTGAAAGAAACTGAAAATCGTAGAAAAGAGAGTGAGAGCTAAAGCTAGGGTTTGGGGGCTGAAACTTGTAACTTCTTGATTTCGCATAGTGAAACCATTCGCTGGATCTTCACCGTGGACGTAGACATTACTTGTGTCGAACCATGCTAAATCGTCGTGTCTTGTGTGGTGCTTGTTTTTGTCGTGTTTCGTGATTATTTCTTCGTTCGTGGTTGTTTGTCGTAACATCTTTTATGTGTAGCCAGATTTTTTAACTGTTTAATGATTTTTTTTTTTTTTTTTCTTTCCCAGTTGTAACTCACTTACCCACTTTTGTCCCTAATGGGACTTGAACTCTCGACCTTCCACTCAAGAAGGTAGAGGAGTTAGAGGGGATCTATATTTGATCTATCATAAAATGAAAAGAAAAGAGATCCAGAATTGATGTTTGAAGCAATTGAAAATGGTCATAATTGTTAGGATATTGAGTCATGTGTTGGCAAAATCCTACGCAAAACTAGGGTTAACAAAATATCTAGAGTCAGTTAGTCTATAACCAAAGAAGAATCTAGGGTATGGTTTTTCATAATTTATAGAATTTATATATTTTTGGGGGGGGGGAGAGAGAGCTTTGAATATCAACCTCGGGTTTTCATAGAACATCATACTCTATGTTATTGAGTGAATAAAAGCAAGAAGAAAATTAGGGAATCATTAAGCAACCAACAAACTAGGTGTTCTTTTGAAGATCAACAAATTGAACAAACCATGGAGAGCACGCTTGTGGGTGAGCGACTTTGTTGATTGCCGTTAATAGAGTCCAAGGAGGAATATTTGGTGGCTTTTGCATCAGAGGTAACTAGGTGATTATGAGGAGTAGAGTCTGGTACCTAGGGTTGTAATACCTTTCTCTATAGTGAATTGTTTGTGTTTGGACTGAGGCCTTTTCCCTTTCCAGGATTTTTACTCAAAACATTGTTATCTCTGTTTTTTTTTTTTTTTTCTTCTGCTTTTATGTGTTTGTATTCGTGATTGAGACATGTGGATAACTAAACAAACGAAAAGTGGAATTCATTATAAACTAAAATTTTGAAAGTTAGTTATTCACGAGTAGTATCCATGTAAAAGCTATACCAGCACCAGTATATTCTTCTAAATCCTGAAAGGGAAATTCCTAGAATTTCTCCTTCATGTGACTATTTATTCTAGTCTAATCCATTCCTTCTTGATTGAAAGGAATTTCTATAGATCCTATGAACAAAGTAAATAGGACAAATGGAAGCAGAGGGAATTACGTTGTGTTGTCTGACTCATAAGAATATGCAAAAGTGTTCTTTTTGCAAAATTTAGTAATAGTAATAAGACCTTCTCAGCCTCCCTATAGGTCTAAATTGAACCGTTTGTGCCCTAATGTATCAGAGCCTAGGGTGCTTGCCTGTTTCCTTAATAATCACTTAGCATTTGAACACTACATGTAGAGGACGACAATATAACTATCACAATTCAAGTCTAAATGGTCACTAAAAGTAACCATTTTCGATACTTAGGGTCCATGATACAACAAGATGGAGAGGTAGACGACGATGTAATCATCAAGATTAGAGCAGGGTGGAGAAAATGGAGACAACCTAGTGACATTCTATGTAATAAATGAATACCAAATAAGTTAAAAAGGAAAATTTTATAGGTTGGTAATTAGGCCAACTATATTATATGGAGTGGAATGTTGAGCGTTAAAAAAAGACAAGAACAAAATATGCATGTAGCTTAAATGAGAAAATGAAGATGGATGAGAGGAGCAACTAGGAAAGATAGGACTAATAATTAACGTGTGAGGGGAAAAGCAGGAGTGGCTCTATTAGTGACAAAATAAGAGAGAATTGATTTAGCCATTTAGGGGGTATGGTCATATACAATGGAAACTCATGAATGGATCGGTAAGAAAGGGTAGATTTATGTGCATAGAAGGTAAGGTACAAAGAGACTGACTAAAACTCGTGTGATGAAATAATTAGAAATGATTTAAAAAAGATTAAATATAATAGGAGATATGGCTTGTAATAGGAAAGAATGGAAAAGAGAATTCATGTGGCAGACTCCATTCATATGGGAACAAGGCAAAGATGATGATTTGATCACTCCCAAGGCAATCTATCTCCATGGATCCTATTTCTTGAACTTCGCAGAATTGTTGGTGTTCAAGTATCTGATGAATAACATTTTTAAAAAATTCCTAGATCTGATGCTTTAAACGAAACTATTTCCAGCTTCTGTAAAATGCTAGATCATCCAATAAATATAACTACATATATTTTTCGATTAACAGTATGAATCAAACTATAACCCACCCCTACCTTTTAGATGCCATGCTACTACTTAACCATTTACTTCAATAACTTAGGCTTAATTGCACCATAGTTCTATGTTTAGATATTACGCTCTTTGCCATTCTTCCATTTTCTGTAAACATAGAAATGAAAAAGGGGCAATTTGCATGGAGAGAAACCAAAAAGAGCTTTTCTGAGAGCTAATTGGAGTTTGTACAGACGTTCCACACACAACAATCATGGCCAAGTATATAGCTAATGTGATGTAGGACTGTTTGGATTCAAATTATATTAATTTTTGGTATTTAATATTTTTTAGAAATTATGTTTTTTATTTTAAATTTTTTTTCCTAATTTTTGGAGAAAGTTTTGTTATGAGCCGTTTCCTTGTGCTGCTAGTTTCCTTTTTCTGATAGTTTTTCTTACTGTGTTAGGGTTCTTTTATTATAAATACATGTACTGTAGAAGGCAGATCATTTCATCCAACTATCTGTAATATATCAAATTGCTCCGCAATTTTCTCTTATCTCGGTTGATTAAAAATTGTTCTTTATTCTTTGCGAACATTCATAGCTTCCACTCCGTCAGTTGGTATCAGAGCCTTGTTTTACCCTAGTCTATGGTGATTGATTGTTCTGGTAGCAACCACTTTGGCGACGATCGCAGATTGTAGGTCCCTTGGGCAGCCATGCATACTAAAAACGACGGATTGATCAATGGTGTAGACAAATTGCTGGTTTTGGAATTGGTGGCAACAAGGTTTATGGCCCTTTTTGGGATCATGCTGACGATGTTCCTCGCAGCCAACCGAACATGGATTATGTTCCCCTATATCCACGTAGGCCTCTAGTTTATACGGATTATTCCGTTGACGAGGAGTTTGGATTCAAAGGAGTTGCATTGAATCAGCGTGATCGAGATAGGCGTGATAGAAACTGTGGATATCTAGACAATCGTGAGTTTTAGGCAACACTTGATCGACTCAGTTTCAATGGACGTTTTAATGTTGAAGATTTCTTGGACTGACTTGATGAAGTTGAGCACTTTTTTGAGTATTTTGATATACCCGAAAACAAGTAGGTTCCACTTTTAGCATTAAAACTTAGAAAGGCGCTTTATATTGTTGGGAAGTGACATAGATAAACTGAAGATGGCAGGAAAATAGCCTGTTCGATTGTGGTACGTGATGAAGAAGTTATTGATGGCTAGATTCTTACCACCAGATTATGAGCAGAAGTTGTACACCAGTATCAGAATTGTAGGAAAGAGGGTCCGTCCGTCAACGAGTACACAAAGGAGTGATAATTTTGTAGAAGCAACCAATAATTCTCAAGAAATTGATAATCAAAATTATGGTGCCTCACCCCTTGTAGTTGAAGATGATAAAGTTGCCCAATCACAACAGATGCACCTGAGAATGAGAATGCTCTAATATAACTTCAGTGACCCGCTTTGAGGACATAACTGATTGTTTGAGAGTAGACTTGGAATATTATGGTGACAAGGATGATATTGAGCTGTGCAGTGTGGGGCTTGGAGACACTTACTGGCCAAGTACTGAGGTGGACCCATGTTTGAAGGATAAGGAAATACAAGTTGGAAGAGCTTCAACACATTATTACATGTGCTCAGGGTGGTGTAGTTAGTGCCCAAAACGAGAATGATGTCCAATTTCTAGTAGATAAAGCTCATGAGCTAGGTCAGCTTCTTTTCATGCATACTGTGCGTAGCCATGCCCCAAATAATATCTTGTACAATGTGCACATGTTTGGTGAAGCTGAAACCCATTACCTCCATTATGGATCACGAGGTTGTCATTGGCTATGGGATTCAAGCCTATTCAACTATGGACTGTGGGCAGTACTATGGTTTCTTCTTTCAAGTGCAATACATGAGCTGAATGACTACCAGTTTAATGGATTTAGAATTGATGATGTCACCTTAATGGTGTATACTCACCATGGATTGCAGGTGGCATCCACTGGAAACTACAATGGGAATGTTGGATATGAAATTCATGTAAATGTTGTTGCTGAAGATTATCATAAAAAGTTTGAGGAAAGAAAAAATAAATGTGCAAAAAATATGACGCAAGATTATGAAGCAATAACATTAAGTCCTCAATGGTATAAAATATTGTTTATACTTATATATGATGTACTGCGTTATTCACAGGTAAACACGAGGACGAGTTCTTTTGAAGTGGAGGGGACTGATGTAGTACAGTTTGGATTCCAATTATATTAATTTTCGGAATTTAGTATTTTTTAGAAATTAGGTTTCTTATTTTATTATTTTTTTTAGTGAAAGTTTAATTTTGAGCAGTTTCCTTGAGCTGCTAGCGCTTCCTTATGGCTTTAGTTTCCTTTTGCTTATAGTTTTCCTTACAGTGTTCGGGTTCTTTTATTATAAATACATGTACTGCAGAGAGTAGATCATTCATTCAATTATCAATGATATATTAGATTGCTCTGCAATCTTCTCTTAAGTTTGTGGATTCAAAGTTGTTCTTTGTGAACATTCATAGCTTCCGCTCTGTCATAAAGAGTGTTTCCTAATTCTCTAATTGGTAGGATGGGTGGACTATGAGAAAGGGTAAGAGGGAGGGTAATGTCAGAGAGATGGTAAAGGATTTCGTAAGGAGATGATACTGTGTTTCCTTTGGTTGCTTGTTTGAGCTAGAAAGAAAGGAGTGCTACATATTTTACGATTTTACGATCATGTATTAGTACAAGGGCTTAGTTTGAAGGACGTGTAAAATGTTCTTTCTTAACTTCCTTCTTGTCATTTACTTTTTGGTGGAAAGAAAATGATGGGCTGGAGGGATGTAATTCCCCTTTCCCTTTCCCTTTCCCCTTTCCCTTTCCCTTTCCCCTTTCCCCTTTCCCCTTTCCTTCACTTTTCCTTCCTATCAGACGATAGAAGGTCCACTTTCTCCTTGCTTTTCCATACCTTCCAATCTTCTGTCATACCTAACAGAGCCGAAGACCACTTCCTAGATAATTGATTTTTCTGACTTTCTGGGAAAAAGAAAAAAAAAAAAAATTTTGAAACAATTCTTTCACTGTGTGTGCTTCTCTGCTATACGGAATTATCAGCATACAGAAAACCTTCTATGGTTAGCATTTATCAGGATACAGTTTCTCAAACTTGTCTTATTTTTAAACTCTTTTTTGTTCTCATTCTTTCTTTTGTTTCAGGAAATCAAAGTTCTCCGGCAGCTAAAGCATCCAAATATTGTGCAGTATTATGGTAGTGAAATTGTAAGTAATTCTTCGATTATCTTGTGTCAGCCAGATTTCTCTCAAATATGCAAATTGAAGAGCACTGCTTTCTGTGCAGGTTGAGGATCGTTTTTGCATATTGTTGGAGTATGTTTATCCAGGATCAATCAACAAATATATCTGTGAAAATCGTGGGGCTGTTACAGAATCTGTAGTTCGCAATTTCACCCGCCATATTCTCTCAGGGCTGGCTTATTTGCATAGCAAAAAAATAGTACACAGGTGACTGATATATTTATGAGAGTGGATAATCTTAAGTTACAGTTGGACATCTTTTTTAACAATCACATCGTAGTGCGTATAATTCTATGCCTTAGCATATGATAGACAATGTCAATATGTTGAGAAAAATGAATTTATTCAATGGGCATGTTTCGAAAATGTAATAGATACTTACCAGCATCTTTTACTTTCATGATTGAGAAAAGTACATAGCTTGAATAGACTGACGTCTGTCTTGGTGATTAGGAATGGTTTATGATGTAAGGTTTTGATGATTTTGTTAAATAGGGACATCAAGGGGGCAAATTTGCTTGTCGATACATCTGGTGTTGTCAAGCTTGCTGACTTCGGGTTGGCAAAACATGTGAGATTTGAAAGTCTTTTAACAACTACCAATTTAATTAAATATATTCTTATGATATTAATTTAGTTTAATGCATGAAGGTTTGATTTCTTTCTCTCTCTTTTCTTCTTGTTGTACTAATGTGTATTTTCTTTTTCACATATATCTTTTTCTGGGAAACATTTTTAGCATACCTAGTGAATGACTATAACAACATTGTTATAGCAGCATTCTTCTTATGTTGAGGAATTCTTATGATATTGATTTAGTTTTATCTTATGAAGATTCCAAGTGTTTAAACTCTTGCTTTTGATGGAAAATTCTGTGTCTTAATAAGAAAACTTGAACAAATCAAAACATATAATTGGACTTTCTTTAATAAGGGAATGAGAGAAAATCTTATTTCATTGGTGTTACCAAAAGGAAAATGTCTCTTAAACCTTTTCTTTTAGGTTTTGATTGGTTTGCTGATTTAGTGAAGGAGGAGGAATAGGAAAAAGGAAGGGACAATGATTATCCTTATTTACTCTCTCATGCTAATATGAGATTAAAAGTTCATAATTCCTCAAAAACGGTTGGAATCAAGTAAAAGGAAAAGGGAAATGAGATCTAAAATTAAATATTTCTCCCTCACTTTCCTCATGTTTATTTCCTTGCTATGGTCAGTGGAAACTAAATAAGAGAAAAGGAATTCCTTTGTGCTGTGTTTCCTTTTTTTCACTAAATTCGCAAACCAGATGTACCTTTGTGGTAAATATTGCAGTTATGTTCAAATAAAATGGTATTTCTTTTGGAAAAACCTGAAACAGTAAACAGCTGAAAAATATATGAATAGCACGGTTGTATCACTGGTACAGTCAAGATGTGATATATATATCACTAACATGGATTAACTTATTGTAGAATGGAATGCTTTGGATAGTGTATGATGTTGGCAGCTATATGGATTCGTGGAAGAACGTTTTTTCTATTATCGTGTGATTTTATATATTTAAAATGTTCCAGTGATATTATAAAAAAATAAAAAATATATTTAATAAGGTATGAACTATGTGAGTTTGTGTGTGAGTAAAGGATCAAAAAAGATGCTGTTGGAGAGCAGACAGTTTTTTTTTTTTTTTTTTATCCGTTCCTATTCTCCTTTCTAGAAAGCGAGTTTAGTGGTGGATGAGATATGAGATCAGAACGACCAATACATATTATTATGTAAAAAGTTGCACTTCAAACATAGAAACATGCTGTGCGTATAGCTGTGACAACGTTCCTATGTATATATCATCAACTGAAAAAGGCTTCATCATCAGAACTTAGCATCTAAACCATATAGATGGAGTTATTTTTGGTCACTCACTCATTTAGAGAGAGAGAGAGAGAGAGAGAGAGAGAGGTTTGGTCATTTACATTAAAACTATGCATGACAGAGTTTACATAACTGGTGTTACTATCCACTCCAAGGTTAGTGGATTACATTCTGAGAGGAATACCTTGAGATTGTGATTGAAAGCCTTTATGTGTGTGTGTGTGTGTGTATACTTATATAGATATATTTATTATTGTTACTCATTTGTGCACTTCTGACATTTCATCTCCACTACTTCCCTCTTGCCCTAATTTCACAGCTCTTGTTTGTATTCAGCTTACAGGACATTTCACTGATCTTTCTCTGAAGGGTAGCCCACACTGGATGGCTCCAGAGGTATCTAACATTGCATAGGATAAGTTTACATATGGCTTGTGGTTTTCATTCTTGACACATTTTTTCTTTGGGCGGTTGGAATTGGGGCACAGGTCTTGCAGGCTGTGATGCGGAAAGATACCAATCCTGAGCTTGCTTATGCTGTTGACATATGGAGCTTGGGCTGCACAGTCATTGAGATGCTGGATGGAAAACCTCCTTGGAGTGAGTTAAATGGGGTAAGCATGTGGCTTTATTCATTGCTTTTAGATTTTTGTTTTCATGTCCATTGTTTTGTATTTCTGTGAGATTCGTCCTCCAGGAGATAAACGTACTTCGTACAGAATTATTCTGTTTAGGATATTACTAGTGCTTGATCTATGGATTTTCCTTTATGAAATTAATTTGTAATTCCTTTCATAAGAAGAGAAGCTTTGAACTTGTAGGGGCATTTTGCTAAAGCAAAAAAAAGGCTGGAACTCATATGTATTTGAGAGAGTATAAATTATATAGGGCATAGAAATAAGAGAAGTTTGAAGAAAGGGTTCTTTTGGAGAAAGCCTATGATAGGGTACCTAGAGACCTAATATGGAGGGTTTTAGAAAAGGAAGGAGTCACAAAGGGATTCATTGACACAATAAATGACATATATGATGGTTGTGTGATTATAGTTAGAATGCCTATAGGGGAAACAAGTAAATTCCCAATTACTGTAGGCTTACACCAAGGGTCATCATTAAGTCCATACCTTTTTGGCTTGGTTATGGATGAGCTGACAAGACACATCCAAGATGAGATTATGTGGTGTATATTATTTGCCAATGATATTGTTTTTGTTGATGAGACTAGAGAATGATTTAATGCTATTGGGAGGAAATATAGGGATTTGATTTGTATTGGGAGTATCTTTAGGGATTGGATATGATCTGATCTTAATTTGATTTTATATGATATAATTTTCATCATGTGCCTGTTAGAGGCATAGGATCTGTGATTTGATTTACTTTCCACTTATACAATATTCAGTCTGTAATATAAATTAGGAGTATGGCTAATGAGAATTTGTGACTTACAAGAGCCTTTTACATTTAACTTGGTATCAGAGCCAAGAACACGTCACACACTCCACTGCTTGATCTTTACTTCATCTTCTCTTGGTTTATCCTCTCCTCTTTTTGTGTTCTTTAAATTTTTCAGTCACCAACCACTAAACCACACCCAAGCAAACCAAACCCCTTCGGGGGTATTTCTTCTTCCCTCCATCACTTCATGTGGTAGAGGGGTCTCTCTCTATACCAATGACTGGCTCGGTCGTTATGTGTTGTTGACGAATCGTCCATCCTATTTTCATTCTCTGCCGACTTCCACAAGGTCAATACATGTTGTAGACAAATTGTACGGCCGAGTTTCACTCTTGCAGATAGAGTTGCTCATTTGGAAGACTTCTCCAGCCCTTGTGACTTGCAGACAGCAGTATTTACAATTTCAATTCGGTACGAATCTGCGATTTGATTCTATATCATCACAATATGAGAAATGGAATCTGTTCAGACTAAGGATAACGCATCCTATGGGCATAGTTCCCAAGCCCAAAGGATTACTACAGTTTTATTAAATGGGAAAAATTTTCTGTCTTGGTCAAGATCAGTGAGACTTTATTTAGGGAGTCGGGGTAAAACTGGATATTTATTGGGCACTATTAAAAAACCAGCACCTGTTGAACCAACATTTACTTTTTTTCTTTTTCTTTTTTTCCTAGTTGGTACTCACACACACTTGTCTCTTCTGAGACTTGAACTCTTGACCTCCCTCTGGAAAGTAAGAGGCTGATACCGCTAGACCATTGGCCCGTTGGTGTTGAACCCACATTTACACAATGGGACATTGATAATTGTACCATTCTTAGGTGGTGGTTATTCAATTCTATAGAGCAATGTATTTATAATATGTTTATATATCATGAAACTGTACACACCTTATGGATTGCTCTCACTAAGACTTATGCTCATGCTCATGCTCGTAATGAAGCCCGGATCTATGAGTTGCATCGAGATATCTCACGAGCTATCTAAGATGATTTAAAGCTATCAGTTGCAGATTACGTTGTCGTCCTTCAGTCATGTTGGGAGGAACTTGCTCACTATGAGTCCCTTGGTGATATCTCAGCAGAGGTTGCAGGTATTATTAAGGTTAGACACGATCGCCATTAGATTTATCAGTTTCTTATAGGACTCCGTCCAGAATTTGAGGCACTTCGTACTCAAATTTTGAATACTACACCTCTACCCTCTCTTTTTGGGGCTTTTGCTGTTATTGATGGGGAAGATCGTCAACGTCAGGTTACACCTTCGATGGCTCCTGCTACACTTCTTGCACCTGACATTGATTAGATGGCATTAATCGCTTCTTTTAGACCATCTTGTACTCGTAGCCATGGCCGTGGTAGTAATCGTGGACGGGGGAGTTCTACTATGTGCACACTGTGGAAAAACTGGTCGTGCTAAGGATAGGTGCTTCCAGCTCTACCCACACCTTAGATCTAGCAGCACTACAACTTCTTCTGCTGTTGCTATTGTCAAGTCCTTTGGTTACCATGAGCCACCTGCTCCTCCACCTGGATGTATTGATATGCATCAATTGCATACACAAATTGGGTCTATTATATGAGATCATTTATCACATGCATCTCTCCCTTCAGCGACATCTGCTGCAGCTCACTTGGGTACCACCCAGCTACATCAACTGCAGTTCACTTAGGTACCCCATCTGTAGTCCATGCCTCTTAGTTTGGTATTGTTCCTCTAACTTGGGTCATAGATTCTGGTGCTTCCAATCACATGACTGGTGAGTGTCGGTATTTTTCTGATATGGAAGCATCCTCCGGGCAGGTACACCTTGCTAATGATTCTTTTATACCGATCATTAGTAAGGGTACTGTCCTTTATCTCCAGATTTATCTTTATAGTTTGTTCTTCATATGCCTAACCTTTCCCTTAATTTATTATCTGTTAGTCGCTTAACTCGTTCCTTGGCCTGTTCAGTGACTTTCTTTCCCGGTCACTGTGTTTTTCAAGACCTAGCTACGAAGAGGATTTTTGGCAGGGGTTATGAGAGGGACGGGCTGTACATCTTTGGGACATCTCCAATTCTTGCACATGCTTACCATGGAAGGCATTCTTTTACGAACCAAACTCTTGATTTATGGCATGCTCGTCTAGGACATTCTAATTTTCAGTATTTATTATCTTTGTTTCCAGCATTACGAACGACTTGTAGAACCCATCAGTTTCGGTGCGTTGTGTGTGAGCTTTCTAAACACATACGCACCTTTTATATTTCACGCATGTGTCGTATTCCTTGTTTATTTGATTTATTCATTCTGATGTATGGGACCTTCCCCTGTTACTTCTTACTCTGGTCATAAATATTATGTGACGTACTTGGATTTATTTACTTAAGTCACGTTCTGAAGTATTGTCTACATTTATTTCTTTCTTACAAATTATTAAAACCCCGTTTAATACTATTGTTAAAATCATCCGGTCAGATAATGGGAGGGAATATATCTCTAATGATTTTCGGTCTTATCTTAATAAATTAGGGATTCTTCATCAGTTGACATACCTTTATACACCGGAACAGAATGGAGTGGCGGAACGTAAAAACCGTCATCTCATGAGTGTTGTTCGGTGTCTTTTACGTGGTATGCAGGTTCCTCAATCTTATTGGAATATGGTAGTTCTCACTGCAAGTTTTTTTATTAATCGAATCCCTAGTCAAACTTTAAGGGGTAAGGTTCCATTACATATTTTGCGACCAGACAACACCCTTTTCCCTATTACTTATATTTTGCGACCAGACATCCTACACGTATAAAGCTTGATGATAAAGCTATTCGTTGCATTTTTCTGGGTTATTCGACTATGTCGAAAGGATACTGTTTTTATAACCCTAGTACTTGTCGGATATATCATTTTATTGATGTCACTTTTTTTGAAGATGTTCCCTTCTTTGGCACATCTCTGTTGCAGGATCCGCCTTTTTCTACTCCATCAGTGACTTTCTCACCCCTGGCTCGGCCTGCGCCAGTTCTATCCTTAATATCTCCTCCTGTGGCTTACACTCGTCGCCCACGAGATCCCCCTCACGTTACCCTGCGACTGTCCTCTTGTGGTATAGGTAATCCTAACCTAGCTATTCCCGATTCTACTTCAGATCCTACCTTGCCTACTTCTATTATAGATACTGCATCGCCTACTTCTGATTCTGATTTGCCTATTGCTCTACACAAAGGTAGAAGGACTTGTGTGACTAATCATCTTATTGCCCAGTTTCTTTCTTATCGGGGACTTTTACACAATTACCGCGCCTACCTTGCTGCCACCTCGGCTATTTCCATCCCTCGAACTGTATTTGAGGATTTGCAAGACCAACGCTGGACAACAACCATGACTGCTGAGATGGATGCCTTGCAGAAAAATAAGACATGGGAGCTTGTTACTTTACCATAAGGAGACAGGATTGTGGGCTGTAAATGGGTATTTACAGTCAAATATAAACCAGATGGTATTGTTGATCGCTATAAAGCTAAGCTAGTTGCGAAGGTTTTACACAAACTCTGGGGAAGGACTTTAATGCCACTTTTGCTCCGTTCACCAAGCTGACTACTGTCCGCCGCCTTATTTACTTAGCGGCTTGCTACTCATGGCCTCTTCACCTGGCCTCTTCACCAGTTAGATGTGAAGAATGCCTTTCTTCATGGGGATTTGACAGAAGAAATTTATATCGATTCTCCTCCTTGTTTTCGGCTGTAGGGGGAGTATTCTGGGAAAGTGTGTCGCCTTCTAAAATGCTTATACAGACTGAAGCAGTAACCTCGGGCATGGTTTCACCGATTCAGTGATGTAGTTATTTCTATGGGTTTCACTCCATGTCACTCAAATCACACATGCTTCTTCCGTCGTAGTCCAGAAAATCGTTTTGCCATTATCTTAGTATATGTTGATGACATAATTGTCACAGGAAATGATGCATCTTTCATTGACAAGGTAAAAATAGACCTTGGGCATGCTTTTGAAGTTAAAGACTTAGGTCCTCTTTGATTTTTTCTTGGTATTGTGGTTGCACACTTTAGGCATGACATTTTGCTTTCTTGGCGGAAGTATACATTAGACCTCCTATTGGTATGCTTGGGTGTCGTCCTGCTTCCTCTCCTATTGATTCGACACATCGGCTTCATGCCGATCTGTAGACCTTCTTCTAGATCCGTGTGCTTATCAGTGCCTTGTTGGCCGCTTAATTTATCTAACAAACACTAGATCTGATCTCACATTTGCAGTTAGTGTTGTGAGTCAGTTCATGCATGCTCCTTGGACCTCACATTTAGATGCAGTATACCGAATTCTTCGGTACCTCAAGTCCTGCCCAGGACTTGGTCTATTATACAAATCCACACCACAGCCTATTATCTCATGCTACACCGATGCTGATTATGTTGGATCTCTGACTGACCGTCACTCTACTTCAGGTTTCTGTACTTTTCACGGGGGCAATTTAATTTCTTGGAAAAGTAAGAAACAAAGCGTTGTGTCTCGTTCTTCTGTGGAGGCGGAATACCGTGCCATGGCTCAGGGCACTTGTGAGATCCTTCCCTATTGACTGAGCTAGGATTCCCTGTATTTAGTTTATCAACTCTCTTCTGTGATAACCGGCTATTATGCTCGCATCTGACTCAGTTCTTCATGAGAGGACAAAGCATATTGAGGTTGATATTTACTTTCTAAGGGAGAAAGTCCGATGTGGAGTTATTATACTTCCTTCACTTGTAAAAAAATAAAAATAAAAATAAAAGTACTTCCTTCGTTTCTTCTACTAATCAGCTTGCTAATATGTTCACAAAGTCAGTAAGACAATCTGCTCTTCACTCTGGTATTGGCAGGCTGGGCTTAGTTGATATCTTTGTTCCAACTTGAGGAGTATTGGGAGAAAATATGGGGATTTGATCTATATTGGAAGTATCTTTAGGGATTGGATTTGATCTGATCTTAATTTGATTTGATTTTATATGATATTATTTTTATCATGTGCCTATTAAAGGCATAGGATCAGTGATTTGATTTACTTTCCACTTATATAATATTCAGTTTGTAATATAGGAGTATGGCTAATGAGAATTTGTCCCTTATAAGAGCCAATAAAACTGAATATATGAAGTGTAACTTTAGTAAATCTAGAAAGACAAATGAGGATGTAGTGAGGATTGAGAATCAAGATGTGCAAAAAATTGAATTTTTTTGTTATTTAGGCTCAATTATTCATAATGAGGAAAAAAATTGGAGATAACGTTAATCATAGAATCAAGGCAGGATGAGTTAAATGAAAGGCGTGTCCCCTTACGATTGAAAGGCGAGTTCTATCGAATGGCTATTACCACAGCCATACTTTATGGTACCGAATTTTGGGCAGCTAGGAAATGACATTTGCATCAAGTGAGTGGCAGGAATGCGAATGTTGAGATGGATGTGTGCCAAGACTAGAAATGATCGCATTTGGGAGAGGGTTGGAGTAGCACCAATTGGAGATAAAATGAGAGAAATTCGGTTAAGATGGTTTGGACATTTGCAAAGAAGGCCTTTAAATGCGCCGGTTAGAAAAAGAAATATACAATAGCATGTGGATGGACTGAGGCTATAGCCTTAAATAGAACAGAATGGAAATATAGGTTTCACGTAGCCAACCCCAAGTAATTGGGAAAAGGCTTGGTTGTTGAAGAAAGGAGTCTTTTGGACTGTAGTTCTTATTTTATGTTCTTCTGGATGTTCTCCAGCACTTGGTATAGACCCGTAAAGCATAAGATGTATCAGGTGGTACCAGTGAGGTTTTATTTACGTGTGTGTGTGTGACAAATTGCAAGTGAAATCTGCTTAAGATTGTTGGTGGAATGATAGTATGGATCTTGGGGAGCCGCGGAAGAAAGTTTAGTGTGTATGGATGTCTGTTGGAGAGAGTGTGGAGATTGGGGGTGGAATTCTTGTCTCAATCTCCTTTTTAGTTTTTCGTTTGAAAATTCTCTCTTGCAAGTACCCTCTTACCGGAATTCCTCTTTAATGTTTCATTATCCTCTTTTAACTTCTTGTGGGAAGATTTAGAACTATAAGTAGCCCAGGCTTAGGTTCGGACAATATGCTTTATTTGATTTCCAGTTTCAAGGTCAAACGAGGGCATGAGTAGGGGTGGCAAAATGGTTCGTGACCCATCAATTCGCCCATATCCGCCCGTTTTAAAATGGATTTGGGTTAACCATTTTAAAACACGGGTCAAAATGGGTACCCATATTCAACCCATTTTTAGAGGGTTAAACGGGGTACCCATGTTTCACCCATTTATATAAGAGACCCAAATTCACCTCTTCTCTCTCTCTCAAATTCTCTCACATGATCCCAGATTCTCTTTCTGCCTCTTCCACTCTCTCTCTCTATAAAATTCTCTCTCTGCCTCACCGTCTCTCTCTCTAAAATTCTCTCTAGGTGCAGCACTTCCATGCCCACCACATGCAGCCCAGCACCACCACGCACTCCGCACCGCACAACACTAAAATATTGTTGCAGTTGCTAATAGTATTACTTTAAAAGAGAGAACAGTTTCTAGAGAGAAAAGGTTATTGTCATGGTTTTATGATTGAAAGACGACTGGCATTAATTGATTCGTTTTAGAGGTAAAAATTCCATAGTGGTATTTTAGAAAGAAAAAAAAAAAGTATAGACACAACAGTTGTCTATAGAAAGATTAACAAATGTTTTCATATATATATATATATATATATTACCTGCATGCATGTCCAGTTATAAAATAAAATAATATAAATTTAAAGATTTTCCAAAATAAATTGAAGGATTTACGTTATCCATACATATTTTTACAAGCTTGTCCAAAATAATAACATTTATTTTTCCTAAAACGGATCGGTGGTCATGACGGGTTTGACTCTATGCATTTTGACCCAACCCATATTCAAGCGGATTGAATATGGGTCATTTAATCAGCCCATATTTTGACCCAGCCCAAATCTGTCCCAACTCACCCATTTGTCACCCCTAGGCATGAGGCATGAATGAAGAAAGAATTGAAATTGTTTGAACAAAGCTACAAATAAGTACACATTAGTTTTTTATTTCAAATATTGTATATCTAGATAAGTATATATCTATCCAAAATATATGCAATGGGATCTTTTTATTCTGCTCAATCCATAGTAAAAGATAAGAATGATGCCATGAGGTGTTTGGATGTCCTTTGGTATTTGAACATTTTCAAGGAGATGATGCTTCTGTTTTCTTGTAGCATTTAATTTTTAATCTGTAACTTTTTTTCTTGCCATAAAATATTTCCATTAGGAATAGGAAATCTTTCCACTGGTATCATTTTACCAAGTTGCGTGTCTAGATCCATGTCAAGCATAATGATTTGATTCAATTATTATTAAAAACTTTTTGGTTCATTCTCAACAAATCAATAACTCGATTTCAGTCTTCATAAAATAATTCCTTAGTCTTTTAGTTTTTCAGGATTGCTTCGAGATAATAAATGGCTGTGTTTTTCATTTACTTGATTACTTTAATTCACTTTAAAAAGTGGTGAATGATATGCTTTTCTTGAGTAGTAAGTACACGGAAAACATAATTCAATTTCAAAAAATTTCCAACTATCCCCTCAATCGATAGTTTCACAATTAGCTTTCAGAGTAGTACTACTGTGCATGTTCAGATTCCCTGAATTACTTTGCCCATTTTGTGGTATCCATTAGGTGCAAGCTATGTTCAACGTTTTGAATAAAACCCCACCTATACCTGAAACTTTATCATCAGAAGGAAAGGAATTCCTCCGGTGGTGTTTCCAGAGAAATCCTGCAGATCGGCCATCAGCAGTTTTGCTACTTGAGCATCCTTTCTTGCGAAATTCACATGATCAGAATGTTTCAGTTTGCGTGCAAGAATATTCTGGAATGAGATTAATGGTAAGTGTCAAATACCACTTATGGGTTGCAAGTTACAACCATGTATAAACCCTTCACTGTTACTAATACTTTTTTTTCTTTTCTGTTTTCTTACCCCCACACCTCCCCTCAAAATAACTGTGTGAAAATGACAATATATTGATATTTATTTTGTCTGTTTTTCCAGGAAACATCACATAGCCCAAGAGAGAGGACTAAAAATGTAAATGATATTATGTCAAACTCGCCTGGCACACTGAAAAGGCATGGAAAACTGCCATGTAACAGGTAGGATAATCCATTTGTCATTGTGTACCAGAAGACCTAGATTTGCATAAAATATTTTGACTAGTCTTTTGCTCTTGCATTACTATCATGCCTATCCTTATGCTAAGACGATTTGTTTCTTCCTCTAGTGAATCTTGTAAACAATCTTATCCTGAAACTACGGAGACCAAAGCAGCCTCCCGCCACTCTCCTCGTTCTACACTGGAAGTCCTTCCGAGTATATCATCACCAGAGTTAAACTGCTGTTCACATAATATCAGCCATTCTCCCAATGGTTCGAACAGCTTACTCGGAGCTGGAAGCAACTATCCTTATGCTTCTATAAGGACTCGCGGAAAGGAAATTCTACACCTTTGAATTGTGTTTATATGTTTGACTACAGATTGATAAGGAAGCAAACTCTCATGCACAGTATTGGCTAAAGAATTTGGTCGGAGTTCTCTTGTAGGCTGGTCATGTTGCCATCTGGGGACAATTCGGCCATGGGATTTCAGTTCACACTCCAATTCTGTGCTGTTGATGCTTCTTATGAAGTAACGGAGGCTCTTTCATCAGCAACCAAATTCAAACACTCGCTCTTTATGCTCTTCATGAAGAATTCAGGCTTAGGGAAAATGTAGTTGTTACTTATATCTTGCCCTAGCAAAGGCAGAAAATGGAAATTAGAAGAAAGATAATATTTCCAAATTTCTTCTAAAACATTAGTGGTGGAACTTAGATATAGTTGTGTAATTATTGAGGCTTCATTTCATTTCAATAGAAGCTCTCTTCTGACGGACTTTTTCATTAGGGTGTCTCTTTTCAAGAGAAACAAAACTATCATGGTGTTTCTGTTTGAAACTACTAATCAATGGCTGTCGTCATGCTGGTAATCCATTTCTTTGTACGTGACGGACAAAATGCTTGGCATGTTATGCTTCCAAACACTGGCCTGTGCTAAAGATCAGATATCAGCTAGGGGTAGCTATGAACTTATGCAGCTACATGTCTTGAATCCAAAAATTTTGGGTTTGCGACCATTGCCCCAATATGGTTAGTACAAAGATGGATGGAAAAAGAAAGGGAGGGGTGGTTTGCATTGTCTCCCTCATGTCATTCAAATTAGTCATTTTTGAAAGAGAAAACTATTTGGTTAAAGAGCTTTGTTGAGTTGGATTAGCTTCAAGCTTAAAACATTAGGCTTGTTCTTCTTTTTGAGTTCTGAAATCATATTTTTCCTTTTTCACATCTAGTATCTAATAGCATATTGGATTGATGTTCTTGGGGCCAGGTACAACATTTGTGTGAACTTGTTAGGTCTCTAATCTTACGACCAGGCGCATTCTGGGCTTTGTTTGATAGGCGAGAAGGAAAAGACGGAGGTAGAGCGCAGAATACCCCAGCCCCTTTTAGAACCGGAGATAATTAAATGGTTTTGAAGTGGGGGGATTGGGGTTAAGATTGAAAATTACATAGTTATTCTGCCCCGTTAAGAACAGGAGGTAATTAAATGGTTTTGGAGTGGGGGGATTGGGGTTAGGATTGAAAATCACATAGTTATGGGGTGGGGCAAGTTACCTGCCCCGTTTATAATTTTGTTTTTATACTTGATTTTTATATTTAATAATATTTATTATATATTAAACAAATCTTAATTTATTCTATTATAATCACTAAATATCCTTTCCTTTTTGTATTATTCTTATTTGAGAACTTCTATATATTATTTTGCCGTTCCTACAATAATTTTAAGTTTCAAGTTCCAATTGAGAATTTGAATCTTGTTTATCCGCATAAGAGTAAAAAGAATTACTCTCTCCGTCTCAAAATAAGTATCATGCTTTCCTTTTTTATCTGTCTTAAAATAATAGTCTATTTTTCTTTTTCAAACAATATATTTTACATCTTTCCACATATGTTTTTTGAGTTTAAAATTTCAAAGTTGAATATTTAAAACTTAAAAGGGCAAATAATTAAATTTTTTTTTTTTTAACTTTTGGTGATAGTATTTTTTTACACTTTGCCCAATTATTATTGAATTCATTTTTATCTGGTGATTGTTCATATTTCATAGTTTTTCTCTGAGCACACTGTGTGGAGGGAAAAAATCCCCTCTAATGAGAATTGAACACGTCATTACTATATAAATCTACCTTTGGTAGATTTCAGAAGCCCATCCGGATCAAGCCCAAATTACATTATTCTTTAACCCAATATCATTTATGTTGGACCTCCAAGACTAGGTAAAAACATTAATCAGCCCAACGTCACCACCGTTGAAGTTCCAGCCCATTGGTCAAGTCATTTAAACCAAGTTGCATCGGGCACAAGTACAATTAAATATTGTCCAGTCCTACAAAACAAAGGATTCAACACAGAAGGAAGGTTTTGTGCAATGAAAATTTAACATGGAAAGAATTAGACAAAGGAAAGAACTCCATTTTGTATATGGAAAGAATTGGAGGACAAACAATGTGAGTCTTACTATAATTCTACCACATTTTTGTATATAAATAGAGGCATAGACCTCCAATAAAGGGATCAAGCAATTCTACGCTACTCGAGATACAATCTTTGTTTATTATTATTATTTCTTTGAGTGAGTTGTATTTTTCTTTTAATTATTATTAGTTAAGAGAAATTTTGCACCTACACAGTGCAAGTGTGTAACCTTACTATTTGAATTCGAGTGTGAGCCTGAGAGCGACATAATTAAGTCAGGAGCAGTGAGAATTTAAGTAAGAGCGTGCACGGAGCGTAAAAGTGGGAGCGCACTTAGAGTGTGAATGCGACACCTAATAAACTCTTATGAAATATTAAGACAATCAGGCAATTGGGTTAAAAAAAAAAAAAAAAAAGTAAGTAAATTACAAGTGTACCCTTACTAAAACTACTTCGTTTACCACCAATGAGACAATGACAACTGGACATTTTAACTAAAAAACAAAAAAAACAAAAAACAAAAAATAGGCCGATCGTTTCTCTCTGTAATCAATGTCTCCCTACAAACGATTTCCTCGAATGAGTCCTGAATTTTATTGTTTTTGTCCACCTCATCTATGTCTCCCATATATATATATACGAATGATTTCTTCGAATGAGTCCTGAATTTTATTGTTTTTGTTTACTTCATCTACTTAAACAGTTTTCAAAAAATAATTATTTAGCACGAGATAAGTCTAGCCAATCACGTCAAATTCGGTGTTAATTCGGAGATATCTTTTCTATTCCCCTATTACTCATATACACACACACACACACACACACACAAAGATGAGTACTACATAGGGAGGGATGTGACACACAAAGCTCAACAAAACCTTCGTTTCTCTCATTATAAATCAAAGAAATTTCACTTATAAAGGGTTTGTGGATCATATACAGTGCTTCAATTTGTGAATCTACAATGCCTTACATAGAGCGAGATAAGGCGATTTGAAAGCTTTGGGTTCGAATGGGCAGAGGTAATGCTTCAATTGCTGTAAATTACTACATGACTATTTCACGTTTGGCAGGAAGAAACAGAGGACACCCAAATGGTTCATTTTAATGACAAACGGCGGCGACACTGGTTTGTCGTTGATTTATTTCCTACGCGATTCCAACTAAAGGTTTGGGGATTTTAGACCAATATTTCTTTTCCATCGACAAAACCTTGCAATTTTTAGTAGAACATGATTTTTTATTTATTTATTTATTATTATTTTTTTCATGTGAAGAAGATGATAAACAGTGATTTATAATTATGTGTGTGTATGTATATATATATATATATTTGTGTGATGATGGATAGCGTGTTCTTGATATGAAGGTTAGAAAGGTGCATTTTTTTTTTTTTTTTTTTTTAATTATTATTATCATTTTTTTTTTTTTTTTTTGTGTTAGAAATTCTTGCCTGTTATGCAGAAGATAATTAAAATGTATATCTATATATAAGGGAGGCTCTCATTGCGGTCTTAATGAACGGATTTTTCAGCTGACTATTGAGCAGACCAATAGTCAAATAGTCAATTACACGTTATTACTTTATCAGACTTAACCATAGTTAATATTTGTTACCTTAATAGTCAATTTACCATAGTTAGCCAATACTTTTATTCAATAATGGACTCTCAAATAGAAAACATATATTGCTTAATCCTGAAAACAATAAAAGGTCTTCAAATTTGGGTTTTCTGAGACAGAAATAAGAAAAATCTTCAAATTCTGACAATTTGCTCGTTTTCATTCTTATTTACGTTTTCACGCATTACAATTTCCTTTAAATTTTATGCACAAATACAATTAAATATTCAATCTCATCATCCCAAATTTGAAAATAATTTATGGTATCAAAAAATTGACATTCAAAATTTTAAAATATCTCAACAACTATTTCTATTACTCAACTTCTTTTTTACTTTTTTCGGTGGTTGAAAATAATCATGGGAAACATTTTGGCGAGACTATGTCAAGTGCACATAACACACGCACACTCCCCATTTACCACTTCACAGTTTCTCCAATTTAGATCATCATTAACAAGAACTTTAATACTACATGTTTAGCAATTCATGGTACTACTTGCACAGGTATATCAAACTAAACCTTATTTATCAATTTGCAATGTAAATTGGAAATTCCTTCTCATGCCATTAATCTATCACATACTTCTAATATGCCAATTGGTTCCTGTACTCTATATACATGTAGGACAATCCTTAAATTAGTTTCCGAATGATCTCAATTTCTAATCGAAAATAACTAATATCGCATTGCTGGGTTAAAAGAACAAATTGAGAACGAAGTGTGGAATAATTATTGACTAACCTTTTTTCATGGGTTCAGAGGATACCAATTTTTTATGGTTCGTGAATAACCTTTTTTTTTTAATTTTTTTGCTCTTTTAATTTTTTTTCTTTTCAATTTAGGGGGACTTTCAATGATTACAAATTTATGAACAAATTGATTGTTGGAGATTGCAAGGAAGATGGAAGAGATTAAGGAGGAGATAAATTGAATAAAGATATTGACTTAACTATGGTAAATTGACTATTAAGGTAACAAATATTAACTATGGTTAGGTCTGATAAAGTAATAACATATAATTGACTATTTGACTATTAGTCCGCTGAAAAATTCGTTCTTTTGGATTGCATGAGAGCCTTTTTGACTATATATGAGAGAATAAATAATGTCATAATGGTGCGTTTGGTTTATTAAGAGGAAATTATTATTTTTTTAAATGGTCAAATGAGGGGTATTAGTGTCTTTTCATACTCATAAGGGCATTATGGTCATTAAAATTATAATATCGGTCACATGACTGTCACATGTCACTTTTTTTTTTTTTTTTTTTCAAAAGCAAAAAAATCTTTCATTAGATGAAATTAAATATAAATACAATCTATATAAGCTTTCTCTTCTATGAAAGTTGGAAAAAAATCAGAAAAATATACAGTTTCTCTTCTCTGCATAGCATACTGGGCAAGACAATAAGCCAAAACATTTGCCTGCCTCTTCACCCAACCAATCTTTCATCAATCATGTAGTTTTATATAAGCCTGAATATCTCCCCAAATAGCTTCAATGTCAATTGAAACTTTTGATGGATTAATCACCAAACTATAATCTCCTTCAATCTCCACTTCTATTAATTCCCATGCTTGAGCCCACTTTAAGGCTAATCTTGCAGACATGGCTTCAGCTACTAATACAGAAGCCACGTTTGGGAAGAAATGGATGACCGCCTTTAAAACCTTACCCCTACAATCACGCAGAACTAAGCCAGTAGCAGCATCTTTGGTCTGATCTCTATAGGCAGCATCAAAATTCAACTTCCATCCATTTTCTGCAGGAGCTTTCCATCGCACAACATCAAATTGAGAGCAACTGCTTATCCTAGCTTCATGGCCGCCTTTAATAACCTCTTGATACTCATTCCAATAGTGAAACGCTAACTGCATTAGAGCCCTCTCCCCAATCTCTTTTTGCTCATAATAAAATTTATTTCTACTCTTCCATAAATACCAGCAGACATAGACAATTAAGCTCAAATATAAATCCCTGTCCTCTGCCTTTTCCCACAATTTCATTAGACCACAAAACCACTGCACCCATGTATTATTATGGAAACAATTAGGGTCCAATCTGATAGGGCAAAATTTCCACACTTTAACAGCATAAGGGCATCTCAGCATCACATGCTCAATAGATTCACTATCCAAACCACACCTCAAACAAATATCAGATTCCACAACTTGACGCTTCTTTAGATCTTCCAGAACTGGGATAATACTATAGACACAACTCCAAATAAAGTAATTCAATTTCTCCTTCACCTTAAGCTTCCATACTTTGTCCCAAAATCCATTAACAACTGCACATCCATTAATTCTTCTCTCATATCCCAACGATCTAGTAGCTCTTTGCAACCACTCAAGGGCAACCCTGTATGCAGACTTCACCGTAAAACTTCCATCATATGAGAAGTGCCATACTTTTTTTATCCCTGACAGTAGTTTCACTTAATGGAATTGACAAAATTTTCTCAGACTCTTCTTGAGAAAAAAACTGAGAAATAAGCACAAAATTCCAAGATTTTTTAATAAGGATCCACCAAGTCCTGAATTGTGCACGCATTACACCCCGTAGGACAAGGTGAAGAAATTTTAAAACCTGAAGCATTTGGAATCCATGGATCAATCCATACCTGCACTGCATTCCCTGTACCTACTCGCCACCTCAGGCCTCTCTGCACAACCTCTCTGGATGAACATATGCTCTTCCAAGCCCAACTTGAATTACCTCTTATTCTGGCCTCTAAAAAAGAATTGTGAGGATAATACTTTCCTTTGTAAATTCTTGAGAGTAGACTACCATCCTCCATCACTAGACGCCATCCTTGTTTAGCTAAAAGTGCAATATTAAAAGCTTCGAGATCTCTAAAACCCAAGCCACCCTCTTGCTTATTCCTACACAACTGTTCCCATTTTAACAAGCACAAATTCCGTCCTTCCTTAGACCCAAACCCAGACCACCAAAAGTGCATAACTTTACTACTTAAACTTTTGCAAACTCCCATAGGAAGCCTGAAACAACTCATGGTATACGTAGGAAGGCCTTGAAGAACAGACTTAATAAGAGTCGCCTTCCCAGCAAAAGAAAAGAAACAATCTTTCCACCCCTTTTATCTTGTCAACTATTCTGTCTTCAAGATATTTGAAAATTTGTTTTTTGGGTCGACCAATCTCAGCTGGCAGCCCCAAATACCTGTTAAACCTTTCCCCTATGACAACTCCCAACCTTCTACTCAAATCTTCCCTCTCATCAACTGGGACATTAGCACTAAAAATAATGGACGATTTTGAGTAATTGATTTGTTGTCCTGTTAGTCGCTCATACCTTATCAGCAACTGTTTCAATACATTTAATTCCCTGTCATTTGCTCTACAAAACACCAAAGAATCATCAGCAAATAGCAAATGAGATATAGTTGGCCCTCTATTCATTCGAATCCCAGAGAAGTGTCCATTAGCCGTTGCCTTATTAATTAACTTGGTAAGTCCCTCTGTACATAATAGGAATAAGTAAGGTGATAAAGGATCACCTTGTCTAATCCCTCTAGATGGTACAAAGAGACCCCTTGCACTGCCATTCAACAAAATAGAATAAGAGACAGTACTAACAGTTTCCATAACCACTGTAATCCACTTGTCATGAAAGCCCAATTTATTCAACACTTTGTGTAAATAAGTCCACTCCACCCTTCATAAGCCTTTGCCATTTCCAACTTCACTGCCATGAATTTATTTTTCCTTCCAACCCTGGTTTTCAAAATATGAACTATCTCATGTGCAAAAAGTATATTATCCGTTAGTAATCTCCCTGACACAAACGCACTTTGCTCTTCACTAACGATACTAGCTAACAAAGGTTTTAAGCGATTAGCTAATATTTTAGTAAAAAGCCTCGTAATAGTTCAGGTTTTTTTTTGGCATTTAACCCTAAAAAAAATTAATTCAAAAAGTTAAAAAAGGAAAATTAGAAAAACAGAGAGCGGAATGGTAGAGAAGTTGTCACGACCCAGCGCCTCTCACGACGGATTCTCTCACTGGCATCTCAAGCCGGCATCTTATACGGTCACGCCCCAAACCCTAATTCATCTTGAACTTCAAGTAAGTCCCTCTTCTCTTATTTCACATCTTCCTCTTCTCTCCTTTTCCTTTTCCCTTTTCAAAAAAGAATGAAAATAGAGGAAAATATTTTGAAGCTCTCTCCACATCAACCACCAAACAATTGGAAAAATGTGAAATTTTGAAATTTTTTCCAACTCTATTAATCTTCTAGATCGTTTCTGGGAAAAAAATGCCTTCTTCTACCAAACAGAGTGTTACAGACTGGTGTTGTTCTAATTTGAATTTTTTTGGGCGCTAATTGTAAAGGAGTGTATTGGAAGAAGAAGGCATTTTTCACATTTTGGTAGAACTAGGCAATTATTTATTTGCAAAATTCAGAGGAAGTGGGTCATTGTGAAGGCATTCATTTTGAATTGAATTATGTTAAAAAAGAAACTAGGGCAAATCACATAGTTAAAAGAACTTTTTTTTTTTTTTTACGTCTTCTTTTTCTTTCTTGTGAATGGCAGTCCCTTAATCGCGAGATAGGACATTGGTTTGGTCTCTAAAAGCACCGCTGTACCTTGAATTCCGTCTGTTTGATCTCCGGTGAGTTATTTATTTATTTACTTATTTTTTTCTTTGGTTTGGTCTCTAAAAGCACCGCTGTACTATGGATTCCGTCTGTTTGATCTCCAGTGAGTTATTTATTTATTTACTTATTTTTTTCTCAGTCATCCTCTGCTCTCTGTCTCGTTGTAATGAAGTTATGTTCTTAATTGACCAAAATTTGATGGTTTAATTTTAATTTCTTTTTTATATATTTTTCTTAAAAAATAGGGTTTTTGGTTCAACTCGGATTTTCATTCTTTGAGATCAAATTTAAATTTTTCCAATTTTGACATTGGTTAAAACCCTAAATATTTGTTGTTTGTTGCATCTCTTTGATCTTTGCACACAAGAACTCCAGTGCGCAGATGGGACTGCTTTTATCCTTTTTGCATTTGTGGTGTTGAATTTGAAGTGCCGCACTGAAGAACCGTGTGCAATGTGAGGTACATGATACACACCTACACACACATGAAGACCAGTATGACTGGATATTGTTTGGTTGAGTTTTAGGCTAATTTTACTGTTTGTTTAGAGAGTGTTTGGTGGTGGGACGATGAGAATTGTGGCCACTTTGGTTGTGCGAGGAAGCGACACTGCCTGCACTGGCAGTTCCAATGGTTCTAGTCTTCTTGCTTATGTTTGTTGGAAAATGATTTTAATTCTATCCAAACACCATAACATAATAAAAGATATTTATTTTACATGTTAAAGTTTTCCACGAATTTTTTTTACGGCGTCGTAACAAACAGAGCCTTCGCATCTCCAATTTATCAACTTTAACTAATTCAGCTCCTTTATCATTTCAAATTTTGGCTTTCAAGTATATTCCTGAGCTGTTTGGTGAATTGCCTCAACTATACATGTGTGTGTGTATTCTCTCAATGTCTTTGTCAAATTCCTGCAGTCAAAAGAAAAAAAGTTATATTGTAAACGAATATAAAATATCAGCGAAAAAATTCTGCGGGGTTGAATATCTTACGTTGAACCAAACAGAGTGGGACTGTTGACACCTCTAGAGTTGCACTGGAGTTTCAAAACCCTGATAGGAATTGTAAAGCTGATAGTAACTGTGATGAAAAGTTTCTGTTGATACATAGATAAATATGCATATATGCAAATGGTTATAGACATGTGCATGCATACATATAATTATCTTGTTAAATTGGGGCTTTTTCATATTTTTTATTCTTTGGAAGAATTCTGCTGAAGTATTGGTGAAATACTTGCCAGAATTGGTTATTGGGTAAAAGAGCTTGTGATGTTTTTTTCTGTCCTTGGATTGAGTTGGTGTTTAATTGCAGGCAATGCCAGATGCGCTGTAGCTTATGGAAGCTCAACTTGCTCAGACTGCCTTGGTTGAAGTTAGCTGCAACTTTTCCTTGGAAAATTTAAATGGAAAAGCCTTTTTTCTGTGGTACTCTTTTGTTTATTTCACCCTTCTCTTTTTCTACTGAACCAGTGAAATTTCAAGTTATTTTCGTGATGTGTTCCCCGTACACACAATTTAAAGTAGTCTTGTTCTGTTTAGTAAGGCTGTAATTTTGAATGTTCTCTTTTTAGCCTAATGTAGTCCTTATCCGTTATTGGGATCCTTCACATATCAAAGGAATTTTGTATGTTCTGAAAACATTTAATCAAGTGTAAGTGTTGTCTCTAGCTGAATTTAGGGCTGTTACAATTGTATGTTTATATATATATTTTTTCCAACTTGAGGAACAAATTTTTCTAGATAATTTTTATTTACTTATTTATTTTTTTCATTGGCAAGAAACTCACACACCCATTTTTCCTTATGGGGACTCGAACCCTCATCATCCCATTTGGGAGGTAGAGCAAATACCACTAGGCTACAAAAACCTTTGGTAAATTTTTCAAGATAATTGGATTTTTTTTTTTTTCTTGAATGTGTGGAATTTATTACTAGAAATTGAACAATGTAGTACATACAAAATGGTGGCAGAGCAAACTACCCAAGAAGCACAGGGCATACCCTTTGCTAGAGAAAAATTGACATGAAAGCATCTCGCAATAGAAACCACAAAACCTCAAAACAGACTAAAAAGATCAGCAACATTCAATCCAACTTCCAAGAGAGGACAGTCCTTCAAAACAAGCCTCCATGGCCAGTTGCTGATGCTGATTCAAATCTCAAATCTAAATCCATCGTGCCATTTGCAGTCTAAGGAATATAAATTTATTTATTTTCGTTCTTTAAGACGGGAAAAATGCTGATAACAACTTGAAAGGTTCGGGGAGAGCCCATATACGAAGAGGGCTATGTATTGGTTTGTGAATTGATAGGATAGAAATGAAGTGATTCATTTTAGTGTTTGAATCATGGTGGAGTTTTTATGACCTGTGTGTTTGACTCAAGAAGTCGGGACTTAACTACTTAAGCAAGGGTTCCAGTTTAGTACATTATAGCTGGATCTAAACTGAAAATTGTTTTTGTTTCTTATGGATTCATACATTGCACTAGAAGTCACCCCCTCTCCATGCTCTCGTAAGCAATACTTAGGATTGGTCCCCATTTATGCGAGTTTCTAGGAGGGAAAAAATGGATATAGACCTAACTTTTGGTATTATTTTACAAAAAGCAACAGCTCTTAGACTTGAATTCACATTCTCCCAATTGAAGTCTGTACTTTTTGAATAGTGTAGAACCGTTACCCTAAGCTCTGATGTAGATTGCGCTATGCCTGCAATCAAGACCTAGAGGGGGATGAATAGGTCTTGATAGTTAAATTAACTAACTTTAGCTAATTTTTGAATTTTGCTTGAATTACCATTTACCAACTATTCAAAATCTAAAGTTTAGGCAATAATGAATATAATAGTCAATCAATCATGCAATCATTAAGTTATTGAAGCAATATAAGAGTAGAAAATTGAAATCGCAATGGTCATGGATTTTTATGTGGAAATCCCAAGGGAAAAACCATGAAATCTATTCCAGTTAGATCAAACCTACTATATGAGAAAAAGGTTAGGACCTGGTTAATCGTTCCCAAACCCTAGAACCCTTAGTTCCTGATATAGAACATCTAAATTTAAGGCAAAAATGAATATAATAGTCAATCAATCATGCAATCATAAAGTTATTGAAGCAATATAAGATAGAGAATTGAAATTGCAATGATCATGGATTTTTATGTGGAAATCCCAGGGGAAAAAACCACGAAATCAATTCCAGTTAGATCATACCTACTTTATGAGAAAAAGATGGCAACCTGGTTAATCGTTCCCAAACCCTAGAACCCTTAGTTAGTTCCTGACATAGAACATAGCCAAAACTCTCTGCTTGAGTGTCTGTTCCATCAACAGATTCGCTACTCACAGGATCTGCTTCTTCCCACGAACTTTGATCACAGTCCAGTCATCCAGTAATCTCTATTATTACTTGCTTGTGTTGAACTTTTAATAAGCACAACAACAAATGATGGTTAACGAATATATGATCACTCACCAAACTAGAATGAATGATGAATGAAAAACAAAACCGCATCAATAAATTGCTAGAAAAACTCTTAGAGAAACTATATAGATATCTAAATTGATGTACTCCCTTGCGCTCTGTATATCTAGTTTTTTTAATTTAATTTGATTTATTTTATATTTTTATTATAGTAGAATCTTTGAAGAATTAGGATTTAAGTGTTTATTTTAAGAAAAAAACCTTGATTTCTACAAGGATCGATTGATCAAGCAAAGTATCAGTTGATCGACACAAAGGACGTGGACTTCAACTAATCCCTCAATTCATTGAATTTCCTTTTCCTTTTTCAAACAGTATTTTAAAATTAAAGAACTTTTCAAAAAATTGAAATATATGAAACCCTAAATGATGAATGTGAGAGCCCTACTTGGTGAGTGCATTCATGAGTGTCAAATTTACCTTATTACTCTTGGTATTGAAAGTTAGCTTATTCGCCGTTGATGTAGTATCAGTTCCAATTCTGTCCTTGGACAAGAGGAAACTAACAGACACGAGCTTTTAAAAACTAAGCAAAAATAAAATTACTACTCAAGTTTTTGACACGAAATTTGCCAACACAAGTCTTATTGACCTACTACTTATAAAACATTACACCGAAGGATTGACCCTTAATAAATTTAAAGTATATAATTTTTATGCCAATAACAGGGAAATTTTTATCTGGAAAGTTTGGTTGAAGTTGTTTCCACAACTTTGGGCTACTAATTTCACCACGACTTTATAAAGCTAGATTGCAACAACAGAAGCTTGAGAAACTTTGCTACAGCAACAATTATAAGATAACGAACACAAAATTAACGGCATTCGCTAGCTAATCTCTTTGATATTTTGTGGGATAATAAGGGTGTGCCGTGCGCGGTCTGACGCTGTTTGGAATTCTGTCTCTCGGCTTTTATCTTTATCTTTTTTAATGTTTAATAAAACCTGTTTGGTATCTATGCATTTTTATATGTATGCGTCATCTTTCTAGCTCTTATATGCTTTTATATCTTTTATACAGCCAATGGGGAAAAGATGGAAGTTCACAAAAGTTTAATCAATAAGATCTATAGTACCTTCTCTGACGTACATTTTGCAACACCAATCTCCTCTCTGAGAACAAATGAAGTTGACTTGGTATGCTGATCTATTGCTATATGTGACCATATAAATTGTTGGGTTGTCTCTTTAACGTATTTTAGTTCTACATCCTTTTCATTCTCATCATCTTTTCCCATTTCAGGTGAAAGGTGTTTTACATGCATTACAAGGTTTCTCCAGCTCCTTATTTTATTGGGACCATGTTGGACAGAGTTTTCATGCCAAAAATGGGATATATGTAACTCACCTTTCCCAGAGAAGTCTCCATGTCATTCTGGATCAATTTATGTATGCTGCAACATGTTTACAACTGGTAGAAAGTTTTATGAATAAGGTGGAGACATGTACGAGATCACCTCCACCTACTTTGAGGGCATTTGCATGCTCTGCTTCTGCTTGGCTTAAAGTATGTATCCAATGCTAAAGGTTGGATCAATTTTTGGTTTATTTATTTGCAATTTCCTTCTAAATTTTTATATTATTCTGTGCCCTCTTTGCAAACTTACTTGTTTTTTGCTACAGACGTTACGAAAAATTGCTCTGACAGAGGAAATTAAGATAAGCAACTATGATAGTGGAACTGCTCCAACCCTTTTGGGATTAGCAAGCTCTCTATCAAGGTTTGTTCAGGTTAACTCGAAAAAAAACTGTAGATTTTCTGGATGTCAATAGTTGTAATATATTAGCCACTCTGTTAGAAGTTTTTAGCTCTTCATGTTTGAATTGATGACCTTAGATTACTCCATTTTTTTTCCTTTACTTTTGTGGTGTCAGATACATGGGCTTATTTGCATATTAGATTTCATTTTCTTCAGTGTGTTCTGTAGTAGCTGGCCTGTACACCTATTATCCCTACCAAATACATGTCAATTTCTTGTTTGATGGCTTTATTCTAGTTCGTGTACTATTATGTGCAAAGCACATTTTAGGGATTTGCACATTTTAGGGATCTATTATCTTCTTTTGAGTTATTTTCAAGGCAATATCTGATGATACATTTTTTTTTTTTTTTTTGCTAGTCTTTGCTCAGGAGCTGAATATTTATTGCAAATAGTGCATGGAGCCATTCCTCAAGTATACTTCAAGCTGGACTCTCCTGTCCCATCTGCTGATATTGCTGTTAATATTCTTGACCATCTTTACAAGACGCTCAATGAAGTTTGTCTCGTGCAAGGTGGCGAGGTTGTGAAACTTTGGCCACATTATTTCATACTTCATATCCTTTTGATGTGTTGGTCATTGGATTTTAATTTAGTGTCGGTGTTTACTTTCAGGAGGATGCATATCAGATGGTACTTTATATATTTGTTGGGAGTCTCCTGCCATATATCGAGGGTCTTGATTCCTGGCTTTTTGAAGGAACACTTGATGATCCTTTTGAGGAGGTAATTGTGTTCTAAATTTAAATGATGTCTCAAATCTCCAAACTTACATAATCTAAATGGTTTAAATATACCATAGAAGTACCTGTGTAATTTGGAAGATTCAGATCCGCCACTATAATTTTAATCATGATGTTTTCCTGGTGTCTCTAGGACACAAGTCAGTTGTACATGTCCTTGTGTTTGCCTATGCAGTAGTGCATTAGAGGGATCCATCACATTTAGGACTCTGTAGTTGCTGCATGTTTGTTGAATGTTCCAAATGCCACAGACTTACCATATTTAATCCCCTGAAATGATATTTCCATTTTGAAAGTTTGCTATTACTATATGAATAATTCTCTACGATGCGTATTTTTCTCCTTTCTTTTTCTCACTTGTTTTTTTTTATTTATTATTTATTATTTTTAAAAAATGTGTCCTCTTTAATACCATCATCATCCTTGAGTTTGTCCCATATGAATGGGGCGGGCCACGTCTCCTTTTTTCATCCTTTTATATGAAACACTATGTTTCCTCTAAAATTTAATTTTTTAGAGTAATTTTTTACTTACTTCATCCCATGTAAGTTTCAATGGGCCTCTTTCTCGTTTACCTTCTAGGCAACTCTTCCTCCTTCAATTGGGACATTTTGGGTCTACATAGTATATGGCCATACCAACTAAACCTACTTTCTCGGATTTTCTCATTAATAGGTGCTATACATACCTTTTCCCTCACAAAAACATCTTCAATGTTACCTCTTTTAGTCACTGCCATCATCCAATGTTATCATCCTCATCTCCGCTACATGAATGCATTGTTCTTGTCTCTTTTTTAACGCCCAACACTCTGCTCCATACAATAAAACCGGCCTTATAACCATCCTATTATTCCTATAGAATTTTCCTTTTAGTTTATTTGGTATTTGCTTGTTGCATTAGATGCAACTAGCTTGCCTCCATTTAGTCCACCCTTCTCCAATTCTACTTACTACATCACCATCTATCTCCCCATCTTGTTGTATATTTGAGCTTAAGTAACGGAAATGGTTACTTTGAGTAACTCCCTGGTCTGGAAGTGTAATTTATACTATTTTCTATTGCTTCTTCATCAAATTTACATTCCGTGCATCCTCTTTAATTCCACCTTGTTTATTTTTATTTTTTATTTTCTATTTTGCAGATGTTCTTTCATGCTAATAAATCAATTTCAATTGATGAGGCTGAGTTCTGGGAAAAGAGCTATCTGTTAAGACCAGCACAGCATCAGAAGTTAGATGTCGCTTGTGCCACTGATCATGTACGTCTAACAAATGATAAGGACATGACAGGAAGAGAATCCATCTCTGTAAAAGGAAAAGACCGGAGTGACACTGACCTCCAGGTTTGTCCATTTTTTATTAAGGACATAGCAAAAGCAATTGTTTCTGCTGGAAAGTCCTTGCAGCTGATCCAACATGCTCCGATGACATTTTCAGCTGTATCTGGCAGAGGAAATAATCACGAGATTGATGGTTCTGGAAGTTGTCATGAAAGTATTAGTTTGAGCAAGATCCATCATGGGCAGGGCATAGCTGGGTTAACCTTGTCAGAGGTCTTTTGTGTGTCAGTAGCAGGTATTATTGGGCATAGTGATCACATCTCTAAATACTTATGGCAAGATGATCCCAGTAACTCCAAAATTGCCCCCTTGCTTCACTCGTTTATGGACAAAGAGAAACTTGAAGAAGGGAATGGTGAAAGTTTACCAGCTATAAAAAGTTCAGAAAAGATTTGGTATAAATTCTTGGTTGATACATTGTTTCAAAAATCAAAAATTGATCTAGAATCTGTACATAAGAATCCGAATGATTGTCTTGATGCAAAGGAAGAGAGTATAGCTGCTGGTGTTATGGATGAATTGCCTATGTTGGGATCATTCTGTCCAGAAAATCCAGTTATCACTGTTTGCCAAAGGTTCCTTCATGAGAAGAGGGATGCTTGGAGCACATTGAATTTATCTAGAAGTTTCTACCTTCCTCCTTTAAATGACGAGGGCTTAAGAAAGGCTATTTTTGGTGGGAATAGTGAACCAGTTTTTAATGATAAAGGAACAAGTTATACTTCTGGTTTTCAGTTTGGCCAATCTGAAAATATTCGTTCACAGGATGACAGTAAAATGTTAGAAGTATTGTTTCCATTTCCAACTCTTCTTCCTCCCTTTCAGGTATTCATTAACTAAAGTTCTCAGAGAAATCTGTAGCTGTATTTTTTATAGAATTTCCTAGGATGCTGAAACAAACTTGTACTTCTGAAATAGGAGGACCTTTATATGTCTGAGCTTTTACCTTTCCAAAAAAATAGCACTCTTCCTTCAAGAGTTCTTAGCTGGATTCAAAATACTGAACCGAGAGCTACACCACTTCCTGTGGTTATTCTGCAGGAATGCCTTATTGTCTACATTAAAAAGCAGGTGTGCTGCTTAAAACCACTGATAGAACTTTAGTATCTTTTGTGCCACATACTGTCTATATATTAAAAAAATTCACTTGTACATACTGCAGGTGGATTATATTGGTGGGCGTATACTGTCAAAGTTATTATATGAATGGAGATTGATGGATGAGCTGGGAGTGTTGCGAGCTATTTACTTGTTAGGTTCAGGTATCTTCTAGAGTCTAGCTTTACTAAACTTCTGTATTTCTGTGTTTTGGTCAGTTGACATCTCAAATTTCTCTGAAATTGTAACTTTGCTGCATCCAGGTGATATGCTGCAACACTTCTTGACTGTGATTTTCAATAAGTTGGATAAGGGAGAATCCTGGGATGATGATTTTGAGCTAAACACAGTATTACAGGTATAATTGCTTACTCAACTCAGTGCCTTATATCCGCCAACTGCCGCCCGCTATTTGGGCCATACCTTTTGTCTGAGTAGTTTGCTAAGGATTAATTTTAAAGGGTGTTTGGCTAACGGATACTCCTTGTATAATGGACCTAACTTCTGTGTCTATATAGAACATTGTATTAAAAGAATTTTTATACGCGTTTCTTTATTTTCCCTAATTGTTTTTTCCCTTCACCCTGACACACACAGACGGCACACACACACACACACACACACACACACAAACGCGCGCACACACACACACACACACCAATTATCTCTCAGTTTGGGCTGGGCAGATCTACAGTTAGTCCTTCAATCTATTGACTTATTTACATTTAGTTGGAACTCATTTTTCATCTGAAGAAATAAACTGGTTTGCTACTAAATTTCATTCTGGAATTGACATTTGTTAAAGGATATCATATAATCTTTATGTTTTAGTGTATTATTCATTAAGAAATTAGATGGAACTATAAAGGAAACACAACTGATTATTATCATGAGTCGGTTTTGTACTTATTCTTTGTTATTAGATTATTTAACAAATATATATATATATATATATATATATATATATATATATATATATATATATATATATATATATTGGTTTTATTCTGTTATGGATGTTATATAATCTACAATGATTGCATTTCCTTCTCTTTTCTTTCTCATCTTCTGTTTTCTTGCCATGTTCTGTCTTATTATTATTAGAAGATACCTTTTTCTCTTTTCATCTTGCTTCGCCTGATTTAAACTTGAGCGTGGTTTGGGCTTAACACTATTTGATGTTTTTGAATTGTAACTCTTGCCGAGGATGCCATAAAACGGCATTTCTCTCTTTCCAAAATTCTCAATTTTATTTATTTATTTATATTTGTTCAGTGACAATAATATCAGTTCACCATGTTCTGCGCAGGTTATATTAATAGTAGTTAAATATGCTAAAAGATCTCAACATAATCACCAAGAGCAATGGGGTACAGACATAGCAATAACTTAGTCAGAGTTGTCAATAATAGAGAGACTCATATCAACTCCTTTGGAGAAAGTACTGTAGAGTTGTTGAAGTTCCTTGGGAGTTTGAGATGACCGCTCTTTCTTGGATGGCCCTCACACAATTCAATATTAATGCAAAAAGGCCACTAGAATAAAATATTGTGTGTTTCAATCGAGACTATTCTGGCACCCTGAGAACCAGGTTAGCTAAATATAAGGCTGATTGTTTTTATGGTGGCCTGTGTTTGGTTAAGACATTTATTTAATAATTTGCTAAAGCATAAATGAAAATAAGACAGAAAACAAGTTTTTCTTTTTGAAAAAAAAAAATAATAAAAAATCAACTTGGCGTTCGTTTTCACGTACACCAGATAACGGAACCTTGCCCAAGTCACTTCTTAGATACCTGCACTGCCCCTTAGAGTGTTTTTGAGGTTCTAGAAATTTTATTTTTGGATTTATGAGATGATGATTCTTGGCTACACACGACCACCAGTTAACATGCATGAAATTACCTGCTAGCATATCTGTTAAAGTTACTTTTTCTTCCACTTGCTTTCTGGATTAGAGAATTATTCATCCTTTTATCTGACTTCAGGAATCAATTAGAAACTCTGCTGACGGCATGTTGCTAAGTGCCCCTGATTCGTTGGTTGTGTCTATCACCAAAAATCATGGTTTTGGTGGCGATGAGCAACATAATACAGCTATTCTTGTCTCAAATCATAAAAGTCGTGGGCAGGGCTTTGGAATTGACGGCCTTGATTCACTGAAGTTCACTTACAAGGTCCAATTTTTGGTTGAGCATGCTTTTAATCCTTTTGAACACATTAGCATGGTTTGTTCTATTTTTTTTTTGTCCAATGTATTTTAGATCTTTTAAGTGCATATGTCCATTCAATGTGATAGGTCTCTTGGCCACTTGAGCTAATTGCTAATACAGAAGCAATTAAAAAGTATAATCAGGTATCTCTTTTCACTCCTGTTGTATTCTAGGTGCCATCATTAATACTTCTGATCTCCCACTTGTTAACAGGTGCTGTGTGTCTAATGCAGGTGATGAGTTTCTTGTTAAAGGTCAAGCGTGCCAAATTCGTTCTTGATAAAGCAAGGAGGTGGATGTGGAAGGTTCTTTTCCTCATTTTTTCTTCCCAATACTTCTGCATATCACATATTATATTGTGACAGAAAAAGCAGCAATTTTGAGACCAATAGTTAGAATGATTTTTGATGACTAAATGATCCTAATTTAAATTGATTTCTTCGGGACCCTTGATTCTGTTAGTTCGCTCCTTCCAGGGTAGAGGCACTGCTACAGTGAACCGCAAGCGTCATTGGTTGGTGGAACAAAAACTCCTCCATTTTGTGGATGCTTTTCACCAATATGTGATGGACAGAGTAAGATTTTCCCAACTTAAGAAATATATTTCCTGGTGGGGTTCTTGGCTGCATCTATCATCTATTGTTCGTATGGAAATAAGTGTTGTTTCTAGATGCAGACATGGTATGCGGGAGTTTTCACTTTCTGAAAGCTAAAGGTGGAGACTTTGCCTATATATGCAACATCTATTTATTTTGTGTTTGGAACTCGTGTGCATTCATGAATTTCTATTTGAACATATCTTGTACACCCAATAGACAGTGTGTTCTTTATCATTGAATCTCCACATAAACCTGATTCTGTCGTATCCTTTTGTTTCCTGTGCTTCAAGGTTTCCATCCTCCGTCCTCCATCCTCCATCTTGTCTTATTCTTTTAGCATCTATACCAATGTCTTTTGTTTTGTTTAATGTCACTAACACATCAAGTTTGTACCACAAACTCCAATTAACTTGCTACAAACATGTTTCCCTCTCGAGTATTCTCCCATTATATTATGTCTCTAAGGATCCGTAGGATTTTTCCAAATCTATGGAAACCATATGAAGATCCTTCCTATTCTCTTTAAATATTAGCTTCCTTGATAAGTATACAGCTTTCATTGGTGACCTCCTTAACATAAATTCAGTTTGATTTAAAAGCACTTCCATTTTAAGTCTTAATATTTGCATTATCATTTCTTCCCATTATAGTAGACTCATCAATCTAATACTGTGATGATTAGTACAACTTAGATTATTATCTGTGTTTTATATTTAGGCACTACAATACCTTTTTTTTTCTCATCCAGAATTTTCTTAGTTTTTATGATATTATGAATCATTTTTATTAGAAAGACATGTCATCATTTTTTTCCTCATCATTTATAAAAATACCTAGAAACTTTCAGGGGAAATTTTTTAGTGTCATTTGTCTCTGGAGGTAACGAGGGTTTTGAGGGTGGGTGCACTGTTGACCTTCCTGTAATCTTTTTCTCGATTGTGGATTGTGCCTTGTGATATTCCCTTTTGTGGTTTTTCACATAGAAGTCCTTGTCTCTCTCTTCTCTACTTTACTTTATGTTTATTTCTTGATTGCGAATTGATTGATTGAAATTGAAATTTTACTAGAAACTGAAAAACAATCTCCACAAATAACTAACTGGAATTTAAAAAGGATTAGCAAAGTTTTGAAAAGTTAGTGAAAAAGCAGAATAATATCCACAAAACCTCCCCTCTAGGTCAAAGTTCACCGTTCATTACACATCATAGTCTTGGGTAATGGTTTAACACACTTTCAATCTCTTTTAATGTTCTTCTAATACATTTGTCCATCCTATCCCATGTTACACAAGTTTCACCTGTTGTGCGGAAGCGTGGGCCCAACAAATAAATAATGGTGGTTGTGATCACATACACAAGAAGAATGCACTTACAAAATAATAAATAGGAGAAAACGCACACACAAAAGGAAGACAAAGATTTATGTGGTTCGGCAATGTGCCTACGTCCACGGGAGCTCAAGATCAATGTACTGATATCAAAACCCAAAAGGTTACAAAAGGCTCACAAATGAGAAAATAAATACTATTTTCTCCAAACTCTCTTTGCTCAATCAAACTCTCTCTTCTTGATCCGAATCGATCCTTACTTGAATGCTCTTGGATGATTTTCGAATGATTTGAAACAATGAGATATAAGGGCTATTTATAGCCAACAAATCTCCCTGATGATGTAAGCAAAGCTTGATGTAAGCGATGACATATGCAAAGCCTGATGTAAGCGATGACATATGCAACTGATGATGTAAGCGATGATATATGCAACTGCTGATGTAAGCGATGACATAGGCAACTGATGATGTAAGCGATGACATATTTTGAGCCAACTTCAATTCCAATTTTGCAACTCCAAATTTGTCAACAATGTCCACCTTGGCGAAAAATTTTTGTACACCTTTTCAAACATGATCTTGAACTGCCTCCAATTGCGCCCAAGGCGCTCATACTCGCAGGATGTTAATTAAGTCTAAGCAATGCTCAAACTTGACCTTCGTTACAACCTTCATCAGCATATCTGCGGGATTATCTGCAGTCCCAATCTTCTGAAGGAGAATATCGCCTTCATCCAAAATTTCACGAACAAAATGAAAACGGACATCGATGTGTTTTGTACGTGAATGATGAACCTGGTTCTTTGCCAAATAGATGGCACTTTGACTGTCGCAGTAGACATCAACATGCTCAATAATCCCTAAGTCCTCAATCAACCCTTGTAGCCATTCGGCTTCCTTAATGGCCTCTGTCACTGCCATGTACTCTGCCTCTGTTGTAGACAAAGCAACTGTATGCTGTATTATTGACCTCCAACTCACCGGTCCTCTAGCAAGTGTGAACACATAACCTGTAGTTGATCGACGTTTATCCAAATCACTAGCGTGCTCCGAATCCACAAATCCAACCAAATGCTGACCAAGTCTATCATCCCCTCAAATTTCAAACCAACATCCACAGTACCATGGATGTATCGTAGAATCCATTTCACTGCCTGCCAATGACCTTTTCCTGGGTCATGCATATACCTGCTCACCATACTAACGGCTTGTGAAATGTCGGGTCTCGTACACAGCATTGCATACATCAAACTTCCAACTGCGCTTGCATACGGAACATGAGCCATTTGCGCACGCTCTTCATCTATGCGAGGAGATAATGAAGCACTAATCTTGAAATGAGGGGCCAAAGGGGTACTTACAGGTTTAGTATTCGAGTCAATACCAAATCGATGAAGCACCTTCTTCAAATGTTGCTTCTGAGACAAACAAACAGTGCCCTTCATTCTATCTCTGCTAATCTCCATTCCAAGTATCTTCTTAGCTTCACCAAGATCCTTCATTTCGAACTCAGTACTCAATTGAATCTTCAACTTATCAATTTCAACTTTGCTCTTAGATGCAATCAACATATCATTAACATATAAGAGCAAATATACAAATGATCTATCCCGAAGCTTACGAAAATACACACAGTGATCAAAATGGCTTCTTGTGTACTGTGGCCCTTTCATGAACTGATCAAATCGTTTGTACCACTGCCTTGGACTTTGTTTCAATCCATACAACAACTTCTTCAGTTTGCAAACCCAATTTTCCTTACCAGCAACCTTAAATCCGTCTGGCTAAGATATATAGATCTCCTCCTCCAAATCTCCGTGTAAGAAGGCAGTTTTGACGTCGAGTTGAGCTAACTCGAGGTCAAACTGTGCAACCAAAGCTAGTAAAATCCGAATGGAAGAGTGTTTTACAACAAGTGAAAATACCTCATTATAATCAATCCTTTCCCTTTGCGCGTAGCCTTTCGCCACCAATCTAGCTTTGAATCTCACACTGTCTTGCCCTGAAGAGCCTTCCTTCTTGGTGTATACCCACTTGCGCCCTATAGCCTTTTTTTCCTTTGGAAGTTGGACCAACTCCCAAGTTTGATTCGTATGAAGAGACTGCATCTCCACGTCCATTGCTTTCTTCCAATCTACACTCTCTGAACTTTTGACAGTTTCTCTATAGGTAGATGGAATGTCATCATCAACTATGGGTAGTGCGTATGCCACCATATCAGTAAACCGTGCGGGTTTCTTTATTTCTCTTTTTGATTTACCAACTGCAATAAAATATGGTTGCTATGAAGACTCTTGGGTAGGAGCCTCCTCCTCATCTGTACCTATTTCCTCATCATCTGAGTTACTGACAGGTCTAGCTGGAACAATTGGAGCCTTAAGCTCCACTTGCTGCGAAACTTCTTTGGTCATGTTCTTTGTAGAAGAACTTTTCAGCATAGAAGACTCATCGAATGTAACATCCCTGCTATTAATGATTTTCTTCAACTCGGGGCACCAAAGTCTATACCCCCCCTTTACGCCTTCACTATAGCCCAAGAATATAGCTTTCTTGGCTCTATGATCCAACTTACTCTCTTTAACATGAAAGTAGGCAGTACAACCAAATATTCGCAGAAAATCATAATCTGTAGCAGGTTTCCCAGACCATACCTCCATGGGCGTTTTGCCCTCCTTCGCAGCTGCAGGCAACTTGTTGATGAGATGGCATGCGTATGTCACAGCCCCAGCCCAAAACGCTTTGCCCAATCCAGCATTGGACAACATACATCTAACCTTTTCTAACAAGGTTCGATTCATGTGTTCTGCCACCCCATTCTGTTGTGGCGTGTCTCTGACTATAAAGTGTCGAACAATACCCTCGTCCTAGCATACTTGCAAGAATGGGTCTGATGTGTATTCACCGCCATTATCGGATCTGAGTCTTTTGATTTTTCTGCCAGTTTGGGTCTCCATCATCTTCTTCCATTTCAAGAACACTTTTAAGACTTCATCTTTATGTTTCATGGTGTACACCCATACTCGTCTAGAGAAGTCATCAACAAATGAGACAAACCAATGCTTACCTCCCAAAGACGCAACTGGAGGAGAAGTATATGACAAAGAGCATTGGACCGGTGAGTTGGAGGTCAATAGTACAGCTTACAGTTACTTTGTTTACAATAGAGGCAGAGTACATGACAGTGACAGAGGCCATTAAGGAAGCTGTATGGCTACATGGGTTAATTGAGGACTTGGGGATTATTCAGGAGCATGTTGATGTCTACTGCGACAGTCAAAGTGCTATCTATTTGGCAAAGAACCAGGTTCATCATTCACGTACAAAACACATCGATGTCCGTTTCCATTTTGTTCGTGAAATTTTGGTTGAAGACGATATTCTCCTTCAGAAGATTGGGACTGCAGATAATCCCGCAGATATGCTGACGAAGGTTGTAACGAAGGTCAAGTTTGAGCATTGCTTAGACTTGATTAACATTCTACGAGTATGAGCGCCTTTGGGCGCAATTGGAGGCAGTTCAAGATCATGTTTGAAAATGTGTACAAAATTTTTTCGCCAAGGTGGAGATTGTTGACAAATTTGGAGTTGCAAAATTAGAATTGAAGTTGGCTCAAAATATATTATCGCTTACATCATCAGTTGCATATGCCATCGCTTACATCAACAGTTGCATATGTCATCGCTTACATCATGCTTTGCTTACATCATTGTTTACATCATCAGGGAGATTTGTTGGCTATAAATAGCCCTTGTATCTCATTGTTTCAAATCATTCGAAAATCATCCAAGAGCATTCAAGTGAGGATTGATTCGGATCAAGAAGAGAGTTTGATTTAGCAAAGAGAGTTTAGAGAAAATAGTATTTATTTTCTCATTTGTGAGCCTTTTGTAACCCTTTGGGTTTTGATATTAGTACATTGATCTTGAACTCCCGTGGACGTAGGCACATTGCCGAACCACGTAAATCTTTGTCTTCTTTTTGTGTGTGTTTTTTCCTATTTATTATTTTGTGAGTGCATTCTTCTTGAGTGTGTGATCACAACCACCATTATTTATTTGTTGTGCCCACGCTTCCGCACAACAAATTGGCATCAGAGCACCACGGTTCGGTTCTTCTGGGTGATCGTGATCGTTGAAAAAGAAGATGTCAACCGCAAAATTTGATATTGAAAAATTTGATGGGCGCAACAACTTCAGCATGTGGCAATGCGAAGTTATGGATGTTCTGACTTAACAAGATTTAGACACTGCTCTGGGGAAGGAGAAACCAGAAGAAATGAAGGAAGAAGATTGGAAAAAGATCAATCGCAAGGCTTGTGGTCAAATTCGGCTTTATCTCGGAAAGGATCAGAAATAACCTTTCATGCATGAAGTTTCAGCAAACAAGCTTTGGATGCAATTGGAGGAGAAGTATATGACATATGCAACTGCTAATGTAAGCGATGACATATGTAATTGATGATGTAAGCGATGACATATTTTGAGCCAACTTTAATTCCAATTTTGCAACTCCAAATTTGTCAACAATACCCTCGTCCTGGCATACTTGCAAGAATGGGTCCGATGTGTATTCACCGCCATTATCGGATCTGAGTCTTTTGATTTTTCTGCCAGTCTGGGTCTCCGTCATCTTTTTCCATTTCAAGAACACTTTTAAGACTTCATCTTTATGTTTCATGGTGTATACCCATACTCGTCTAGAGAAGTCATCAACAAATGAGACAAACCAATACTTACCTCCCAAAGACGTAACTCTGGTTGGTCCCCAAACATCTGTGTGAACATAGTCAAGTATTCCCTTCGTGCGGTGTATTGCTGTGCCAAACTTGACTCTTGTCTGCTTGCCCAGAACACAATGTTCACAAATTCCAAGCTTGCAGGTCTTGGCACCTTTCAATAGACTCCGCTTCACTAGTCCCTGCAAAGCCTTCTCACCTGCATGTCCCAAGCATACATGCCACAATTTGGTAGCATCTGATGCATCTCCCTTTGAACTGTCTGCAACAGCTGCTGTAACTGTATTTCCAAGGAGAAAATACAAGTTACTCTTCTTCGTACCCTTCATCACAACTAGAGCTCCATAGGTCACCTTTAGACCATCGCCTTTCAGCGTAATCTCATAGCCTTTTGCTGCCAATGATCCAAGTGAGATGAGATTTTTCTTCAAATCCGGTACATACTGGACATCTTCGAGAACTCTGACTAATCCATTGGGCAACTTCAAACGGATCTTTCCTATCCCCCTTGTTTGACAGGCATGATCATTGCCCATAAAAACAGTTCCACCGTCTAGCTCCTGGAAATTGGAGAATCACTCCTAGTTGGGACATGTGATAGGAACAACCCGAATCCAAGATCCATGCATCATGAGAATTGGATCCAACTGATACAGTCAAAGCAAACTCTGTAGCTTCATTGTCACTGCTAACAATGTTGGCGGCAATCTTCTTGTCATCCCTGTTTTTCAATTTAGGACAATCCTTCTTTCAATGCCCTTTATTATGACAAAAGGCATATCTATCTTTGGTAAGATTTTTCCTGCCCGAAGTTGATGCTCCTCTTGATCTGGATTGAGATCTTCCACGGCTACCAGACTTTTGCTGATCTGTTCTACCACGTACTGTTAAAGCTTCAGCTGTTGAGTCTTTATTAACCTCCTTATCCTTCTTGTGAAGCTCATTATTCATGAGGGTATTAGAGACATCAACATATTTAATTTCTTCTTTTCCATACAGTAGTGTGGTAATCAAATGTTCATACGAATCAGGCAGAGAGTTCAACAATAATAATGCCATATTTTTTTCATCAATTTTAACATCCAAATTTTGCAAATCAGCAAGAATTTTATTAAAATTATTTAGATGCTTGGACATAGACATACGTTCTTTATAATCAAACCGGAAGAGCTTCTTCTTCAAATAGAGCCGATTTTCAATGCTCCTTGTCATATACTTCTCTTTTAGTTGCGTCCAAAGCTTGTTTGCTGAAACTTCATGTATGAAAGGATATTTCTGATCCTTTCCGAGATAAAGCCGAATTTGACCACAAGCTTTACGATTGATCTTTTTCCAATCTTCTTCCTTCATTTCTTCTGGTTTTTCCTTCCCCAGAGCAGTGTCTAAATCTTGTTGAGTCAGAACATCCATAACTTCGCATTGCCACATGCTGAAGTTGTTGCGCCCATCAAAATTTTCAATATCAAATTTTGCGGTTGCCATCTTCTTTTCTACGATCATGATCACCCAAAAGAACCAAACCGTGGTGCTTTGATACCAATTTGTTGTGCGGAAGTGTGGGCCTAACAAATAATTAATGGTGGTTGTGATCACACACACAAGAAGAATGCACTCACAAAATAATAAATAGGAGAAAACACAGACACAAAAGGAAGACAAAGGTTTACGAGGTTTGGTAATGTGCCTATGTCCACGGAAGCTCAAGATTAATGTACTAATATTAAAACCCAAAGGGTTACAAAAGGCTTACAAATGAGAAAATAAATACTATTTTCTCCAAACTCTCTTTGCTCAATCAAATTCTCTCTTCTTGATCCGAATCGATCCTCACTTGAATGCTCTTGGATGATTTTCGAATGATTTGAAACAATGAGATACAAGGGCTATTTATATCCAACAAATCTCCCTGATGATGTAAGCAATGATGTAAGCGAAGCCTGATGTAAGCAATGACATATGCAACTGCTGATGTAAGCGATGACATATTTTGAGCCAACTTCAATTCTAATTTGTAATTCCAAATTTGTCAACATCACCTTCTATATACTTATTTTAAAATTATTCTATTTTCTCCTATTTTAATTTTACAGCCTAGTTCTTTAGTTTCTAACTTCTTATCTATAAAAGAATATGATATCCTTTGATCTCTGACTAGGATTTGGTGAGCAGGTATATCACAGTGCATGGCGTGAACTTTGTGAAGGCATGGCAGCTGCTGGATCTTTGGATGAAGTGATTGATGTACATGAGGCCTACTTATTGTCAATTCAGCGGCAGTGCTTTGTTGTCCCAGATAAGCTGGTTAATTACTGCTCCCTTTGTCTTTTCATTTGCAATCTTTTATTAATGCTTAAGTTTCTCTAAAAGTGCTGCAACTGAATGGCTGACTATTGCTGATGGTATATTTTGTGCCCAGTGGGCATTGATTGCTAGCCGGATCAACAGTATCCTTGGATTAGCTCTAGACTTCCACTCCATACAGCAGACACTAAGTAGTGGTGGAGCAGTATCTGCCATCAATGCTAGATGTGAAATGGAAGTGGATCGAATTGAAAAACAGTTCGATGATTGCATTGCCTTCCTTCTCAGAGTAGTCTTCTATCCACCCTTATGTCCACCATATGGTCATATCTTGCATGCTTGCATATTGATTTACATAATGAATAAACATGGGCGTGTAAATTTCAATGCATTGTCTTGACTATGCAGGTCCTATCATTCAAGCTCAACGTGGGACACTTTCCTCATCTAGCAGACTTAGTTACTAGAATCAACTACAACCACTTCTACATGTCTGACAGTGGAAATGTAATCACTGCGCCAGGTGCCGAAACTGTTACTTCGAAATTGGGGAAGGCTTTTCCTGGTTAGAGCAGACTGACTGGAGTCGCTCAGGACTGTTTATGATGCTAGGTATCAAGAATGCCATACGCATGTGAGTCCTTCCACTGTTTCTGCGTAAAGCAAACTATCACTGCTTTGGTTTTGTTGCATCAGAGGGAGCAATTCGCATTGTAGCAGCATCCATCCTCCGAGATCTTAAAACCCTTCAATCTTATATATCGAGTTGCTCTTGATGTGGATGCTATATCCTAGCATTGGTTTTATGCTTTCTGTATCATATTTTGCCGCCTGTAATCTGGGTGACGCGGCCAAAACATCACCTTTTGTTGTCCCGATCATACGATCCATATTTAACCAGTAGTTTGGCTCCCTCCTCTGTAAATTCTTTTACCCTGCCATTTTGATTTGATGATAGTTTCCCTTTAAAAGTTTGTCTGCTATGGAAGAGTTTTGTGGCTTAAGATTGAACTTACCTGTCTGGAATTTCCCTCTTTTTTTTTGGTTGTCTGAGTTAACATTCGAAACTAAACTAGTTTGAGAAATATTCCAAGGTTTAATGTATAACATTTATAAGCGCCATGTTATTTTTTGGTCATACAATTTTATTTATATGACTTAGGCTATCAGTGCAATCTCTGCAAAAGACGCAAGTGCCATGTTAAAGCATGTCTTTAACATGTCTTTGTTAATTAATTTCTCTAGATTATCCTTTAGGGCATCAGGTGTGCACATCAGCATTACCTTGTCTATCTACTTGTTTTTTTAAAAAGAGAGTATCACATCAGCATTATTTAATAAAAAATGTTTATATGGTATTCTACTTTTTTGTAATCAATATTGTTATATGGTATGTAACATCAGTATCTCAATATCTACTTATTATTAAATTAATTTAATTCAAAAATTAAATCCCAAAGGTGTGCCATCTGCCGGCTATAGCTAGAGATATTGACAAAAGCAACCAAAACGTAACACAAAAAATATTAAAATATTATATGATTTTCTAACGGTAGATAATAAGATAGATAAGAACATGTGGGAGCCACTAATTACATACTCTAATTTTCGGTATGCCCTCTCTTTCTCTACTTTACATAAATATTATGTACTTTCATTCGCACCCCAGATGTTATGTCCCTTACTACAAGTTATGTCCCTTACTACATATGCGGCTCAGTATTGTTATGATACATCATTTTTTATCGGGAAAAAAAAAAATTCAGAAGAAATAAAAATACGAACCAAGATTATTATTTGGTGAGAAGGTGTAGGTTGTATGTTACATAATGGCGCACATTAATCCACAACTATCATCAATCAGTTAAATCCAACCATGCCTAACTTTACCAAAAATAAATAAATAAATAAATCAAGCCTAGTTCTCAAAGAAACTATTAGTTAGTTCATTTAACCACAAGAAAAATAATCAAGAGTGAGAAATGATAAGAGTCATCATTTATTACAATTTGATAACAACTAGAAAAGTCTGAAATTCTGCAATTTGTATCAATTTCACAATTTTATCGTTCCGCGACAGCCATTAACTTCATCACCCGTACTAGCCACTGTCCCTTTCTCATACACACACATACAGAGGGAGACAGAAGGGTTAGAGAGGTTCAAGGATTTTGAGAAATTAAATGTCACCAAGGTCACTGGGTATATAGATAAGTTATTGGGTGTTGAAATAAGTTACTGCTTATTTCAATTCTGATCACCATCTCTATTCATCCTTGCAATGGAAATGTTTTCTCTGATCACACACTAGCTTATCACAGCCAACCCACTTTATAAGTACCACTGGAAATGTCAGGAGTTGTTCACTAGTCACTTGGGCTTTTCTAATGACCTTCTTGCTCTGTCATGGGGACGTCCACTCAATCAAGGTTTTAAAGAAAGCTTTGGATGTATTTGCTAGCCTTTCTGGTTTAGCCATTAATCAATCTAAAAGCTCCATCTATTTTTTTCTGTGTTAAGACTTGTTCCTGATCTAAGCTACATATATATATATATGTGTTGGGAAACGTGCAAGTTTTAAAAACTTTTCGAGAGATTTTGATTCATAGATCTTGATTCATCACATAGAGACAAGTTTTACGCAAAAATAAAAATATGATGTATCATTCAATTAACAGATTGAATACTTATATCAAAGGTCTGAGTAAATCTTTAAAACTTTCCTCTAAAGTGAATGTTCTCACTTATTGTAGATCCCTTACCAAGATGCCTTCTTCTTGGATCTCCATCTTCTTGGTAATTGTTTTGCCTTTAGAAATCACTCATAAGCCTCCATGAATGATCTTGGAAAATTAGGCTTGTGGGAACCTCCATTAGATGAGAACATAAACCCTAATTTTCTAGAGAGAGAAAATAAATTTCTTTTCCCTTCTCATTAAAAATCACACCCTAAAATATACATAGACCATGTATATTTATAAGCAACATAAAAATAAAGAAAAGGAAACAACAAATCCTTCTCGATCTCTAATTCATATGTCTCAAATCTAATATGATTCCAATATCAAGTTGGGCTATGAGTGAGAATCCATTGGGCCTATTATTTTTATTGGCTACAATGAATTAATAATTGGCCCGGTCCATGGACCCAATTCAATTAATTCATAAATTAATTTCTACTCCACTAAAAGAAATTAATTGAACTCCAATGAAATAATAAATAACCTCTAAGTCAATATTGCACTTTGACCCCTCTATGCATAATTAGTTATCGAATAAATAAAGTTATCAATCCGACTACTTAATTAATATATCTATTTTGGTACCTCTGATTATTTCTGGCTCGATCACAATAAAATATTTGTTTGACAAAAATAATAATTTAAATAAATAAATATATAATAAATCATTTTGTCTAAAAACACACGAAGGCGTTCGAATTTACTTTGTGATCAACCATAATCAATACAAAATAAATATAAGTAGCAATGATGCAAATATTGAAAATATAATCCTCTAACTATTAATTACATAACTACCCAAAGTGTCGGTCTAAGGATCCCGAAGAATCCGCCGAACAAATCAAAGTAATTATTAATTAATAAAAGAGTCTATACTTTTCACATGCTTAAGAGTCAAATGCCATGACGGTGATAGGGAGTAATTGCATACGACGACTCTCGCAATATATCTCAACCTAACGCGGATCCAGTTCAAGTCTTAATTAATTATGAGTCCATTCATAATTACCGACTATGAACAATTTATAATTACTATTTATATATCATGCATTGATTGCCATCACATACATATCTATAAATATTTCTTGTAATTACATGGACACTATCAATTTCATAGTGAATCGAAACATAATACATTGAATTCACCAATTATATAAATCATAAATATTTCAGATATGTCAGGAACATATGTCACTATAATCCAGATAGGAATTTGCTATGCCAGGGCATATAAATCCCAACAATATGTATATATAAGCTCCATCCCTCCATTTTAGATCACAGGGAGAAAAAGATAATATGGTTGGCCGCGCCTCACCTAATAGAATATAATTGGCTCACACGTACCCTCGAGACAAGTTCCCCTCCTCCACCTCCTGAACCTTGGGCACACATCATATGGTTTAACCCCTCCATCCCTAACCATAATTTCATACTATGGTTGGCATTGTTGCACAAGCTTCAAACTATAGATAGATAGAGCCACAATCAAAACCATTGGCCTAATTTTTGTCTTTCTTCTCAACAATCTCATTCTCACCTCTTCTTTAAATGTGGATTCTTGACCCACATATGGAGTGTTATCCGGCCAGCACAAGTTCAGATTTCATATCCTACCATCGTACTAGAATGACCTTATTGCATGGTAATCTCACCATTACAAAGATGGAAATAAGAACTGTGCAACTTGGTTGTATAAATTGAGTCTCGTACTATGTGTGTGTATTACACATATGGACCTAGGAAGGAAAGAAATGCAAGATTTTTTCAAGGGAAGGTGATGACTCAGAAGCAGTTTTTGTGTGCCATCACAAGTACCAAGTGGAAGAGGAACAATAGCTCAACTATGGTCTTCACCATAAAAAAAAAAAAAAATTAATAAAAAAAAAAAAATGTTCAATGTATATTTCAGACTAGGGATGGCAACGAGTTGGCAATGGGGGCGGGTTTGGGCGAGTGTACCCTCCTCCGCCCCCGCAACCGTTTAAAAACCCCGCCAGTATCCCCGTCCCGGTCCAAAACTGCAAAAACAGGAGAACTTTTCACCCCATCCCCGTAACCGTTTAACATTTTTACCTCCGCGGGTACCCGCCCCACCCCGTTTAAGACCATTATTTAATTATTGTTGAGATGGACTTGTTCTTTTTTTTGTCCCCCTCATCTTCAATTATTCAACATTGTAACTTTCCTTTTAAAAAAATTCATTTGTTACTTTAATATTATTATATAGGATACTTAATATATAGTGGGAAATATATATACTAATGAAATAAGGGTACTTAAGTAATTTGCCTATCTAAACGGGGCGGGGCGACCTCCCCGCCCCTGCACCAAATCTACGCGGGTTTTATTACATCAAACCATCCCTGCCCAAATAAGCAAAACGGTCCCCCAAAATCGTCAAAATCGGGGCAGGGTGGGGCGGGTAATCGCGAAAACGGGTCAAATTACCATCCCTATTTCAGGCCATCAACCAATTAAACAAAACTATGCCGAAGTCTCAAAAAAACCATTAGCATCACCACATGAAAAATAATCATCCACAATGAGAAATGATAATAGTAGTATGAATCATTTATTTATAATTGCAACTTGCTAACGACTTTGAAATCTTATTTACCAAAGAAAAAGAAGAAGAAAACTTTGAAATCCTCCGGCATGCAGCATCAATTTCACCATTCCGCGATGAGGGAATCAGCCATTCAAGAGAGGATTGATGACAGCTCCAGTGAATAACACAACCCCAACCCCAGACGATTCTTCCGTAATCATGAAGATGAAAGGATGATCGGGCACAAAGGTTGGCTTTGGAGGTGTATAACGAGAACAGCCCATCAATCCAACCATATATGTAGCAGCTGCAGCCTCTGTACCTTCCTCGTTGACTTCTATGTAACATTTTTGAAAAATCTCTGAGAAAAGAAGTCCCTTGGTGTTGGAGATTTCTGTGAGCTGCTCATGATTTTCGAAAGGCCTTGTCAATCCCAATTCTTTGATGGTTTTTTTAGCATCCATATCGTATGAGAACTTAAATTTTGGAATCCAGAAAGCATCAAGTTCAACTTTTTCGTAGCTCGGAAAGATGATGCAAGAACCAATTATTAGACTCAAACTGTTGTATCAAACCCTGCAGCCCATCTCTCTCGTTGGGAAGAAATATTGACATTGAGAACTGCCTTCCATCTTTGCCCTTTTGATACGGGATGTTGACAAGTTTGAAACCATCAAAGGATCCGAAAAATTGGTAATTCATAGAGGTCATAAAAGGGGCTGAAACTTTTTCTCCATTGAGTAGGTGAAAATCTGTGTCTCTCGTCTGTGATGCATAAAACTTTTTCTCCCAACTTCCTTTGAAGTAGAGCGCATTTGCTAGCACAATTATTGTATCTCCAGGAAGATTGCTTACAAGATCCTTGATGAGCCCTTTGGTTGCATTTTCCGCCCATGTATTCACTTCATCCTTAACTTCATCAGCCTTGCCATTCCAAAAAAAAATTGATAGTTGGAAAAAAAAAATCACTAGAACCAGGTAACAATTATCAATCATACATAATTTCTTGTCACTAAAAATGTCAAATTCGAAATTTATATTATTTTGTGATTTTTTTATTTTATTAAAATCATTTGATATATAGTGAATATGAAAACAAAAAGAACCATTGGAAATCATCACCCTCAGTCCCAGAAAACTAAAACCAACCATTAGGATGAGGAATCAGTAAATCAGACTCAAAGCTATATAAGTGTTTATGTATACAAATTTAATAAAATATACTGAATTGATTTTCCAATATTTAGTCCCCCGTCTCTTGGGGACAACTTGCTATCAACTAATACACCATAATGAACCTGCAATTTCTCTCTCTAAAAGCTCAAAAATAAAATAAAAAATTGTAATTAAATAAAATTCAATTTGGTTTACGAAACCAATTAATCTAACTAATTACTCACATATATAATATATAGAGAGAGAAGGCTTACTTTGTTTTGAAAATCAACAGTTTTGGCTTGAGCATTGTAAAGACGTTGAACAAGATGTTGATAAGAAGAATTGAGAGGAAAAGATTGATCCACCCAAAGCCCATTAACAAAAGATAGAATAAGACCTCCAGTAGTAGTACTACTACTCTCTGAAGAAGATCCTACTAGACGAATTAATGCCGAAGTCTTGGAGTTGAGATCTTCCACGCTTTCTGATCCAAGATAGTGAAGAAATTGGTCTAGCGTCCGCCCCCTCGATCCCGCCGCAGCCATGTTGAGAATAGCGTTGAATGAGAATGGAGAGCAGGCACTGTTCTTGCCATTAGTTTTGGCTTCCTTCTGCAGGAATTATTTGCTACCTTTAAGCAGAACAAACCACGGGCGGAGTCGGTGTATGTTCAGTGGGCAACTGCCCCTGATCCCACTCATTATAATATATATATATTAAATTAAAATATTTTGAAATAATTATACTTATCTCTCTCGAAGTTAACCCTAATTATAGGCGATACTTTTTAAATTTTAAAAATTACACTAACCTCCCTCCAATGTCATCGCCGATTAATTATGATAGAAATTTTTATGAATGTTATATACCCCATATTATATTAATAATGATAATTAATTGTCAAATTACTCTTTTACCCTAATAATATTTTTTTCCCCGAAAATTTAGCTTTCTTTTTTGTTTTCTTTTTTTCTTTTTCCTGAAATTTGACCTTCTTGAACCCTAGATTTGCAGAACATATCATCTGAGTCATCATCTTCACCACCGCCACAACAAAGCCATCATCTTCAACAAAGCCACCATCTTCATCGTCGCCACGACAAAACCAGCTTCATCGCTACCCCGACGGTCATAGACACCACCACCGCCATGACACAATTACTTACCTCCGATGATGCCATGGAACAAAAGCAGTGACATCTCCGGCAGGTAATAGAGACTTGCAAGTGTTCCGGCTTAGAGGATGGTCCGGATCCAAAATCTGTGCCCCCGCTTTCTCTTTTTAGCTCGTACAGTAATTTTATCGCCGGATCGAAGAGGACAACCCATGAGTCGACGACGAGCTTGAAGGCGGAGTCGGCGAAGGCGAACTTGTTCTTGTCGGGGTGGAGGAAAATTGCGAGCAGCCTACTTGGTGAGATCGACCTCGTCGGAGCGGCGGTCGACCTAAAGGATGGAGTACCATCCATGGTGGTTGTTGATGTGGCGATGAGGACCTCAGCGTCGGCCATCCTTTTCGTTGCCGTCGTTGACTTCTTGTCAATTGGTGAATCCGAGATCTGCAATTTCTTGTTACCGCCGTCGTGTTCTGCGGTTGAAACCCCGAAACGGAAAGTCACTGGCATGCTCTATGGATCCATCCGAGACTTGTAGCGATCCAAACCATGGGTCGGTCCCGGAGTGATTCCGGTGGTGGATGAAGAAAGAAGTGGGTCAGAGACCAGATCTATAAGAACTCAACCAAGAAGGCATGGATGAAGAAGCAGCAGCCGTAACAAATCGCAGATCAACAGAGGGTGATTTGCTGTATACATATATATATATTATGTTATATGGTATTTATATATATTTGTCTGTATATATTATAGAGATAAATAGATATCAGGGCTTTTCTGTCTTTTTTTCTGGGTATATAGGTTATTTTAATACAAAAGTAAGGGTTATAATGTCTTTGCAAATATACTAAGGGTAAATATGGTATTATAGGGTTAAAAATAGCTGATGTCATCGTAAATCTTCATTGACCGGCGTTGACTTCCAACGGAGGGGGCTAAGTGTTAAGACGGAGCCAAACCTTGAGAGAGGACGATGTAATTTTTTAAACGTAAAGGGTACCGCCTGTAATTATCCCTAACCTCAGGGAAGGTAAGTGTAATTATTTCAAATATTTTTATATGCATATATGAAAAAATTCATATAATACTTTACTAAAATTTTTATTTTTTAAAATTATCTCTTAAATTTTATATTTCTTCACTTTTTTATTCTTTAAATTCCTTTAATTTTCCTTTTAAAAAAAAATCAAATTTTTCTCAATTTATCTTTCTTAAATTACTCGTTGACATATTATTTTAACTAATTATTCTCTTTGTTTCTTAATTTATAGAATCTATATTTATTATCATGATTATTGAATTTTTTTTTTGAGTAAAGTACACTAACATCTCCTGAGGTTTGGTAAAAGGACACTTGGATGAAATTTAGCCTATTTTTGGACAAAGACACCCCCTTATCAAATTTACAATCCGAATTGAGCCTAAAATCACGTGAAAAGTCAATTTTACCCTTCACTATTTAATTAATTATAATTATAAAATATCAAAATAATTAAATAACTAAATTATCCTTGCCCCCTCTCTCTAAAATACCGTGTGTCTTTCTCACTCTATACACAACCACAGCCATAGTCGCAGCTACACACAGAACAAAGAAAGAAAACAGACCAAGAAAGAACAACACAACAAATTTCTTCAGTATATATATATATATATATATATATATATATGAACACATAAAAAGAAAATTGGGTATGACTTTTGGGTGTTAATTTTCAGGTGGGATGGTATTGAAACGAGTGGTGGTCGGTGGTGGTGGTCCAATAATGATGGTGGTATATAGGGGTGTGGGTGCGAAGTCGATTGTGTGGTGGTGGGTGTTGTGGTGGCAGCAACTGCAGTGGGTATTAAAGGAAGAAGATGATTGTGGGCGCGTGAAGTTCACGCAATTTGTAGATCTGAAAACTGTCGCCACCTCTGTTGCAACCACCGTCGCCGCCTTTGTCACTGTCGACATCATCATCATCTAATTCACCGGTGTTATTCTCCTTGACGACAGCTCGCCACCGCCCGTCGTCGCCCATCGCCGCCTTGTGTGTGTGGATATATATATATATGTTTGTATCTGTATATACATATATATATGTGTGTGTATATATATGTGTGGATATATATGTGTGTGTGTGTGTATGTGTGTGTGTCTATATGTGTGTTGGTGTTGCAAAAGAAGAGAGAACCGAGAGAGAGGAGAGAAGGAAAGAAATAGATTAGGAAGGTTAGAAAGGTCATTTTAACATTCAAATTGGTCCATTTAAAAGTTAAAGGGCAAAAATGTGCATTCATTACCATTGGGGTGTCTTTAGTAAGTGTATCAAACTTGAGGGGGTGTCTTTGTCCGAAAATTGGCCTCATTATGTAATATTAAATTAAAAATTGATCATTCTTATTTTTAAATTACAAAATTACCCATATTTTAAAATTACAAAATGTTTATCTTCTTCATCTTCACACACACTCTCTCTAAAACTCTCATCTTTCTCTCTCTAAAACCACACCCAGCTATCCAAAACTCCATACTTATATATATATAGATAGATAGATAGATATAGATGTAACCACCACCAGAAAGAAAAAAAAAAAAGAAAATAAAATATAGAAATAGCCCAATGTACCCATTGCCACAACCACTAGGAAAAAAGAAAAGAAAAGTAAAAGCCAAAATAGCCATAGTGAACCCAAACATCACCAATAGAAACAACAAAATCATCGGTCATTTGCCATACCACTAGCGATGACTTACTTTGCATTAATAACAATATTCTCGTCGGACCATCGCTTTCCGATTGCAAAACAGATAAACACATCCCACAGTATCGTCATCGTGTGCTATGTCGCACCACGCAACACCTTTTTTGCAATCGCCATAACACGTACACCTCCCCATTGAAAGTCCATCGCTACCTACAACCACTTTATGGGTACAATTGTTCACCTTTTAATATATATATATATACACACACACACACACACACATACTTACTCTCCCCATCCCATATTAAATAAGGACAAGTGCAGAAAATACCTCTAAAGTATACTCCGCCCAGTACTTTTACCCTTTATTTAAAAAATTTTGCAAAAAACATCCTTAATCTTTTCACATTGTGTAAAAATACCCCTCAATCAGAAATCTGATATAAATTAGTGTTATAATATCTGTTTTGCCCTTTTACTCTTCCGAAAATGCCCAATGGGATATATATGTTACTAATCTTATAGTATAGGGGTGCTATATGCATATTACCTTATATATATATATATATATATTTTTTTTTTTTTATTTTATACTTTTTTCTCTATATATATCTCTAAACTTTATTTATTTTTTTATTTATTTTTTTAAACTTTGAGAATTTGTAAAATAACGATTTGAATTTTTTGAGATTTCAGTTTACTTTTTTCTACTAAATTTGTTTTTCTTTATTTTATTTTTTTCGTACCAATACTGTTAAACAAAAAGAAAAAAAAAAAAAATCCCAATATCAGTGTGCACTGGTTTTCAGATTTTAGAGTCGATTTGTTTTCTTTAATTTGCACTTTATTTTCGTTTTTTATTTTTTATTTTTATCTTTACTTTTTTTTTATACTTTTATTTTTATTTTATATTTCTACCTTTACTTGTCCATTGCTGACATTCTCCAATAGTGTCATTTTCGATCATTTTATAAAATTGTTCAGTAAGGGTAATTTAGTCAACTTATGGTGTAATTTTGTTAGAGGGACCTATTTGCACAAAATTAAAACTTTTAGGGTGGTTTTTGCATATGAGGGCCGTCCTCCAATGATGTCCTTTTTGGTCATTTTACAAAATTATTTATTTTTATATAGTTTATAAAATGGTCCAAGGTTTAAATTTGTCCAACACTAAATTGAAACTTTAGAGGTATTTTTTGCATATGAGAGATATGATACTGTAAGGCAAAAAAATCTATGGCATTTGGGGAAAAAAAATCTATGGGTGTAGAGGGGTGCGAATCCTCTAAAGTGGATTCCCATGTGGTCCCCTGTAGTGAGCTCTTAAGTGGTCTATTTTTGGCCACATCTTTCTTCATTTAATAGCTCTTGAGACAGTGTTTGACAATTACATCACCATTTATAAGTAACATTTCACCACTGTTTATAAGTAATATCATAGGATTCTAAAAAGTAACATCACCATTTGTAAGAGTGTAATATCACCACTTAAAAAGTACATGATGTTGTTGACAGTCAAATACCTCATAATTCCCTTCAAAATCCTCTGTAAATTAACACGTTACTATTTTTTTAGATGTTCTATTTTTTATGATAAATTTTAACTTAAAAAATATATAAATAATATGTTGAATTGAGTTAGATTTAATGTATAACTATTAGTTTTTTAGTGCTATGTGAATACCTTTTTTTTATGATGAAGGTGATGAGTGTGGTAATTAATATTAAACTTTGTTAAATTTTTTCTTTTAATGGTGAAGGTGGTGAGTGTGACAATTAATATTATTAAACTTTGTCAAAATTTATATGTTAAATAATTTATACCTAAGTGTTTTTTTTTTTTTTTTTTTTTATTATTTGGAAAAAAGAAGAAGAAAAAGATGTGGCTCTTTTCATTATTTTTGGTAACATCAAGTGTTTTATTTGTTGTCTAAAATTAATCTAAGTGACTTTAATTTATTTTAAAGTGTTTTTAAAATATTTTAATTTCAAATAATAACACAAATGATATGTTGAATTGAGTTACGTGCATATTTTATTTTGAGGGTGAAGACGGTCTATTTTGTTAATTTAAAGAGTATTTGGCTGTCAACAACTTATAATATTACTTATAAATGGTGATGAAATGTTACTTATAAATGGTCGTGTAATTGCCTAAATCTCACGGACCGCATGGGAATTTGGGAAAAGTTAGAGAGAGAGAGACTCTCTTCCTCGAACCCAGAAAATCTATGGCATTTTGGGAAAAAAAAAACTTCGAATCTTAATCGGCAAAATGAAACTACCGGATCAGAACCGTGTACGAATTTAAAAAAACTTCAAATCTTAATCGGCAAAATGAAACCGCCGGATCAGAACAGTCTACGGGCAGATTTTGACATGTAAGGTGTGAAGAGCCTTCACGAATTTGATAATCCGCAGAAGAACAATTGCTGAGAGCACGTTTCTCTATGAAATCTTAGAGGGAAAAAAAAGAGAAATTTCAAATAGTTGGGGTTACAAAGAGATGAGACCAAAGGAGCGAAACCCGGACTCATATCAAAACCACGTTCCACCACCCACCATTGGCGTTCGGGTCAAGTATGGGTCCTCATACTAGGAAAATAAATATCATCTTTCAAGCAACTATTTGTAACTGAAATCAAATCTCATTGTCAATTAGAGAAAAAGAATTGAAGTTGTGTGTTTGATGATGCTCTTGGGAATTGCAGGGTAGTGGAAATGGTTAGTTTCGTCCATTAAATTGAATTAGAAAATGTTAAAATTATAATTTCATAATTTAAGTAAATAAATTCATAATTTTTTTTTGAATGAATAAATTCATAATTCATAGAGTAATAATGTAACTTTATCAGCAAAATTATATAATAGCAACTATAATCAATCGATTACACAAAACCATGCCAAATTCTCAAACAAAGCATATATAGCATCGACTTTAGCCACATGAGAAATGATAATAGAGTAATTTATTTATAAGTGAAACTCTGAAATCGTTCCCATTTTACGGGAGAGGATTGATTACAGCTCCAGTGAATCAGATGTTTCTTCCATAATCATGAAGACGAAAGGATGATCAGCCACAAAGGTTGGCTTTGGAGGTGGCACACTATAACGAGAACAGCCCGTCAATCCCGTTATGGTAGCAGCTGCAGCCTCTGTTCCTTCCTCGTTCACTTCTATATAACAATTTTGAATAACCTTTGAGAAATGAAGGAACTTGTTATCCGAACAAGTTGATATTTCTGTGAGCTCTCCACGAGGTTCGAAAGGCCTCGTCAATCCCAAACCTTTGATGATGGCTTCAGACTCAAAATCATACGAGAACTTAAATTTTGGAATCAAGAAGGCACTAAGTTGAACTTTTCTTAGATTGGACAGCTGGTGCAAGAACCAATGATTAGACTCCAATTCTTGTACCAAATTTTGCAACCCGTCTCTCTCATTCGGAAGAAATATGTACATTGAGAATTGCCTTCCATCTTCGCCCTTTTGATATGGGATCTTGACAAGTTTGAAACCATCAAAGGATCCAAAAAATTGGGAATATGCAGAGGTCATAAAAGGGACTGAAACTTTTTCACCATCGAGTTGGTGAAAATCTCTGTTTCTCGTCCGGGATACATCAAACATCCTCTCCCAAGTTCCTTTGAAGGAGAGCGCATTTGCTAGGACAATCCTTAAATCACCACTAAGACGGCTCACAAGATCCTCGATGAGGCCTTTGGTTTCATTTTCTGCCCATCTATTAATCTCATCCTTAACTTCATCAGCCTTGCAAAAAAAAAAAAAAAAAAAAAATAAATATTACTAAAATCAGGTAACAATTATCATACATAATTTGTTGTCACTAAATGCAAATTTCCAAATTTATATATACCAATCATCTCCGTTTTATTTATAACTTTTCATATGAACTTTTCGTTTTTCCCCTTGGTTTTGTGCAGTTGGAGATTTTTAAAAAAATCAAACAAAAAAACCATTTATAATATATATATATATATATATATATATATACACACACACACACACACACACACACACCATGGATCTATTATCATTATATAAGGCGCCGTGAAAATTTAACGAAATTAAAAAGATAAAACATGGACATGAATTTTTTTTATATTTTTTTTTGGGTAAATATAGTTTGTATCAAAAGAAAAAAGATGTACAAGTATTAAGGGGCATGACCCATGCAACACGTACAAAGGATCGGACCTAAAAAAAACAGAAAAAAAGAATAGGTTGTTATCGGTTGGGTCGAAGGAGTTTGATGGAGTAGATAGACGAACCGAGTCGGTGACAGATTCTTTTCTGTGTTTTTTTTTAAGAGGAAGGATGATATATAGAATTTAGAATACAAATGACTCTGTTCGGTTACATGAAATTAAAATTTGGTTCAATTCGGCCACATGATTTCTGATGATCGGTTGACATAAAACAAACTAAAAATATATGTGTATGTATATATGCATAGAGAGAGCTAAGGAGGAAATTAACTTACTCTGTGTTGAAAATCAACAGTGTTGGCTTGAGCCTTGTAAAGACCTTGAACAAGATGTTGATAAGAAGGCTTGAGAGGAAAAGATTGATCCATCCAAACCCCACTAACAAAAGATAGAACAAGACTCTCTGAAGATCCTACGAGGCTCATGATAGTGAAGAAATTGCTCTAGGGTACCGCCGGTCGACCCGGCCGCAGCCATGTTGAGGATAGCGTTGAATGAGAATGGAGAGCAGGCAATGTTCTTGACCAAGCCATTACTACTTTTGGCTTGCTTGAGCACGACTTGGTTTGCTAGCTTTAAGCAGAACTCCATGTTCTTTTTTTTTGGGAAGTTAAAGTAAATACGCGCACATTTTATCGAGGTTCGAACCCCTGATCTCCCCTTTGAAAAGGAAGGATAATATCGCTGGGCCATTTGGTGAATATATACCACTTCTAGGGTCTTGTAAACTTTTGGTGTACAAGTAAATAAAAAGTTAGCAATGCAATAGTAGCAATGAATCGATCCTCACGGATTGGAGAAATTTGAAACTGAACCAATCCGTGAAGACTTTCAATCCGAACCAAATCGATCTGTAAAATAATGGATCAGATCGGATCGATTTCCACTGTCTGGGCTTTTCAAATAGTCCAATCATTGGGCCCAATATTATGCCCATTAAAATATGAAATTAGTAATTAAAAACTAGTAATTAAAACTAGAAAAAAAAAAAAAAAAAGATTTGTAAATCATATATGTAAATTATATACCTAATAACAGCAATAAATTTGTAAGTCATATACCTAATAACAACAATAGATTTGTAAATCATATAGCCAATGAGTAATGAATTTGGGAGCTAGGATTAACTTAAAGAATAATAAATAATAATAAAAAAAGAAATACAGTAAGTATATTCAATATTGTATATATATAGTTATATATATATATATATATATATATATTATTTAGGCAACATTTTGGATCGGATCAGTTAACGGTTCGGATCAGTTTTTTCAAAACTTAATCCGTTAACCGAACCGCAAATAGTGGATTGTTATTTTTCTAAACCATCACCACCGAACCATGAGATTTGAAAACCGAACCAAATCATACAGATCAGATTGATTTGGATCGAATTGACGGACTCACGGATTATTTGCTCACCTCTAAGCAATAATATTAGTGGACTAAAGTTTTAACTTTTTTACTAGGTATTTTTTTTTTTTGGTATACCGATATTTACGTAGGACAGTTTCCTATGGCATTTAGTATTCCTAAGTAATTAAGGTTCTTCTTCTTATTTTAAAAAAAAAATAATTTTGACCAGTTTAGTTTCCTTAAACAATTAGGTTTTTTAAGTGTTATATTTTTATTAACGTATTACAATATAATACATAATTATGGATAAAATAAATCCTACAAAAAAAGTCAAATATAATAAATATATATATGGTAATACGTTAACAATTTTTGAACAAATCTATATCTATATCTATATCTATATCTATATATATCTATACTATTATTAAATATGTAAAGTATTTCAGTGTTTGATTAATAAATAAATATTTATTAATTGATATAAAATGAATTATTGTAAAAGAATTTTTATAAATAAAATGAATTTTAATAAAATAATAATCAAATAATAAAATAAATTATCAATTAAAATTAAATAGGTAATTTTTCAGTATTTCAGTATTTATTTATTAATATAAAAAATATTTATTAATTGATATAAAATGAATTAAAGTAAAAGAGTTTCTATAAATAAAATAATTTACCAAATAATAATAATAAATTATAAAGTAAAATTAAATAGGTAATTATCAATTAAAATTAAATAGGTAATTGTTTAATTGAGATTCAATTAAAATGTTTTAAATCATTTAATAAATTACCAATTAAAATTAAATAGGTAATTGTTTAATTAAAATTCAATCAAGATGTTTCAAATCATTTATAGATAAAATAACAAAATAATTTACCAAAAAATAAAATAAGTTACCAATTAAAATAAATCTTATAAATAAACAATTAAAATAAATCTTATAAGTTACCAATTAAAATAAACAAGTAATTATTACGTATTAAAATAAAATAGGTAATGATTTAATAAAACAATTTACCAAATAATAAAATAAATTACCAATTAAAATTAAATAGGTAATTGTTTAATTGAAATTTAATGAAGATGTTAATTTCAAATCATTAAATAAATTACCAATTAAAATTAAAAAGGTAATTGTTTAGTTGAAATTCAAGATGTCTCAAATCATTTATAGATAAAATAATAAAATAATTTACCAAATAATAAAAGAAGTTACCAATTAAAATAAATCATATAAGTTACCAAATAAAATAAACAAGTTACGTATTAAAATAAAATAGCTAATTATTTAATAAAATAATTTTTCAAATAATAAAATAATTTACCAATTAAAATTAAATAGGTAATTGTTTAATTGAAATTCAATAAAGTTGTTTCAATCATTAAATAAATTACCAATTTAAATTATATAGGTAATTAGTCAATTGAAAATTCAATCGCGATATTTCAAATCATTTATAGATAAAATAATAAAATAATTTACCAAATATAATAAAATAAGTTACCAATTAAAATAAATCATATAAGTTACCAATTAAAATAAATTATATTATGATCGGAATTCTTCAAGGTTAAAACAACTTTACTTTTTCTATTTTATTCTATTTTTAACTCTTTCCTAAATATAAATATAGATCTAAATTTTTCTAAATAATAAAATAAATTATCAATTAAAATTAATAATTGTTTAATTGAAAGATTTATTTAATGAATTGAAACATCTTGATAAAATAAATGACGATTAATAAATTACCAATTAAGATGTTGCAAATCATTAATAGATAAAGTAATAAAATAATTTAAATAAAAATATTTATTAATTGATATAAAATAAATTAAAGTAAAAGAATTTCTATAATTAAAATGAATTTTAATAAAATAATTTATCAAATAATAAAATAAATTATCAATTAAAATTAAATAGGTAATTACCAGTGTTTCAGTATTTATTTATTAATATAAACAAAAAATATTTATTAATTGATATAAAATGAATTAAAGTAAAAGGTTCCCTCTTATCCAACAAACTTTGGCTTGCTCAAGCAATAAACTGTCTGCAAGAAGAGGGCCTAGTGTAATACGCACAAGTGCTTGTAAAAAGTTCCACAAGGGTGATACAAAGGAGCCAGGAAAGAAGAGATAATCATGGGATTCCGGGTACATAGAGCAGAGGCTGCACAGGTTTGGAGTGTGCCAATGTACAACTGGCTTGCGATCGTAATTTGTGAAGAATTGCAACCCAGAGTATAAAGTTGTGCTTGGGGATGCCATATTTAAACCATGCCAAGTGAGTCCATGGTGAAGAACTTACGGTTGGGTGATGGTACCCACATGATTGAATCAATTAAGTTGGTTTGACTTGGGAAGTGGAAGTATGTTGTGGTTGTTCAGCTGTGGGATGATGGCAAGTACTGAAGGTGGAAGTGACCATGATGCATGTTCCATTGATGAAGGATCTAACTTTAGTATTAAGGTCCAGTTGGTTGTTCAAAATGAATTCATTTGTTGTGAGTTGCTATAAAGGGCCAAGAGAGCACCAATTGTCTAGCCATAATCTTTTTTTTTTTTAGTTAAAAGGATAAGTTTGTATATATGAGAAGAAAGAATGTACATGGCGTCCCACTTAAGGGAGAAGAAACATCAAAAGAGATACCACAAACATGGTACAACAAGACAAATTCCCTAACATACACTAGTAGCTTGGTACTGCCAAAACAATTTCCCTAACATGCACCAGTAGCACTTCAAAGACACCCCAAGTGTCTAAGGAGCTGTAGTGAGTACTGCAGAGCAACAACAACTTCCTCATTCTAAGGGACCAACAAGGTTTGACCACAACCTTGCTGAAAAAGAAGGTGGAGCTGAGAGGGAACTGTGATCCTCTTCAAGTTATAACTGTTTCTGAGCTTAAGTGATGCTAGTCTTGCTTGAATGCATCCCTTAACTTGAGCAATGATGCTGGAAGAAGAAGATTTTTGGTTCCTAAAAGCTCTTGCATTCCTCTCCATCCAAATAAAGTAGACAGCTGCAGCCCAAAGTAACTTATGTAGGAGGAAAGCATTTGAGGACCAGTGAGAGGAACACCATTGGAGAAGATCATTATAACTGTTTGGCAAAATGTAGAAACCTGCAGTATCTTAGACAAACCTCCAAATGTGTGAGGTAAACTCACATTTGAAGAAAAGGTAGTCAATTGATCCCATTCTTTGTTACACAAGTAACAGGAATTATTGTAGTGTTTGTAGAGAATAGGTTTGGCACCAAGGGTGTACAATCTCCTCCTCACAACCAGCCAAAGAATTAGACAGTGTTTAGGAATATGGTGTTTAAACCACACAACTTTGTGCCAAGGGAAGATTGGTGAGGGAGGGTTGAAGTAACTCATTGTGTGTGCCATTAAGAAAGTTCTTGAGGGGCTAGGCAGCTATTCAACACAATTAGGTTCAGTAGAGGGTTGGGGCAATTCATGTAGCTGAGAAATGAAATCTCTAGATTGAAAGAATTGGTGTAGCTGGATTGTGGCTTGTTGAACCCACTGGTGGTTGGAAATTAGGTTATCAACTAGAGTATTGTTGTCTAGTTAAAGAATTTCCATACCAGAGAAGCCCAACTACTGCACCAATGGACCATTTGGAAGCCAGTAGTCCAATCATAAGCTTATGTCCTTCCCAGTCCCTACCCTGTGCTTCAGTAGTCATCTTGCCATATCCCTTAGCTCTAGCAGCTTCCTCCAAAAGCCCGAACTGATGCTAGTAGCTTTAAGTGTCCAAAGGCTCTTAACTTTAATGAGGTAAATGTAAGTCCAAGCCACCCAAAGGCTACCTGCTTTGAAGAAATCTTTCAAATGTGTTTCAAATTTGCAACTCTGTTTGCCAGCTCAAGATCAGCAAAACCAAGCCCCCATTTATTTTAGGTCTACAAACTGCCTGCCATGCAACTTTAGCTCCATTTTTTTTCAGATCGACTCCAGTCTAGAAGAATTTTCTAAGAATTTGATTAATCTGCTCAAGAACCTGCTTTGGAAGAAGAAAGGTTTGGGACCAATAAGCTTGGATGGAGCTAAGCACCGATTTCACAAGGACAACTCTTCCTACATAAGAAAGGAACTTTGAAGTCCAGCTTCCAACTCTAGTAGTGATCCTTTCTATAAGGGTTTGACAATCCCTTGCCCTTATTGAAGTAGAAGAGAGTGGTAAACCCAAGTACATCACTGGAAGAGTGGCTGATTCAAATTAAAGGAGGGAAACAATAGCAGTTTTCAATGTGTTGTCAACGCCTGATAAGAACACCTTGGACTTTGATCTATTAAGCTGCATACCTGAGTAACTGCAAAACTTATTCAATGCATCCATCAAAACCTGAAGTAAAAGCAAGCTGGCATGTGAGAACATCAGTATGTCATCTGCAAATGTGAGGTGTGTGATGGACAACTTTTTACATCTCCAGTGGAACTTAAACATTGGGTTCTTTTGAATGTGATCATTAAGACATAAAGTTAGCACCTCCATTGCAAGGACAAACAGCATAGGGGACAAGGGGTCCCCTTGTCTGATACCTCTACAAACTTTGAAAAAACTAAAGAGTTCCCCATTGAGAGAGATTGAGAATGATGGTGTAGTGATGCACTGAGAATCTAGTTGATGAAGACTGCAGGGAAACCAAATAATTGGAGTGTGTCTAATATGAACTGCAAGTGAATGAAGTCAAATGCTCTTCTTAGGTCGATCTTCAAAGCACAATTTGGGGGATGATTTGCTTTATGGTACCCATTTAATAATTCATGTGCAAGTAATATATTGTCAGATATGTGTCTCCCTCTAATAAAGGCATTTTGTGTAGGGCTAATGAGCATAGGGAGAATAGGACTGATCGAGCTTTGTTTGATATGAGCTTGGAGATAGTCTTGTAGATTAGGTTGCAGTAGGATATAGGTCTAAAATCATTAGCTGATGAGGGGTTTGGGGTTTTGGGCACTAAGACAATGTAGGAGCAGTTGATCTCATATAGGATTTTCCCTGAAATTAAGAAGTCTCTAATAGTTGCAATTACATCCACTACAACAATTTGGTTTTGGATGACAAAAGAGTTTGTCGCTAAAAGTGCATATTTTGTTGCGAAAAGATTATCTCGACAAAAAAATTGTCGCCAATTTGTCGCTAGAAGCCCGTCACAATATGTTTTTCGTGACAAATATTGTTTTGTTGCTAGAAGTACAATATATTACGACAAATTCTTTTTCGTCACAAAATGTGGAAAAATTGCGACAAAGCATTTGTCGTAAAATATTCGATAATTGTCATCTTAAACACTATAACAGTAATGAAATTTGTTGCTATTCATCACTATTTTGTGACAAATTTTTTTTTTGTCACTACATGTATAATTTTTTGTGCAAACATTGTCGCTATAGCTATTTTATTGTGACAAAATATTTTGTCAGAATATATGTATCATGTTGTGGCAAAAATATTGTCACTATAAGCTATTTTTTTGTGGCAAAATATTTTGTCGCAATATATAGATCATGTTGTGACAAAACTATCGTCACTATAAGTTATTTTGTTGTGACAAAATATTTTGTCGTCATATATATATCATGTTGCGACAAATATTTTGTCACTATAAGCAATCTTATTGTGACAAAAATCTTTTGTCGTAATATACCTAATCATGTTGCGATAAATATTTTGTCACTATCAGCAATTTTATTGTGATAAAAATCTTTTATCGCTATATACTTAAACATGTTGCGACAAATATGTTGTCACTATAAGCCATTTTATTGTGACAAATAATATATTCTGTGACAAATGCAATAATATACTTTTATTTTCACTTATTTGAAACATAAAACTTAGAACCTGTAACTTAAATTAAAATAATGATAAACTAAAAAATCTAATCTAAGATTCAAACATCTCACTCAAAATTAATATATTTTATAATCAAACACAGAAGATAAAAAACACACATTCCATTAAGAATTCAAATATTAAAATGTGCAAATAATTCAAAATCTAAAATACTAATTCCAAGCACATATCAAAATAAAAAAAAATAAAAAAATTCAATATCTGAATCCAATATTACACAATGTTAATCACATACACATATCAAAATCCCAAAAGAAATTCGAGATCCGAATCCAAAAGGGGAAGCCAGATTGCAATCAATATGAAACTTGCAAAAAAAATAAAGTAAATAAATCAATAAATAAGAATAAGAATAAGAAAAAGGAGAAGAGAAGGAAAAAAAATGAAATTAGAATTTTAAGATTGAAATAAATTTTTAAAAAGTACTTATAATGTAATAGTCAAATTATTATGCTAATGGTCATGATAAATACTATTTGAGGTACTAAACAACTCCTAGATATAATAACAACAATGGTATAGTGTGATACACAAACTAATTGATAAATAAATTCATCCTAGTGTTCTTTATTAATATTTTTATTCAAATGAACATGGATGGGATAAGTATGTTCCCTTATTTGACATATGAGGAGTGTTAATTACAGTTGGGCTCGCGATTGCCTTTTTACAGTCGCGCTTTTTATTAGTCACAATTCCTATAATTACAGCTTCATTTATGAGATATCTTTTGCCTTTAAGAAAATTAAAAATATAAATTTTTAAGACAAAATTACCCTTTAATCTTTTCTTATCTTTCTCTTTTTATTCTCTTCTCCTCAATCAAGTTCAGTGCAAATCATAAAACCCGGTTACGATCTTAAAGTAGAATCAAAGTACTCAAAAGATTAAAAAAATCACAAAATTGAAACAATTGATTAAGACAATTTAATTTTTAAACAATTTTTTTTTTTACCCTTTATCAATTTTCCATCTATATTTATTTAGGATTCATTTACCATATTTTTAATTATATTTTCTCAAATTATACCATAATTGATTCCTAAATATTTCAAATTTTAATTACAAAGTTTCAACCCCCAACAACCAAACTCAAAATTCCTAGCTACGCCTGTCTGAGACTGAGTGGATTTGGTTCCTGGAAGAGTTCTAGAGTTCCACTCACAATATATGCTAAATGGATCCACGGAAAGCAAGCTTGGATATGAGGTGGCTGGTGTTTGATTTCTAGTGGAAGGAAGTCCAATTAACAAAAGGGAGTTCCAGCTCAATGGATGGCAACCCACAATGTGCTTGTATGATCATATGGGCTGTAAGAAGTCACAAGCAAAGAACAAATGGATGTGATTTTTAGGGACAAATTTGCAGTGAGGGCATGAGCCGCATGACTTATCAGGTCCATAAAAGGCCATTGACTTTTGATCGAGAATTAGGAACTTATTGTAGACAGCTAGCCAACATATGAAACTGTGCTATTAATGGGACTCCAAAGGCTGATCAAAAGGTTTTTAGAAGCATGGTTGGAGGATTGTTGTATTTGACTCATTCTAGACCGGATATCATGTTTCCAATGAGTTTAATCTCATGATTTATCACTACAAGAAAAACACTTTTTTACCACGGTTTTAAAATAACCGTGGTAATAGACCTTTTCTATCAAGGTTTTAAAATAACCGTTTAAAACCGTGGTAGAAAATATATTTTTTACCACGGTTATTTTAATACCGTGGTAGAAGACATTTTCTACCACAGTTAATGAATAACCGTGGTAGAAAGTATATTCTTTTGCCATGGTTTTTAAATAACCGTGGTAGAAAATATACTTTCTACCATAGTTATTTCAAAACTGTGGTAGAAAATGAATTATTTTTAATGTAATTTAGGTGGATCTTTTTATCACGGTTTAAAAATAACCTTAGTCAAAAGTATATTCTTCTATCACGGTTAAAAATAACCACGGTAGCAAGTATATTATTTTACCTCTTACCTCTTTTTCTACCATGGTTAAAGAAAAACTGTCTTAGTAATTTATTCTACCACGGTGGTTGCACCATGGTCGAAAGTGAAATTCTATAAGTGGGTCTTATTCCCGCTAGTTTCTTAAAAACAAAATTTCAGCCTTCAATTTTAGGGCAAATCATTTCAGCCTCGGCATCCCCAATCGCCTCTATCTCCAGTCTCGTTCTCAACTCTGAACTTGTCCTATCTCTGTCCCTGCAACTGCAAACTACAAAATCTACAAGAATCAAACCCATATAATTCAGTTTATCTATCTGTCTGCAAGAATCAAAATTTCAAAACCTATTACCTATATCAAAACCCATATCGGCATATCATTTCAGATTGTTCAAAAAATCAACACCCATATCCTTCAGTTTCCATCGCCCGCTGTTCCAGTTCGAGTTCGCCATTGGCAAGCTTCAGCCACTGGCCCGCTGTCTCTCAACTCTCAAGCCCCTCTCTCTGCAATATATATATATATACACACACACACACGTATATATATATTTTGACTGCCTACTCAAACCCTAATCTCTCTCTTGACTGTAAACATTCCTCATATCAGGTCCATATTCTGTTCTGCCTTAGTTCAACCTTTGCCCATAATCTTTCATCTTTACACCCTAGCCATATCATACAATTTTAGCCGCCATCAAATCAGCAACTGATCGGAACAACGAATTCAACGGTAAAACCACAATTTTTAGCGACGTACCTCTCCATTTAGCGCATCAGAAAGTTCCATTCTACCCATGGGTTCGGATCTGGTCATTGGTTGATTCGTTCTTCGATTTGGGGATTTTGTAGTTTTGGTTATGTTGCATTTTGCAGAGGGTTTTTGACTCTGATTCGCACTTCTCTTCGTGGTTGCTTTTGTTCGATCTTGGAGATTTCGGCCAACTCTCGTTGTAGGGAAAGCTTCGCCGACCCAAATTCGAATAGACAAAGGAGCAATTACAAGTTATCTTGGAGCTTTCGGCCAAATCGCGTTGTAGGGTAAGCTTCGTCGGCCAAAATTCGAAGAAACAAAGGAGCAATTACGAGTTACCGGTAAGTGTTTGGTATAAATTATTATTTGTAATGAAATGAAGAGGATTTTTTATGAAGAAAAAATAATTTGCTTAGATTCATTAATTTTATTTGGTTGCAGGTTGTGAGGAAAAGGAAGAGGACATTGTTGTTGCTCGTGGTCTCGAGGAAGAAGAGAAAAACATAGGGGAAATGAAGGAAGAAAAAAGGGTCTGGACTATAGGCATTTCATATCATCATCTTCAACTTGTCATCCAATTGTTAGGGATTTTAGTAGCTTAGTTATGATGCTTTGAGATAATTTCTATAATTGTTTCCATTCATTTTCTATTCTGAATCCCATATTTGTTTACCATTAAATATTTTAAATGCCCAAGTTTGTGTTCTGTTCGGGAGTAATAGAGATCTAAACTATGCATCAAGATAAAATCATATTGTATAATTTTATAGGAACATGTCCTATTATTTCAGATTATCATGATACTTTTGCATTCTGTTTTCACATAGATGGTTTTTACTATCTGTCAATCTGAAATCTAACTGCTTTTCTGTCTTTTTTCATATTGTCTTATTTCTTTTATGACAGTGTGTATCTTCTCACCAAGAAACAAAGATGCCATTTATCAAAGGTAATTCCTTGGTTGTTCCTCCTTTTTTTTTTTTTTTAAGTGATTATCACTTGGATCTAGCAAGTTGAGACCTGCTAAAAATTTACGAGCAATATCTATAAATAATATACGTACTTCATGTGCAAAATATATTTTAAGTATCTAGGTGGACTTGGTGCAATTGCATCGATCATTTTTGCAACAAGAAACAAAGATGTATGTATCACTCAATTTTGCTTGTTTTTCTTTCTCATTTCATGTATAATTCTTATCATGCTATTGTAGGAGATCCTCTAGCTGTTCGTTGATGCTAGATTCAGTTGTTGACTGAGCACAATGAACAAAAATTATGGTATTAACTTTTAACATAGTTCTTACATATATATATATGCTATTTTTTCCAACATGTAAAATTGTCATGAGGCATTTTTCACTCCTCACATGTTTCCATATAAAATCAATGAATCTGAAAATAATCTGTCAGTGGTGGTCCTGATGGAGCACAATATCTTACCTTTTTGAATCCTTTGACATACTTACATGTTTAAAGGTAGTTCTAGATATGAATTATTGCATTAGCATGCTATATAACACGTCTGCATCTAGGACTGTCCTTTAGGGGTAAGAATTTGTATTTTCAAGAGATTTATTTATTCCTTATTACTTAATAACAAAATATTAGGAGCATGAGATTATGAGTTAAATGAACAAACTATAACCAAGAACTGAAGCTTCACTTCATCTAGAACAAGTGGCAAATTAGGAACTTGTCACCAAATGTAGTACAAAAACTTAATTCTAGAACTTGTCACCAAATGTAGGAACTTGTCACCAAATGTAGGCTAACTTTCAGTACATTGACAATATTTTCCTGAAAAAAGATTTCCTTCTCTTGAAAATAGTCTCATGAATCCTAGTCAAAAACTTAATGGGTGAGTGGTCACTTGGAATCCAAGTACCAGCTGTCCTTTAATTCTAGATTTTAGTATTCTTCAACAAAGATTTTCAATGAAATTAATGATCCCAACTTTTCTTGGATTTCTTTAAATGTTAAGTGATAAGAGATATGAGAGATAGCTAATATGGTCCCAAATTGAAGATTTTATACTAAATTGCTAGAATTACCAATATGCTTAGTCCAATGCATCAAGGTAAGGATGGTTCAAAAAATTCAGAGACTTGTACATAAAAAAAGAGATAGGATTATTCTCAGCCTCCCAACCCTAGCAAAAATGTATCTTTCAGGCCCCATCCATGTGTAATTAAGCAAATGGTTTGAAGTCTCTATTGTGCAAACATTCTTCTGTTTCTTCTTCTTTTTTGACCACCACCATCCATGCCTTTTTGAGATGGCCATAGAGAAATTCCCTCTCTCATCTGTGTATAATGCTTACTTTGTTTGGTATAATTTTGGCAACTTTACAACTTGCTTTACATTCTCTTACTTCAACTATTACATTTTGTAGGTCAAAGCTAGGATTGCGGGATTGCGGTTCCCGTTACTGTTTTTGTTGCCGTTATATTTTTTGTATGGCTCATGATCAAGAAGTTGCATATATGGACGAGAGAGACTAAAACAAAGCAAGAAGATATGAAGAATTTTTGTTTCATTTTAGTTAAGTAAAGATATAAGATGTGGATCATGTACTTCTTTGAAATTTGTATATATTCTTGTATAAAACCATGATTTGGAATTGGTTATATATATATATGATGTTATTGGCCAAGTTATTTTGGTTATGATGTTATTTTTTATTTATAGGATTTGCTTATGGGGTCTTTGCAAAGCTAGTAGTAGGGTAAAAAAAGGCCTCATGGGGGCTTTACACTATTTTAAAAAAAAAATTATATAACACTTTTTACCACGGTTCTGCACCGTGGTAAAAAGACTTTTTTTTTCTACCACGGTTCTGCATCGTGGTAGAAAAAATACTTTCTACCACGGTTTTGCGCTGTGGTAGAAAATAGACTTTCTACCACGGTGCGGAATCGTGGTTGAAAATAGACTTTCTACCACGGTTTTGCACCGTGGTAGAAAGCCTTTTCCACCATCGTAAAAAGTCATTTTTCTTGTAGTATATATGCATAATCTTTCTGAACATCATCTTGGAGCAGCAAAACGGATTCTTCGCTATGTTTGGGCAACAAGTAATTTTGGGATTTGGTATAAACCAGTTCCTAATTTATAATTTTTTGGTTTTAGTGACAGTGATTGTGCTAGTTTTACAGATGACAGGAAAAGCACAAGTGGTTTTATCTTCAATCTTGGTTCGGGAGCTGTGTCTTGGGTTTCAAAGAAACAAGCAACAGTTGCATTATTATCTTCAGAAGCTGAGTATTATGCAGCTTCATTAGCTGTTTGTCAAGCTATTTGGATGCGAAGAATTTGGAAGACTTACATTAATGTCAGAGAGAGGAGACAGAGATCTATTGTGATAACCAAGCTACAATTGCAATGACAAAGAATCCAGTTTTTCATGGAAGAACAAAGCACATTGAAATCTGTCATCATTTCATTCGGAATGTTGTTGCGGAAGGAATAATTATGATGAAGTATTGTTCAAACCAATGATCAAGTTGCAGATGGATTCACCAAAACACTCTCTTATCTGAAATTTGTTAAATTTAGATCTTCTCTCGGTGTTTCCAGTTTTTGCATCAAGGGGGAGTGATGAAAATTGATGATGCAAATCCATCCTTGGTGTAGTTAATTCACCCATGTTTTTAGTGTCCTACTTTAGTGGGTTTAGTGTTTGGTTGTTAACTGCAGAATAGGAAGTGGAGATAGTTCTTATTTTTATGTTTATCTTTCAGCATGTTCTAAGAAAGTGGGGATCGAATGACCACAGTATAGTGTGGTGATTTGGAATCTTTGTTTTCAGAAATAATATATATCTTTCCGTCTTTTTTGGCTTCTAAAAAAGAGCAAAGTTGGTTGTCCTCCTTTTAATTTCCAACATTAAGTATAGGTCCTCATACTAGGAAAATAAATACCATCTTTCAAGCAACTATTTGTAACTGAAATCAAATCTCATTGTCGAGAAAAAGAATTGAAGTTGTGTGTTTGATGCTCTTGGGTTTGCAGGGTAGTGGAAATGGTTAGTTTCGTCCATTAAATTGAATCATAATTCAAAGAGTAATAATGTAACATTATCAGCCAAATTATATAATAGCAACTATAGTCAATCGATTATAAAAAACCGTGCCAAATTCTCAAACAAAGCATAGCATCACTTTAGCTACATTTATTTATAAATTAAACTCTGAAATCGTTCCATTTTACGGGAGAGGATTGATTACAGCTCCAGTGAATAACACAGCCCCAGATGTTTCTTCCATAATCATGAAGACGAAAGGATGATCAGCCACAAAGGTTGGCTTTGGAGGTGGCACACTATAACGAGAACATCCACACAATCCCATCATGGTAGCAGCCGCAGCCTCCATTCCTTCCTCGTTCACTTCTATATAACATTTCTGAATAATCTTTTGAGAAATAAAGTAACTTGTTATACGAACCACTTGATATTTCTGTGAGCTCTCCACGAGGTTCGAAAGGCCTCGTCAGTCCCAAACTTTTGATGATGGCTTCAGAATCAAAATCATACGTGAACTTAAATTTTGGAATCAAGAATGGACTAAGTTGAACTAATCTTAGGTTGGACAGATTATGCAAGAACCAATGATTAGACTCCAATTCTTGTACCAAATTTTGCAACCCATCTCTCTCATTCGGAAGATATATGTACATTGAGAATTGCCTTCCATCTTCGCCCTCTTGATACGGGATCTTGACAAGTTTGAAACCATCAAAGGATCCAAAATATTGGGAATACGCAGAGGTCATAAAAGGGACTGAAACTTTTTCACCATTGAGTAGGTGAAAATCTCTGTTTCTCGTCCGGGATACATCAAACTTCCTCTCCCAACTTCCTTTGAAGTAGAGCGCATTTGCTAGGACAATCCTTAAATCACTACTAAGATGGCTCACAAGATCCTTGATGAGGCCTTTGGTTTCATTTTCTGCCCATGTATTAATCTCATCCTTAACTTCATCTGCCTGGCAAAAATAAAAATTAAATAAAAATGTAGTTGGAAATAAACATTACTAGAATCAGGTAACAATTATCATACATAATTTGTTGTCACTAAATGCAAATTTTCAAATTTATATATACCAATCATCTCCGTTTTATTTATAACTTTTCATATGAACCCCTTGGTTTTGTGCAGTTGGTGATTTAAAAAAAAAAAAAAAAAAAAAAAAAAAAAAAAAAAAAAAAAAAAAAAAACCATTTATCATATATATATATATAAATCATTTTTTCTGCACTTTCTATAGTGACCATTAGATTAGATCTAATGGTCACATTTCAAACCCACCTATATATTTTCCTCCATAAATATATATATATATATATAAATAAAAAAAAAAAAATAAAAATAAAAAATTTAATAAGGAAGATGAGACAATTTGTGACAAAATGTCAAAGAAAGATAAATTGAATTTCTAACTTTTAACTAACATGCATTACCTAAATACTCATTTACCCTATGGGTGGCCATACAACAGAAATTACCTACACTGAATCGAAGATGCACGTCCCACATCAATGCCACAATTTGTTCTCTATGCAATTCTCACTTGGAGTCCCATGACCATATTTTCTTCCAATGTGACTACACAAAGCCCATATGGTCATTTATTCAGTCAAGGTGTGGTATCCATATCCATCCTAACTCTTGGCAAAATCTCGTCACTTGGACTTCTCATCACTGGCGTAACAACAACGGGTTCTATAGCAATTCAGTGGCAAAGATTGCTTTGAGCTCACTTGTTTACAACATACGGATGGAGCGTAATAGGAGAATTTTCAAGAAGAATTTCTTGTCCCAAAATGCACTTTTGCAACAAGTATTAGACACAATTAGACAAAAGCTATTGTCATCTCAACTCACAGATTCCCTAAGCTCCAGGCGTATTATTGAAGAATGAGAACTCCCAGCTTCTGTTATCCGACCATCGGCAAAGCCTACTGACAAGAACTAAATCTTGAAGGGCGAGAATCAATCTCCATGTTCACTGCTTTGTGTTGTGTCCAGCTTTGGGCAACTTTGTGGAGACCTTATACTTTGGGCTTGTAATGTTTGGTTGGCCTAGTGTCACACCCCGCTACCAAGAGGCTATGCCACGCAGGCGCCACGCAGACGCCCAGCAGACGATGACATGGAGCCTGCATGGATTGGAGCTTTCTAGACTTCTCTACACAAGTATGGAACTTTCCGGAATTCTCTAGATTAGTGTGGAGTTGTCTAGCCTTCTCTAGACTTGTCTAGAGTTCTATAGAATTCTCTAGAATTCTCTAGACTTGTCTTGTACATAGTAGATAGTTCTAGAGTTGTGTAGATATTTCTGGAGGATTCTAGATACTAAATCTAGGCCACACATTTGTACACATATAGAATGTTCTTGTAAGGCCAAAGGCCTATAAATAGGAGGTGGGAGTTCATTTGCTCCTCACCAAGCAACCAAGTTGTAATCTCTCCTCTCAAGTAATACAAGTTCTATACATTCCCAAACTCTCTTGCTCACTTGCCTAACCTCTTCCTACACACCCAAGTAAGCAAAACACTTGTCTAGCCTTAGTCTTCACTAAGCTAGCACACTCGGGTAGGCTGACTTAGCGCTTCAAGGGGGCTTGAAAGTGTCTAAGGCCGCACGGGAGCTTGAAAAGGTTCAAGTCCGTGACAGTTGGTATCAGAGCTAAGGTCGTGAGGCGTCACACCTTGTGTGGAGGAAGCTATGGCGGAGCTATCAGACGTGACTGGTGCCCAAGAGGAGACTCTACGTGGAAGGGAAGCAAATCCCCCTCCCGGCGGAGTGAGGACAAGGGCTAGGTCGAAGGACATCATGGCGGGCTTAGAGGCACGGATGGCAAACATGGAGGGGTCCATAGCCAACGTGTTGGAGCAGCTTGAGGATGCTCACCAGCGCATGGATGGGCTGGAGTCGGAGGACGTTGAGGTCCAAAATGCTGTCAAAGGGTCACTCAATGCCCTAAGTGGTGACTTTCGGCAGGAGCTCCAAGCACTTCGAGAACTTATGTTGGGGGAGTTTGCCACCCTACGTGGCTATGTTGATCAGGAGCTTGGCACTTTCCGCGAGCAAGTGGAGGAAATGCAAGCGGACTGGACATTGTGCAAACGGGCGGTGGCGTCCGGCACAGCTACTACGGGGGTAGTAGCACCCCGGGTTGATATTCCCAAGCCTAAGTGCTATGGTGGGAACCGGGTAGCGAGGGAGTTGGAGAACTTCCTCTTCAGCATGGAGCAATACTTTGAGGCTACGGGCATGACCGATGAGACCATCAAGATACGCACGGCGACCCACTACCTCACCGACCATGCCATGCTATGGTGGAGGAAAAAGTATGGTGACATAGGCAAAGGTACGGTCTCTATTGATACTTGGGCTGATTTCACTAGGGAAATTAAGAAGCATTTCTATCCTGAGAATGCCGAGGATGAAGCTAGGGGCAGACTCCGAAGGCTAAAACAGGTTGGGTCGATTCGGGACTATGTGAAGGAATTCACTAACTTGACTCTTGAGATCCCGGATCTATCCGACAAGGACTCTCTTTTCTTCTTCATGGATGGATTGCAGTTGTGGGCTAAGACAGAGTTGAGGCGGCGCAACGTGCAAGACCTTGCCACAGCTATTGCAGAGGCGGAGTCCTTTATTGATTTCAGCTCCAAGAAGGAACCCTCGTCCAAGCCAAAAGACAAAGACAAGGGGAGGTATGCCGGCAAAGGTGGGGGAGACAAGGGCGCTGCACCCCACAAGGATTGGTCCCGTAAGCCAGGTGGTGGCCATGGAGGCAAAGAGGGAAGGGAGAACAAGGAAGGAGCACCCAAGCCTAAGGGTTCTTGCTTCATATGTGATGGACCACATTGGATACGAGATTGCCCAAAGCGGAAGACCCTCAATGCCATGACGAGCCGTTATGAAGAGCAACAACAGGAGGAGGCGCAGATGGGTTCATTGCAAATCCTTAATGCCATTAAGGCTAAAACTGAAGTCCCTAAGGCGGCGGCTAAAGGGCTAATGTTCGTGGAGGCGAGCATTAATGGGACACCCACACGTGCTTTGGTGGACACGGGTGCATCCCACAACTTTGTGAGCCTTGACGAGGCCAAGAGGTTGGGCCTTAAATATAGCAAAGAAGGGGGCTCCATGAAGGCAGTTAACTCGGCGGCAAAGGCTATACATGGCATGGCACACGGCGTCCAAGCATGCATTGGCGAGTGGGGTGGCCACATAGATCTATCGGTGGTACCCATGGACGACTTCAAACTAGTCCTTGGGTTGGAGTTCTTAGACAAGGTGAGAGCTTTCCCCATCCCTTTTGCTAACACTATGTGTATTATGGAAGGCAACACAGCATGCATGGTGCCAGTGGAGCGAGGCGCCAAGTTGGAAGCCCAAGCTTTGTCAGCTATGCAGTTCAAGAAGGGCTTCAAGAAGGGAGAGACTAGCTACCTTGCTACGTTACTGGAGACACCCGAAGATGAGCTAGTCCCTTCCCCACAAGAAGAGGTGCCTAAGGAGATACGAGCCGTGCTAGACGAGTACACGGACGTGATGCCTAAAGAGCTGCCCAAGAAGCTTCCACCTAGGAGGGAGGTGGATCATAAGATTGAGCTGGAATCGGGTTCTAAACCCCCTGCTTTGGTGCCCTATCGGATGGCACCCCCAGAGTTGGAGGAGTTGCGGAGGCAACTTAAGGAACTGTTAGATGCGGGCTATATTCGACCATCAAAGGCCCCATATGGCGCACCGGTGTTGTTCCAGAGGAAGAAGGACGGGTCCTTGCGCATGTGCATCGACTACCGGGCGCTCAACAAGGTGACTATCAAAAACAAGTACCCCATTCCTCTCATTGCCGATCTCTTTGATCAGCTTGGTGGAGCACGCTACTTCACTAAGCTTGACTTGCGCTCGGGGTACTACCAGGTGCGGATAGCGGACGGGGATGAGCCTAAGACTACGTGTGTAACGAGGTATGGCTCCTATGAGTTTCTTGTTATGCCGTTTGGCCTCACCAATGCACCTGCTACTTTTTGTACTTTGATGAACAAGCTCTTCCATCCCTACTTGGATCGCTTTGTGGTGGTGTACTTGGATGATATTGTTGTGTATAGCACCACTCTAGAGGAGCACGTGCAGCACTTGAGGGCGGTCTTCCAAGTCCTACGGGAGAACGACCTATATGTGAAGATGGAGAAATGCTCATTTGCCCAAGAGGAGGTGTTGTTCCTAGGGCATAAGATACGGGATGGCAAGTTGATGATGGATGAGGCAAAGGTGAGGGCCATTCAAGAGTGGGAGCCGCCCACTAAGGTGACAGAGCTACGCTCATTCCTGGGGCTTGTCAACTACTACCGCCGCTTTATCAAGGGTTACTCGGCGAGAGCAGCCCCATTGACAGACCTTCTCAAGAAGGCGCGTGCTTGGAGTTGGACAGAGTCGTGCCAGGGGGCATTTGATGACTTGAAGAGGGCAGTTACGGAGGAGCCGGTACTTAGCTTGCCCGACCACTCCAAGCCATATGAGGTGCACACGGATGCATCAGACTTCGCTATTGGGGGTGTGTTGATGCAGGAAGAACACCCCATAGCCTATGAGAGCCGCAAGCTTAATGACACTGAGCGGCGCTATACTGTGCAAGAGAAAGAAATGACGGCGGTCATCCATTGCCTACGTACTTGGAGGCACTACTTGCTCGGGGCACAATTTGTGATCAAGACAGATAATGTTGCCACCAGCTACTTCCAGACACAGAAGAAGCTTAGCCCCAAGCAAGCTCGTTGGCAGGACTTCTTAGCGGAGTTCACTTACCACTTCGAATATAAGCCGGGCAAGGCCAATGTTGTGGCGGACGCACTTAGTCGCAAGGCCGAGCTCGCAGCTATCAGTCGGCCCCAACACTCTCTTGTGGAGCGAATCAAAGAGGGGTTACAGCATGACCCTTTAGCCAAAAGCCTTATTCAGCTGGCTAAGGAAGGGAAGACTCGGCGCTTTTGGCTAAGGGATGATTTACTTCTCACTACAGGGGACCGACTATTTGTGCCCAGGTGGGGCAACTTGCGAAAGGAGTTGATACGGGAGTGCCATGACACCAAATGGGCTGGTCACCCAGGTATGCGACGCACACTAGCACTCCTAGAAGATTCTTACTATTGGCCTCGGATGCGTGATGATGTGGAGACATATGTGAGGACTTGCCTTGTGTGCCAACAAGACAAGATTGAGCAACAGCATCCTGCAGGCCTATTGGAGCCATTGCCTATTCCAGAGAGACCATGGGAAAGTGTCTCTATGGATTTCATTACTTGCTTGCCCAAGTCAGAAGGTTGTGGGAGCATTATAGTGGTGGTAGATCGGTTCAGCAAGTATGCCACCTTCATACCCGCACCAGCAGACTGCACAGCAGAGAGGGCAGCAGAGTTATTTGTTGACCATGTGGTCAAGCTTTGGGGAGTTCCGCAGAATATTGTCAGTGATAGAGACCCGCGTTTCACGGGTAGATTTTGGACGGGACTCTTCAAGAAGATGGGGACGGATCTCAACTTCTCTACGAGTTTCCACCCCCAATC